GCCGTCCTCGACGGTGCTGACTGTGTCATGTTGTCTGGTGAGACCGCCAAGGGTAACTACCCTTGCGAGGCCGTCAAGATGATGTCTGAGACTTGCTTGCTCGCCGAGGTTGCCATTCCTCACTTCAACGTCTTTGACGAGCTGCGTAACCTCGCCCCTCGCCCCACTGACACCTCTGAGTCCATTGCCATGGCTGCTGTCAGCGCCAGTCTGGAGCTGAACGCAGGTGCTATCATCGTCCTGACCACCAGGTATGTATCGCAACAAAGGTATTTTCGTTTTGTGATGACCTTGCTAACAAGTTCACAGTGGTAAAACCGCCCGCCTTGTGTCCAAGTACCGTCCCGTCTGCCCCATCTTGATGGTCACTCGCAACGAGACTGCTGCCCGGGTAAGTCCGATGCGATCGTTTGAATGTCGTTCTTTGCTGACAATATTTTCCAGTACTCCCACCTGTACCGTGGTGTGTGGCCATTCTACTTCCCCGAGTCCAAGCCTGATTTCAACGTCAAGATCTGGCAGGAGGATGTCGACCGTCGCCTCATGTGGGGTATCAACCACGGTCTGAAGCTCGGCATCATCAACAAGGGCGACCCTATCGTCTGTGTCCAGGGATGGCGCGGCGGTATGGGCCACACCAACACCGTCCGTGTGGTGCCCGCCGAGGAGAACCTTGGTCTGGCCATGGAGTAAACTTTCTGTAAACTGATCAGATGGTAAGCTTTTGGTGATCGATGATCCATTGTGCTTTGTTTACCGCCGGTGTGCGGATGGGATACATACTTCTTTTTTCTTCGTTCTGGCTTTTTTTTTTTTCTCTTTCGAAGCCAATTTTGCTCTGCGCTGTGTGGTCTGGACCATACACTGGAAGGTTAATGCATTGCTCATGTAAATGAAACGAATTTTATGCTTTCCGGTTAAGTTAGTGGGTTAGTAAAGACTAGACAATTCAAATTGAATAGACATGACACTGGGATTTCGTTCTTGAGTCCTTGTAGACTTGATCGCGCGCCGAGAGGGTTCGCGATTGTCGCTCTCTCGCATGTGCATATGCAAGCCACAATAAAGCAATGCATTGTAACTGCACTGAATTACATGCATTGAAGCTGCAATCTTCCTTTTCCAAGAGTACTTTAGTCAAAAGAAGAGAAAAAAAAAGCGAAAGTCGAATGAAGATCAGATGCGGGGGACGCAGGGACCCGACACAGGCTTTGACCCGCGAGACCGAGGCCCGTCCGTCCGAGGTGACAATATCAGGCATATGCCGTGGACGCATTCTGTCCGCATGCCCTCTCATGTCGTCTTTCCTGCCACAGAAGACAATTTTTGAAATGTTCTCGACGTCATATGAAAAAGATGGAAAAGAGAAAGTAAAAAAGGCCAGTAAATTTCAACAAAATTTCCGGCAGCCCTTGCCGTCCCGATCCCGGTTTCTGCCGATGGTTCCAATGTTGAGATTGGATATAGATCTGTGTCATTTCAAGTTGAAATCATCCCTGGTGGGGACCCTGATTGTTCATATTCTCGTCCGGTGCAAGCTAGGCTATAATAGTATTATTAGTATTGAATTGAGCACACGATATTCTTTTGTCAATCTTCATATCATTTGCTCATACATCTTCCTGGGCTAGTATATAGGAAGAAGGATATCCACCAACGCCTAGTGGGAGAAATAGATAGTCGAGGAGCTGCCGGAAGGTGATAATCTATCCAGATTTATGGTCACTGATTCCAATCAGCCACATGCACCAATTTTTTGGGCCCCAAATGAACCGTCGACTACCTTCTTCGTAGTCAAGGGCTGTAGACTCTTTCAAAGACCCAGGAGAGACTCATGCAAGCATGAGTATACCGAGAACTATTCTATAGTAAAAAAGTTCTCACATGCTAGGGGCTATGCCAGAGAACCGTCATATTAGACAGCGTCTTTTTTTCTAATACTCTTCACGAAGCGAGATCATATAATGGTGATGGGGGCATTATCTCTAGTAATGCTATTCCGCCTACTACGGCAAAGGACGTTGGTGGTTTCTAGTTGATAAACCCATGAAGCTTTTCATTTTTCATGCTAACTTTCTCAAGATAGATTTTACAATGCTGGAACTTCCGACCATTTACGAAGACAACATTATCAGTTGGTCAAGCCTTGCCACGTTAGAGATTTGGATGGACGAAGGTCAAACATTGTATATTTTCCATCGCTATAAGTTTGAAGAATAGCGCACCATTTTTGCTTTCTGAGTGACGTTGAAAGTCAGGATTTGTTCAACCAAAGATCTGGAGATAACCAAAAGCATTCAGTGAATTGAGAACTTCTCGGAGCAAAATCATAGATCGCTTCGTCCGTTCTGGGCTTGCTTTCATCATGCACTATATGAAAAAGCGGAGGAAATTCCGCTGGAGAGATGCTCGAATTTACTGTGAGACATCGTTCTCGATGTGTCCCTTATCAAACGACAACAATCGAGGACTTTGGAAAGCAAAATAGCTAAGGACTGCATTTCTTTTCCAGCAACGGCAGCGGTGACAACATGGCTGTTCCGAACAGTCTTTACTTCTTCTTTGGTGGAGCAACATTGAACTGGAAATGGATAATGTCGCCATCTTGCACGACATAAGACTTGCCTTCCTGTCTGTACTTACCGGCTGACTTGATTGGCCCCATCGACTTCTCGCCGTTGCAGAGGTCATGGAAATCCTGGTATGCCACAACTTCGGCCTTGATGAAGCCGCGCTCGAAGTCGCCGTGAATGACACCGGCTGCTTGTGGAGCTAGTGTTCCCTGCTTGATCGGCCAACAGCGGATCTCTTTCTCACCGGCAGTGAAGTAATACTGCAGTCCCAGCTTAGTGAAGCCTGTTATGACTGTTAGTACAGAGTACGTCAAGAGGATATCAAAACTTCCACATACCTTCGGTAGTAATCTTTCCCAAGCGGCTCTGGACCTTAATGTCGGCCATGAAGGCATCTAGCGCTGGCTTGTCATCCCTCAGGGACCACAGCTTCTCTTCGAACTCGACGGAGAAGGGGATGATGTCTGAGCCTTGGCCACCATGGGCCTTAACCCACTCCGCGATCTTAGGCAGGTATTTACACTTCTGGCGGAGGTAGTCCTTCATTGTCAGGTTAATGAGGTAGATCACCGGCTTGGTAGTGATAAGGCGCAACTTGATAATGTCAGAATTGTCTCGGGGGTAAGATAGAGTCCTAGACAAACCTTCTCGTTGATCAGCTCGATTTCCGGAGTCGTCCACTCTCCATCTCTAACAGGTTTATCCTGTTCCAAGAGCGCCTTGATCTTGGCAGTCGTCTCGTCGAACAGCGGCAGCATCTTGAATTTTCCTCCGGCCTTCCGCACAATAGCCTCTTCGGCAATCTTAGCTTTGGTAAGGATATCCAAATCCTTCTTACACAACTCGCTTTGAATTGTATCTGCATCGCAGCATCAGCGTTTATTTCTCCTGCGTTAGGGAGAGACTGCTCACCCAAGTCGCGGACAGGATCAACGGAGTCATCCACGTGAAGAACCTCATCGTTATCAAATGCTCTGTAAAATAGTAAGTAGCTGCTTTCATTTCTCGAGTTTCCTCAACGAACGCACCGGACAACGTGGTACATGCCATCCACAGCCTGAATATGACTCAAGAAAGCATTTCCCAAGCCAGCTCCCTCACTCGCTCCCTTGATCAATCCTGCGATATCTGTAACCTGCAAATACGCCGGGTATTTGCTCGGTGGGTTCCAGACATTGCACAGGAAATCCTACTTGAAGATCAGCTAAAACCTCCCAGGAAGGGTAAGATCCATCACGTGAGAATCTCCACACAGAAATCAAAACAGGGAAAAAGCATACAACATACATATCGTGGATCAGGAACACTGCAGCGCGCCTCATTTGGCTCGATGGTGCAGAATGGGTAATTCTCTGCTGAAGCGCTCTGTTCTGTCATGAGATTGAACAGAGAACTCTTGCCCACGTTGGGCAGGCCAACACAACCCATCTTGAGGTTGGACTTTACGCGCCCGAAGGCCACGACGTTGTTCGTCGGCGCCTCTGCTGCTTTCTTTGGCGCCATATTGGAATGAATTTATCGTCAGATTTCGATGATAAGTTGGTTCTCAAAGGCCGTGTGTGCCATTTCAGATTTTTTCACAGCAATTAAAGACTTTGTTGCCATTGGTCCATTGTTACTCCTTTCTCCCGAGGTCCACCTTGGGATAACGGCGGTTCTACGAAGTACTTTTGTCGAAAAAAGAGTTGGGCTGGTGATATCTCTGGAGGAATCATGGATATCTTGTAAGACTGTTCTGATGGAAAATTTTGGGTCTTCTGGTAAGGGAAATGGTCAACTACGCAACGAAAGAAAAACAACTTAGAATGCGATTAGATGTTTCAACTGAGCAGATTTTGACCTAAGACTCCGGAAACCACACTGCCGCTGTATAATCTTTATACGCCCTGATCTAAACAGAAATTATCGGATATACATTGTCAATCAGCAAAAAAATGTGTAATGAGCAGTTAAACTTGGACAACATTTCGTAGTCTGTTAGTATATAATGCACACATATGATGCTGAGATTACTAAGACTTTGTGCAGGGAGCATAAACCGGAGAAGGTAGCCATTTTCGGGGGCCAATGTACCGTCAATTGATGCTAATGTTGAGTTCTATACTCCGTACATTGAATCTAACAAAGAAATGTGTAATAGAAATACAATTTTCAAATCAAGAAGGACAGCCCACAATATTTTAGGGCAGTCATTCAGGTATAAACCCTTCTTGATACAATATATTTCTCTTTCTTAAATTTGACAGTGTGAATTGATATTATCATATAGGTGGGACTAAATATGTTTATGACGGGGAATGATCCGTTATTTTGAGAGCGGGGGAAGCCCAATAGCTGGCTGGTTCGCGCCGTCTCAAAGGTGTATTAATATAATTTAAGCACTATATGTACATTGTATGTTGTATGGTTCTCAGGATCAGACCTCATCTACGCCAATTCACACTCGATAAGACTCTCAACGCCTTTCTGGGCACTCCAAATCTTTGTGATCTTCAACCCAGCAGATCCCACCAGTTGGTGCCAGTGAGCTTCAGTCCGCTCGGTTGAGGCGAAATCGGCCATCATGATGATATCCAGACTAGTTGTCTCCCAGTACGCGTTGGTATCAGGAATAACATTCTCGTTAATCAGCACCTTGCTGTGTCCACGCTTCATGGCATTCACAAGGCCTTTCAAGATCTTACGGCAGTTATCATCTGTCCAGTCGTGGAGGACAGAGTGCATATAGTAAGCGCGAGCGCCTATAGGAGAAAAATATTAGTTTTGATATGATCTGACAACGTTATAGAAGGAATGACCATACCCTTGATAGGCTGCTCGGTGAAAAAGTCATGCTCCATTGTTTCAATCGAGTGCAGCTGCCCTGTCTTGGCTTGGGAAATCACCTCAGGAAGATCCTGGAGAACCAGGCGTCCCGGAGCATCAGACCACTTGCGTCTGAACTCTGAAAGATCATGGCCCATGCTACCACCAACATCGACAAGGAGAACATCATCCTGTGCAACATTGGAGAACAGACTGGGCACGTCGTAGAAGCCAACATCCATCCAGCTAGGACGTCCTTGGTGGTAGACAGACATGTGATTGTTGAATTGACTAGCAGCCTCCGGATTCTCCTTCATAAATTCGAAGAAGTGAAGGTCAGTTCGGAATCCGCGCTGGAAGGCACATTCCTTGCCATTGGATGGGTTAGAATAGCCGTCCTTCTTAAGCTGGGCAGGCAGTGCAAGCACACCAGAGGTGATGCAATTAGTCCTAATCAATGAGTTAGAAATATGCTCTTTGATTCTTGGTCAATAGGCGCAAACTTACATGCAAGGGTATGCATCATTGTATCGTTGCAAGCTCAGAGAAATGGAAATTCCCGTGCGGCGGTATTCATTAGGACCAGTCTCAAGGATGACTCCCATTGCGCACAGGTGCTTTAGGATACGAGCTGATCAGATATATAATTAGTGAAGTGTATCAACAAGGCACATGGTGAGGGGGTAAGTTACATACCAAGAAGAACGGGGTCAGCACCTGTGGCTTTGGCCAGCTCGGCAGCAGACTTGGGTTTTTCATCCTTTGACAAAATAGCAAAAACGTCCAGATCAACACCCGTCTCAAGAGCTGCATAGAGAGTAGCCTATGAAGTCAACATTAATACCCGTTAACAACACGAACCAAGCGTGAAGCCTTGAAAGCATGGGAGCTTACCTGGGACCAGCAGTATCTGATCATAGCCTCACGTGGGGTTTCAAGTGCATAGACCAGAGATCGAGCCGCTTCCAAAAGCGTTGTTCGATCGGTGTGGTCTTGGAGACTGGCAACTTTACCAAGGGAAGCAACTTGATCGACTAGGCCAGGCACCAGCTCGGGTGTGTTAGCGGAAGTTGCTACGCGATCAACAAAGGCATCCTCGAGGCCTCCGTTGGTCTGGTGGTCTCCATTTGCATTATTTGCGCCGTTCATGTGCGAGTTCCCGTTAGCGTGGGTGGTTTCACTTAATGTCAGGGTTGCAAGATCGGCCATTGTGGATTGTAATATGAATAAGCTTGTGCAGAAAAACGTGAGGAGACGTGCTAGTCAAATGTACTCTAGGGGTCTTTAAATAAACCACGAAGTACATTGGCTGTCCCTTTACTTGGACTAGGTTGCATTTACTATCTCCTTTTCTTTAAACAAAGCTACACCCCCTGAACAACGGTTGGACCAGGTGCAATTGTGCGGGTCCGGTGTCATGAAGATCAACCAGGATTCATTTGCTCGGAAACTGCAGGGTCTATCTATTATTGCCGAATTTGGGGGGCGAAGGAAGTGGAGACGCGGTAGTTCAACGTCGTTCCTATTTTGGTAATAAACTTGTAGATTATCTAACGGCTCGTTCAACGCCAAGAAGTTTACTCCGTCAATTAAAATTAGGGGCGAACAGATGACTCTCTTCAGGTCCCCGGATGGATCCCTCACGATATGAGATGGCTGGAAGAGACGAAGTGAGTACTTTTATAGGTAGTGGGTGGACCAAATCGATCTGGGCATTGGGCAAGCTTGGAACCCCCCTCATTCTATTTGTGTAAAAACCATGTGTGTCTTCTGGATCCATAAACTGCATAAATGTTTATAGCACATGTGCATGGCAGAGACAGAGCATGTTGATCAGTGGGACTAAGATTCTGACAGGCCCGGCTAGGTGGAAAGAAATACATTGATATCCACACCAAATCCCGCAAAACGGGTGCCGGGACATTGGCGCATTTTTGGCGCATTTACTACGTTCTGCTACCCCTCGAGTGCTCTGTACTTTTGTCTTATTCAACTCCGGCTTTGCAGAGTATCCAGTCGAACTGGTCTTCGTAAAAGGACTAGTCTGGTCGGACTATTAAACCTCAACTGGATTATGACTAGTATGTTTTGAAACCTACAACATATGACCTAGAAATTGGCAAAGGTCTAGACTGGATGATCCAATCGTATCTTCTTGGATTTTCTTGGATCATATTGCGAAACCAATCCGGCTATTCGATATCAAAGCAGTATGAGCTTTAGGGCTATCTAAGATGTAGGTCCGGGTAATGAGCTTACCTAAGGTATTATCCAGGACTACTGTAGATGTTGTCAATTTTTTTTAGCGACATTTGACTAACTGGCTACTCCGTAGTGCGACAGGGGTTTCATGCCCCTGTCTGAAAAAACTGGGCTAACAATTTTGTGGTCAAGCTTAGCCTCGGAGATTACTCGCCGAGTAATGGCATTGTGTTTACAAAAGATGAGCACCGCGGCCTTCCTAAAAAGGATGATCGTCGCAGCTAAAAATCCAAAGGATTTCTTGCAATGGACTTCCAGGAATAGCTGGTCGAATAACAGCACACTTAAACCAGTCTTGTCCCTACATCTGTGTATTTCATGTAAATCCTTAGTTGCTAGTGTTAATTTTAGCTGGCCTTTCCCATGTGGATCTATATAAACTAATGGGTCGCACTCCCCCGATTTTTCTCGCTTTTTCTGCATCAACATAATGGCGGTCACCGCTGAAAATCTTCATGATGACAAGGGTCCCAAGATCCTAGCTGTGCTATGGACCTTGACTGGACTAACAGCCATCATGGTTGTAGCTAGGGTCTACATCCGACTCAAGGTGCTGCGGAACTTCGGTATGGATGATTATTTGATTGTACTTTCCATGGTATGGAACTTCGAGCTTTATCTTCTCGACGCGAATCTAATTTGTGCCATAGATAATGGGGCTTGCATATTGCGCAATCTCTACAGCAGGCGTGAGTGTGGGCTTTGGAAAACATGCCATGTACTTGACCATGGACAATCTGGAGATGGCCATTCTGCTCAATACAGTCAGCTTTCTGTTTGGAATCCTATCCTTTACTATTCCCAAGATTGCGGTGACCTCCATGTTGACCCGAATCTTAAATCCCAAGCCAATGCATAAGGCTATACTCTGGACAATGGTTGGAACTGCAGCTATCGTGTCCATTATCTGCATTGTGATCTTGTTCACAATGTGCGATCCGGCAGAGGCATTGTGGACGCCCAGACTTATGAAAACAGGCGCCACCTGCAAGAGTACAACGATGCTAATTGACTACGCAATCTTCACTGGAGGTAGGTGTCTTTCTCTTCAAACAGCTACATCGCTCGGAATTAACCCTGTATCTCTAGCTGTCTCTGCTGTTGTTGATCTGACTCTGGCCATTTACCCAACCACCGTCCTGCTGAAGCTCCAAATGTCTCTACGGAAGAGACTTGCGCTATGTGCTGCCTTAGGGCTTGGTGCAATGTAAGTCGATACCTATCTAACTTATGCCATACTTCACGGAAGCTAACCGGAGGGAAAATGAAGTGCTTCTGCGATGGCGATTGTCAAGTGTACCCAACTTCATGGACTCGCCGACAAAGAGGATTACACATGTAAGTATTTCAATTATCCATTATCCACCCATATAAAATCGAAGACTGACCAAAACAAAAGACGGTACTGCCGACCTTGTCATGTGGACCAAGTATGAATCGCCCACCTGATGCCTTTTAACCTTACATAAACTAACACTTTGCTCTCCGTTTAGCATTGAAGCCGACGTCGTCGTTATAGCATCATGCATTCCCACCTTACAACCTTTACTCGAAATGATGCTCGGTAAACGAGCAATGGGCTCCTACAGTCAAGGAAAGAGCGATCAGTTCAAAGGTAGCAGCAATTTTCCCTCCTCATACAATCGCTCTAAGCCGTCAAAAACCCACGACGATCTTGGCTTCACCAACATCGACCGAGAGAGTCAAGAAAGCATTCTTCCCACGGATGACAACAACAATAAAAAGAGCCACCCTATGGGACATATATACCGCAAAGATGATGTGACTGTGGAATACGAGTCATCAGCACCAAAATCGGGCCCTGGCCATACTTCTTGGTGAAGACGCATGGTGGAGGCTGAGCTTCTGGCTCCCTCTGAAATGACCATCAGACCACGTTAGCCCATCGAATAATGCATCCAGTAGAGAACACTGAGGAGCATTTTGCTGATGGGCATTGCATCTTCTGCACAAATTAGTGTTCACTGGTTGCACACACATACCTTTCACAGGTTTCTTTGCCTTTTTTTGAATGTAAATATTATGCACTACTTACGTTGAACGCTTGGGTCAAAGATTGGGCAACATCCATGTTCCTTAACTGAACAGATAAAGGCTCTAGGCATAACAATACATAGCATAGAACATGCTATCATTGTTTTATACTATCATAAGTTGACTTCTCACTAGCTCATCTACTTGGTCGTCTAGATTTCTAAAGTCTGCCCGGTAGTTAACATCAAAAAATACTCTTGTCCAAAATCTAAAACATGTGGACACGATGGTGAATTACAGATGCATTTCTGAAATCAACATGATCTCATCGAGTAATTGAAGATGTTACGGGACTGTCTACGAAAATGCTGGTATGAAATGTCTGTCTTAAACGAGGGCAATGTAGAGTCATGATAATGAGGAAGTTGCAACAAATGAAAGCACAACGCTGCGCTGCGCCTCTTCATGCTAATTGATCAGGTCGTAAATCATTAATGTCAGTTATTCATGGCCGTGGGCCAGAATAAAGGCCGGCACCACAGAAGCTATCAGGAACCAGCGCCTTCCGCATACCCCCTCTCATCAACAGTCTCAGCTTCATAGCGGGATGTCGCAGTTGGTTGGAATTGATGCCAACAGCTAATCGGAAGTTAGCATTTAGCCGCACAAGAAAGAACACGCATCAACTAACCTTGGAGCTCGAAGCACATATCTGGCCATTGCCTCGCGGAAACGGCCTTTGTATTCCCTGGGACTTGTCACTGTTGGTCGATTGCGGCCACCGCCACCAAATCCTTTGTCCTTGATCCAGGACTCCAGCTTTTTGTCCCAGGTGTAGGTACGAATACAGTCAATGATTCCTACTACCAGTTCGTCGCGGCTTTCATCAATGGCGATCATGAGCGAGTAGTCCATGACATCTTGGCGACCCAAAAAGAGTGTGTCATTCCACACACTTTGGCTAAGAAGCTTCTTTGAGTGCTCGCGGGCAAAGAGAGGCGTTTCATAGATAAAATCCACCATGTTTTCATCTAAGAGAACCTCATCTCGTTCACCGGTGCTCTCTACTTTGCGGTTTCGCATTGAGCCTTTCAAGTCGAAGATGCGTGTAGGGACACGATCGTAGAACAAGTTCTCCATTAGCAATAAGAACCAATTGAACTCTGTTCCTGTAACTGGGTTCTTGATAATGACTTGGTAAAAGCCAAACATCTTGGCGATTGCGGAAGGGAGTTCATGAAACAGGGCTTCGGCCATTATCTGGAAATAGGCCGGAGCAAATTTGAGGAAAGCCTGCGTCTCAATCGTTGAGAGCGATTTGAGAATGAAACGGTCGTCAAGGGTCTTCAGGAATAAAGATTTCGTCTTGCCACCTTTTGAGTCCCACTTTGCGCAACGAGACAACGATTCAACGATTCGATCTGCCACACCACACTTTTTGCGGAGAGCATCAAACTGCTCAGCGTAAAATACTTTGCACAGCATCTTGGCCTGGCCTTCTTGGAATTGATACTTGAGGTGTGTGCCCGTACGTCGCAAGAGGGCACGTTCGATTCGCGCTTCCTTCTTAGCATCAATTTCATCCCTGGCATCTGGCTTGTGTTCTTCCACTCCATCGAACTGCTGTTGAATGCTCGAAAGCTTTTCCTTGTAGTCGAAAGAGTCCAAAGCGAACGCTACCAACGAGCTTGGTTCATCCTCACGAACAATAATATTGCAATCAGCAAAGACATGATCCATCACACTGAGTGGATACTCAAGGGACGCCCACCCACTGGCAGAACGTTCGGACCAGAAATTTGTCAGCATCTTCAAAAGCGTAGTACGTTCGTGCTTGGGCAGTTCTTTATACTCCATTCCGTAGTCCTCTGCTGACTGTTTCGTCTCTTCGTGGGAAACTACCGGATGAAGATCTTCAATCATGTTTTGTTCCTCATCACTTTGGTGATCATCTGCTTCACCACCAGACAATGGTTGATTGTCAGGACAGAGTGCACTGCCTCCTTCCGTAGGCTCTGGGGTAGAGTCATTTGGAAGTGATGGTTCATCATGCGTTATATTTTCATGCGTTAGTTCATCGCTCTTGCGACTCATGTTGTCCATTGGGATCCGTGGAGCCGAGGGCAAAGATTCATCGCTATCAACTGGTGGTTCACGTTCTTCAACAGCCTCTCGTACATTTCGATAGACCTCGACGATTGGCTTCGAGGACGCCAGTGGGAATGCTCGGGAATGAGTACCCTTAGCAGCGCGTTGACGTCTTTCACGCTGTCTCTCCTTTTCGAACTCACGACTCAATTGTTCAAAATGCCTGGCAAGGTGAGAGACCTGTGATGTTCCCCTTTTACTCGGAGCAGACCGTGGGATAAGCGAATGGCCCGAGGCAAATCGGGCGCTCTTGAGGGAACTCAATCCCAAACGATCGCTCAGCGTTCTATCTGATGACTTTGTTGGTGACTGGCCTGAAGATTTTTCTGGATCGATTGGGCCAGTGAAAGCTGTTTTTAACCCTGGAAGTGGAATGCTGTGAGATGACCGTGGTATATTCGCTGGCTGAGATTGAGTGCGCAAAAGTGGAGGAGATCGTGTCTTACCGGGACGTCGAAAGGCTGGTTCAGTAGGTCTCGGTATCGCCGAAGGCCGACGTACAGGGGTACTTGGCATGTCAGAGGCCTTATTGTCTTCAGTCCCATTTTTGGTTCCTTGATCGGAGATCTCAGAGCTTTCCGGCGGTGATGATTCAGATGATCCGTCGCCGGAGATCATCACAGGGAGGTCAGTTTTGATTGAAGATTGATTGGAAATGTCAGCGTGACCAACGGAGCTGCGTTCCGATTGTCCAGCAGGAACAGCCAAGTCAAGATGACGGACTTCTTCTTGTGAGATAATCTCATTCTGAGGAGAGGACCTCGTTCCATCAGCTGCATCGACTGACAAAGTTGCTTGGTCAGCCAACAATGGAGGCGACTGCATCGCGACTTCTTGGAGTTCCTCGCGGTGCTTTTTGCCCGCATGCTCCTCAACAACGGAAACTAGTACATTCTGTGCCTTTTCCGGCGAAAGCGTCATGCGTCGCATCATGCGTGGTCTGTCTACTGCCTGGTTGTTTTCATCTTCAACGTCCGCAGGAGCTTGAAGTGTATCATCTGTTGAGACTGGTGTTGCATCTTTGTCGAGGAAGATCTTCCTCAGTTGCAGGGTTGCCATGTGCTTGATATCTTTTTCGGATGGGAAAAAGTTCATTTCGAAATTGACAAATGTCGTGTCCCATTCGACAACCTTTTCTTGAACTGCACGGAGGACCTCATTCAGCGGTATGATCTCCCAGTAGCGAGAACTTGTGTATTTGTCTTGTAAGTGCCGGACCAAAGAGCTATGGTCTTCATGACCCTTCTTGATCAAATTCTCAATTTCAGTTTTGCAGCTCTCCTTCAACTCGGGCACAACACTCTCGGCATTCATGCCTTTCAAACGGTCTTGAACAGACGCCATGAAGTTGTTGATCCGTTGCTCGGTACGCAAATATACTTCGTTCCTCATCTTCAGATCGTTGTCCACCTTCCAAGTTACACGAGGCCGAGGAACGATAATTTCGAGCAGGCGAATAGGGTCATATTGGACTCGCAAAGCAAGGTCGTTGTAGCCGAAAAAATGGAGGTAATCCCGCCGCAGATCATGAGAACAGCCTCCAGTGCGAGCAAGCATGTGTCTGCCCCAGAAAGACAATTCCAAGTATTTCCCGAATGAATATTTCCATGTGCTTTTCGACATAGGCATGACTTGAGTCTCATTGCCGCACACTTTGCAACAGCTCCACATCAGGACAGTATTATGGAGCCCGAGAAGTTTAGATGGGTAAGGTTGGACTAGGACGCTGATCTGAGCCTCGCCATGGACGTACTGGCGGTGGTGTTCGAACATGCGCTTTTCACAGCCGTTGACGGTGCATATTGAATTCGCTGTCTCACAAAGCTCCTCGACATACTGCCCAATCGTGAGATCTGACTCAAAAACCGTGTCGTCTCCATGCTCATTGTAGAACTCCAGGGCAAAGGTATCCGGCCCTGAGCAGGGGACTGATGTTGTTGTGCACACAACACTGTAGAGAATGACTATATTCTGATGTGCATAAGGGTCGAACATGTTGGGATTCCCCGCTACATAGGCTTCCCACTGGCGTTTTTGGGTTTGATGGTGATAAAGTGCCCGATCGTACTCGGCTTCATGTGCAGCACGCAGTACTTCCTTGACTTTTGCCGGCGCATTTTGCGGTGATTGATGAACCATTTCTGGAGTGATGAGCACGAACTTCTGCGGTTTGACCTTTTCATCGGTGATTTGATCAGAGGTGCTGTCTTGGTCACGAAGAGATTTCAGATACGAAAGTCTGCGTTCCATTTCGCGCGCTCGTGTCAGGAGATACGGAGCCTCGAATTTTACGAAAGGCGATGCCGACAAAATTTTTGTCTCGTAATCCTGAACCATATCGTTATAGTATGTCGGCATTGGAATGCTGTCTGGGACTTTTGCACCATCGGCATCAACAAGGATTTGACTGTCAGAGATATCACCAAGTTTGTCGTTTTTTTCCTGTTGAGCGGTACATGGGTCAACAAGAGGTGTGTCGACTCCGTGAGTGACAGTCTGCAGTTTATTCTTGTCTTCGTCGGACATGGTTGTTGATTCTTCTGCCGTAGAGGTCGATATCCTCCCGAATTCATCTCGCATAACATTGGTTTCGAGGCGTAGATTGTACACGACGTAAACCATAAACTCGGCGATCCTTTTCACCTTCGCGAGGAGACGATTATCTCCTCCGCGCAGGATAATGGTACACCCCAGCTCTTTCGGGCAGCCGGAGATGTATATATATGTTTTCTTTCGACCATTATGGACATAAGTTTTCACGTCGAAACTGCTGCATTCACTATGCAATGTGGTTGTCAAGAGTTTATCCATAGATGTCATGATTCTAGTCTGTGTGCATCTTGACACAGCCTCAAGAACAGATGGTTTCACGTTGTATGCAGTGGCGATTCCAGCTTGCTCAAGAAGGCCGAGAGCCAGCCCAGAAACAGTCTTCTCAACCAACAGCAGGTTCGGACGCAATGCCGAGATCCGACTGACTAGGTTCTCTAAAAACTCACGCTCTTGTCGAATAACAGGCTCGAGACTCATAAAATGCTGCTGTTGACGAGCATATTCAAGAGGAAAGGTGATTATCAAGATGTTTGGACGTAAGATGTTTCGTGACATGCCTTTCAGAGCCAAATTTTTGGTGAAGACGAGGCCCGACACATAGGATGTGTCACTGGGCCGGCCACCCGGGATCTTCTTCAATTTGACGTAGTGTCGAATGTCCATGTCGTCCCCATTTTGAACATCTGGATCGACCTCGTCTGCAGCTTTCAGAAGTATTGGCATCAATGCATTTTCCCAGCTGTCGCCATTTGGCACAGCAGATTCTAGAAGCAGTTGATGGAGAAGCTTTCGTACGTGCTCTAAACTGGCTTTGTTCAGTTCCACTGGTGGCGCATCATTGCCCCTCATTGATGAACTTCGTGTCATCTTGAACCCGACTTGCTTGGAACCTCCAGGTAAAGATATGGCTGGTACTGAGGTGTCATGAGAAAGCATATTGTCCTTTGATGTTCTTGGTGAATGACGCGGTTGAAAATTGCTAGTAACGCTCATGTTTCGACGACGAGAGAAACGAGGTAGATTCACGGCCCTTGAACTGGTGATACTGGCATCATCCCCCTCTCGATTGATACTAGGAGCATTTCGGTCCCCAAAAGCAGATCTGCCCTTCTTTACGGCTGCCAGGAGCCCAATAAATGATGCCCTCTCGCTTTCACCCCCACTCTTGGACAGAGTGCCTTCAGAGACTGCCGACAAGAGACTGGGCTGCTCGTCGCCACTAGATGCGTCATCCGAGAGATATTGAGCAATGTCAGGGTCAATGATATTGTCTTTGTGAAAAGCAGGTAGTCGAGATTCAACGTCTACCTCATCTGCATGTCGACGTTGGAAGGGAGCTCGATCTTCATGATTTGGCTTGAAGCCCCGAATGTATTGCTGACGAGAGTGGTGACGTTTGTGGCCAATGGAATGCGGTCTTCCGCCCAGCGAGGACCGCAGAGAGCGCGAAGAGGTAGGTCGTGCCAGATGTCGATCAGAATCAATTTCGAGAATTGCCGAGCGGCGATTATGTCCCTCTCCAGCACGTCGTGTGGCCGGTATGGCCATTGTCGGGGTTCTCAGAACATGGTCTATTGATTGTGATACAACCGAAGATGAATCATCATCGTCCGCAGATGTACGTCCAGTATTGGTCCAGTTGAGTTCGGCAACCCGAGGGTTGCCCACTATGGGGCTCTGCTCACTATCAGAGAACTCAGATGAATCATCGTCATGCGCATTAATCATCTTCTCACAGGGTTTGCAAACCCGAATACTCCCAGGTTGTCCGAACCGTGTTCCTGAAATAAGCAGAGTGCATTTCGAATCAAAAATTTGACCACATGTTCGACAGTGATGTTTTCTGCGAAAAGTGGTGAATGGTTCTCCGCAATGAAAGCAGTCTTTTGCATTCTCATCCCGCATCCAAAAATCCCTGCTAAGCAATTTACTTCTTAACTGCGACAAAACACCGTTGTTCTCGGCAGGTGCTTGGCGTTTGGCTGGTACGGATTGACCAGTAGCCCGATCGACTGTCGTATTTAAAGGGGACAAGGAAGAGGCTGTTGTGGTAGTTTCGGCCGTAGAAGCCCGCGAAATTACGTACCCAGGCAGTCGCGTTGCTCGGATGGAGGACGTTGACTCTTCATTGGATCTGCCGGGAGCTGTACCCTTTGGAGGCTCATTGGCGTTGGCGCTGTCACGAAGAATATTTGTCTCCATGTTGATTGGGGAACTTTCATCGTTGTATGGCACGTCGCCCTGAGAGGGAAGTCTTGATAGACTATTTGATGCAGATACTGAAGCTTTGGGTTCTTCATAAGGGAAAGATGTTCGCGATTTTGATCTTTCTGCCGGATGCTGAGATGTATGATCCTGAAATGGCTCAGCTTGCTTTTGATTTCGCACGTTAGTTGATTGAGTGGGAATTTCGGGTAACTTTTGTTGGTCTGGAGTAGGGATGGACTTCCGAGACTGGTGGTCTGGAGTATAGGTTGTCGAGAAGAATGAGTCTTTGCGGTTGTTTTCCTCATGATTACTGTCATGCATCTTTGCAGAAAGAGTCGGCGAACTAGAAAGGTTTTGACTCAATGAAGAGGATGTCTGGCTCAGGGAAAGATCCGTGGGGCCGTCCTTGCTGCCGATACTTGTGGATTCTGCATTATGGATTCCCTGGAAGGGCACATTGACGGAACTACTTCCTGAGCGGTCGGTATTTCCGATGACGTTCACATGAAGCTGAGTAACAGCAGGGTCTGCCACAATGGCGCCACCGGTGGCTTTCGTCAATGGTGCAATACTAGGCTTGATTCCAGGAGATGGTGACACGGATGCCTTGGAAGATATGCTGCCACTTTTGGAGGATATTCTTGATCTCTTTCCTACATTCGATTGTTGCACAGAATCAGGATGAGTGTGAAAGTCTGGTACGACGGGCGAGTGAAGCCTTGACCCCTGTGACGAGTTGGGCTGTGATGGCGGATAATCAACGGAGCTTGTAGCCAGGTCCGAGACTGATTTTGCCATTGAACGTTCGGACACAGGGCTTTTGACTGCAGGAATTTCTGTAGCATTTTTGTCTGTAGACTTTCCGCCACCGCTGACAATATCTCTCACTCCCCCGACAGAAGTCCTAAAGCGACTATACAGACCGCTTAGTCCACCTTGTAATTCATCAGATAGTCCTTTCTCCTCCGATGTAGCAGCTGGAGCCGGTGGACTAGTAAAATCGTTAAAGAGAGTGAGCGATTCGGACTGATACGCTGTATTATGGTAGTGATCTAGAGCTGCATTCATCGATTCTCGTTCAGTCTGAGTCGTTGCCATAGAGCCGCGTGATTCCCGTCGCCCAAGAGGAAGCGAAGTGGAAGACCCAGATGGACTGCATGAGTCCTGGGATTGCTGAAAATCCATGGTTAACTTAGGCAGAAAGGTCTCAGATCATGCCCCCCACAGGATAGAGACACCGTTGGTAGCCGATCATTCGGGACAGACCTGCGGTAAGGTCTCAAGTTTGACGAGGTTGGAAGAAGGAAGAGAGTCGAGGGTTCCTTATAAGCGTCAGGGTGATCAAAGAACTTTCAAATGTTCCTTTGACAAAAAGAATAGGTCCTTGGCCCTCAGGTTGAATGACGTGTGGTGCTGAGTAAGCTAGGCGCGTCCCCAGAGCTGGGCAGCTCCGATAAGACGCGGTTTAGTGGGTTTTTGATACGGTGCGACCTTCTCTTTTTTTTTCTCTACACATACCCATGGATGTAAGTGAACTACTCCTCACAAACATCCCACCTGGGCATACCTCCACTGTTCAATCCTACTAGCTATGACCCATGTGCTGATTGCATTGATCAAAAGGCTGGACTGGCACGATGAATCCAGTAACGCCCTGGATCGCGGTTTTGGCCGACCAATGTCTGTCGTTCTATCTCGGTCAAAATGATCAAGATGATATCCAGGTGGAGGATTTTGAGGGATGCCTGATTTTTATTATTCGCAGGCCCACGTTAAACACAGCCGTTGTTGTATCAGTAAGATATCTCAAGCGGGTGTGAACACAAGGAATTGTCGCTAATTGTATACCTCTTGTCTCTAAGTGGGGAGAAGGAGAGGACAGTCATAGAGCCACATTCACAGACTCAAAGAACCAGATCGATGCGATTATTCTACGTGGCTCGCCGGACGCACAGGAAGAAACCTCACCCTGCCCACCATCGGTCAAAGGGGGCCCTAGACACCTTGTTGAACTTTCCGATATTAAGCTCATATTTACATACTCGGCCTCTGCCCCGGATGTGTACCTTCACGTCAATCGCTTCACAATCCACCCGAATGCAGTTCCGAAGGGGGATGTACCAAAACCAAAGCTCAAGAAGACACCAACTCTCAGAGCCCTAATGACTATGGCATGCGAGAAAATAAAAAAAGTCCAAGCGCAGACTGGCTCCAATAGCCAATCTGATGTTGGTTTGACAGATTTATTTGTCTCTCAGCGTGATCAGCCCATTCCACCTCATTATTCTCAACACAACACGGCGTCACAGTCGCTCTTCTCCCAACCCCCGTCTAATATGTGCCATGGCGCACCGAAGAGCAATTTAACGACCAATCGTGTTTCCATCAACGAGTCATCGGATCTTCTAGGGTTACTCGCACCTTCTCGTCCGATTCAAAAGGGCGGTACAGCCACCAGAGAACTTCCAGAGGCCAACGAGCTATCCCTAGGTGAACGTAAAAGCAGGCGATCTCCTTTGCCAAAGGGGAGGAAGTCAGTGACACCACAAGAGTTTGAAACATCTCCAACCAGAACACAGCCCTCATTCAGAAGTCTTTCTGGCAACACTGCTGATGCGACGCGTGCTAGTAACTCTGTTACCAATGTGTCTTTCGCCAATCTCAGTGAAGATGTGGATAACCTAATAGCAGAGTGTCGAAGTCAGGCCGCGCAATCTCCAACTGAGCCAGATGATCATGGACGGGCTCATACTGTTGCAACAGGGGATAACCAGCAGTTTTCGAAAAAAAGAAACCGTGGCATCACAGATGCATCACCACATGAAGCTCGGGATGATAAACTGGACTTGCAAGGCCTGCAGAACCCACACACATCACCCTCCAGAAAGCGACAGCGTGTCCATACCGGAAAAGCGATGCCGGCAGACACAACTGAAGCCGAGCAAGTGCAAATTAAGGCCATGCCGTCACTTTCTAGAGTGCAGATCGTAAGCACCAAAACAGACAGCGTGTGTCCATCCACAACTAATCCATGGGAAGGAATGATACAAATACCTTTGAGCGAAGTTGATATCCCAAAAGATCAAGCAGAACTTTTGGAAGGACTCAAATGGATCCCTCAAGACCCCGGTGTATCTGCACCTCTATGCCACGTACCTCCTCATCTTTTGACGCAATGGAACAGCATTGCACGAAGAAGACAACACCTGAAAGAATATCCAGAAGAAGAAGAAGAAGGAGAGGAAGAGGAGGAAGAAGAGGAAGAGCAAGTATCCGACCGTGCATTTACTCCAACCTCGCAAGATATCCAAACATCCCCTATACCATGGTCTCCGTCACCCAATAGGACTCCTGCTCGAGATTATCTTCCACGAGACACCGCTTCTCCCCCAAGATACACGAGACCTATCAGAAAAAATCCCATGCCAAGCGGTACTCAATGTAGCGTCGATCAATCTGCAGATCATGCCGATATGGACATGTTGAATGGATCTTGCAGTGCTTCTTCCCGGCCAGGCCAGGGGGTATCGTCGCGTCCAAGGACAATACCAAGACAGCAGGGCGACAATATTCCCAATTTCCCGAGAAAGTAACGACAGAACAGATAAATCCAGTGTCTTTGGACCATGATCCCGGCGATAGCCCACCCCAAGAACACAACACTCCAACATCGCTCGATGTGATCGATGATCAACCCCTAAGCGTAATAATACAAGAAGATTTTCATGAGGAAAAACCTACCCGAAAACCCACACTTACATCTGAACTGCGTGATGAATCAAGTGGTGATGAGAGTGATGAGCCGGAAATGGAAACATATGTTCCTTTCGCCCTAGGGGGAAGCCTTCCATTAAGCAGCCAACCTGAGCATGACTTTACTAGCTCGGGGCTATCGCTTCCAAGATTTGCAGGGAGCACTATCCAAGTGGTGGAGACACCTGCAGTCCACGCGACACGTCTGAATTCTGGGAACCAAAACAAACAGAGAGTTGGATTAGAACCCCAGAGCTCTCAACATCCATCCTCACAGGCTGCTAAGACATCATCCTCATCTCGGATTCTCAATACCTACCGCTCGCAAGATAGCCACGGGCGTAGTATTCCATCTCAAGAGGCACCGAATCCATCTTTACCGATTTCGGAAGGCGAGTCACTGCGAGTGGATGTGCTAGGCACTCAGACTCAAACGAGCAGCGTACATGCACCATCACAGGCGACTGTCCAGTCGTCTTCGGACGTTGTACTTGATTCTTCCAGACCTGCTCAGCGCCAGCGTGGCTCCTCCATCTTCGATTTAAACACCTTGGATGACCCATCGTCTTTCCCTTATGCCAGGTGCCACTCGTTACCCTTGTCTCAACTTCATGAACCAAGCCAAGATTCTTTCGGAGAACACTTCTCTCTTGATGGAGCCCCGAAATTGCCAGACTTGTCACCCATGGAATTCACCACCTGGGTCGCTGCCAACGGGGAATCACCATCCAGGTATCCACACTCTCTGCGCCGCGGGAGTGCTGATCCTAGTCGAAAGGTATTCCCCAGTCCAAATGCCGAGCTGGTAGCACGGCGGCGGGGCTTTATTGGCAAGTCTGACAAGTATGCTGAAGCACAGACAATCTATGAAAAATTCTGCAATGATTATTCACTATATTCTGGTGATTTCGCTCACTTCATTGAGATGTGCTCAAAACTGCAGACAATGCGGCAAGGGGGCCAGCTGCAACGGTCATTCCTATGGGATGACTTTGTAATCCAACATTTGGAGGAGTACCCACGCTATTTTGCAGAGCGCACATCTCAGGATTCAAAGGCACTGGATTACGAAGATTTCTTTTGCTCGAAATTCCCACGACCCCAGCACAAAAAGAGAAGTCTAACGGCCCACGGAGTTGATATAGTTGCTTCCCAGTTTGCTCCGCCTACCGTCGAAGGCGCAGTGACTCAGGATAAAGCGGTGCAAAGCGAAGTGGCCCCCACTTCTTTGACAGCCAGTCTTGTGGGAGAGTCTTCAACCCGCCATACTCGCTCATTAGGTGACGTTCCTGTCCCGGATGTCTACATGCCAACTGCAACGCAGTCATTGTCACCCTCTACTGACACCGACTCAGATTCGGTGAAGGTCAAAGTTGAAGACGATTCTTCCGATGGATCGACTGACTCCCAAATTCCCACACGCAGCAACGATCAGCAACCCGTGCTCTTCGGTCTTGATGAAGAGATAGTCAATGCAACCCAATACGACGCAAAAAACACGCGCATTGCGTCTGATCTGAACAACGTCGGCGTAACTGATACTAGCATGGACGAAGTTGACGATACAGAGGAAGGAGATTCTATTCACCATGAGACTGCCAGCATTGAACTTGGCGATGATACTGACGATCGCCACATCTCTGCCTTTCTCACCCCGCCTGAGCCGCCCGCGGCCCTGGGTTCTCTTAATGGTGCCACGATCGAGCCTCCGAGGCAACAAAAATCATGGTTCCGATCTCTCCGGAACATATACCCCACAGGTCCGGTGTGGTCCGATGACCCCGACACGCCGTTCAAGCGCTGGGCTCGCCACGATCAAAACGTTCTTCAGGAGCTCAATCGTCGCGGTGGAGTTAGGGTTCTACTTGATGAGAAGGGCGTCATTCGTCGCCCCATCTACAACCACGGAAACAATCCTAATTTTTAGCAGTTGAATTTGTTTAAACGCCTTTCCACGGGCCAGCGGCTGGGTCGGCACACTGGCAAGAAGTACGCATAACGGCAGATACCATTTCATTTCATACTTACTTCCGCAAAGGAAACAGAATATGGGATAGTGTGCTATCTTATTTTCGAATCCAAATTCATTCATTCATTGTACATATCTTCTCAATGCCCAAAGCCACTTAGGACGTTGAAGCAGAAGACCCAAGCCTCGAAACCCGATTCCTCTCGGTAGGGACAAGACCAAGCCCGATAATCTACGAACCCCCAATAGTATACGGAGTACTTGTACTCCACCTGCAATCATCCACTGAAGGGCAAAAAGGAAATCACCCCAATCGGATAATTTATTCCGGGATTCCCTGTGGATTCCCAATGCCCCCAACCACACCAGGCATCGGTGCAGGGATAGCGAAGTATCGAGTAGAGATCAGCAGCAATCACCCAGGCTCGTGCAGTATCTATGTTGTAGTCTCGTGCACAGCATACTCCATAATCCATGCTCTTGACAGCCCAATGCGCTCGAGCCTCATTGCAGATCCTAGGCTAGGCCCTTAGCCCTCGCCACCGTGTTGAAAGAACCAATATGCTTCTCTCTGCGATATTAAGACCCATAGAGGATGAACGTATCTCCGGGGCCAGCACAATATATAAACATACAAACTAGGTCGGTAGGAGTGGGATCATGGACTGGTGAATTTAAGGTTTGGGGATTTTGGTTGTTAGTTACGACATGCTTAATTAGACAAATGGACAATTTAGGTATACTATGAAATTGAAGGGGGTTGAAGAGCCCGAATGTTACACGTAAATAGATCTTGTATTTGAGTCAATTTGCAAGTAAATAGATGCTAATGATTCCTCCGTGGAGGATCAGAGAGATAAACAGTAATGCAAGTGTTCCCTCCTAAAGAGACCCTAGTCTCTCTGCAAAATGGTATGATTGACAAAAGTTCAGGAAACGGATATGGTCATTAAAGGCATGCAAAAAAAACCCCACATGAGAAACGCCTTGGTATCGCCAATCTAAAATCGTTTTGGAATGGGTATACAGTCATAAAAGCCCGGAATCCCTTTAAGAATGACGGTAGGGCTCGTAGGCGCTTGAGTGCTGGTTGTGGTGGGTCATGGGGATATCGTTATTGTAGTTAGGGGCAGGGGGGTATGAGGTGGTGTAGCCGTGCTGAGCATTGGGCTGAGAACCGTAGGGAGGGTGGGCGGCACCTATGGGCTCATAAGTGTAAGGGGCCTTTTCTGCAGTCACGCCACCGCGGGTGTTGTGGCGGTCTTTGTGGCCGTAGGGCGAGCGGCCGGAACAGCAGCAGGTGCTGAACATCCAAAAGATGGTAGCTCCCAGAGAGAAAGCGACTGCCAGCCAAGTGGCGGCAAAGATGTTCTTACCCAGGCCTACATCGACACCATAGACCTTGAGGGCTGTGCCGAGGGAGCCCTTTGCGATGGAGAACATGATGGTCGAGGTAAGCGATGCGCCGAGAGTGAAGAGGAATGAAACAATCGAGACAATGGTGGTGACACAGCTGCCCCAGCGGCTGAAGATGGCAAAGATACCAAGCAAGACCTGGGCGCAAGTTGCAATGAAGGCAACTAGGTAGGCAATGAACATCCACTTGGAGACGGCTTTGTAAACGTTCAGGGTCTTCTTGAATCCGCTACCAAGCTCCTTCTCAAGCTGGGACTCGCTGATTCCCAGTACTGAAGACGGGTTGAAGTAGAACTGAGCCTTGGGATCTGTGCAGGAGGAGATGGTATTTTTGCCCTTGGTGGAATTTCCCTCACAGTAACCCCAGAGACCAATGTCGTAGAAACCAGCGATGTCGGCATCATTCTTCAAGGTTGTGATGGTCTCTTCAATCTCCGATGCAGTGACGGAAGTGATATGAGCATCATTAAGGCGATCTGTGATTTCTGATGTAATTGCTGATGCTGTGCTGATGTTTGAGAGGTCGAGCTATAGATTGTTGGCATTAGCGGGTGCAGTTTTTAGGGCAAATTTCGATCACTTACACGAATGAAGTATAAATTGTTCAAAGTATCAGAACTGGCTTTTGTGCAACCTAATCCCACCATAATGATGCAAATTAATGATGCGATGGTCAAGACATAGGGCGTGAAGATACACGCAACGCGACCGGCTTTCCCCATGATGAATAGGTGTGATAGGAAATGTAAAGAAAGATGTCAAAGACAGATGAGAGATGTGGAGAGGCGAGACGGGGGGAAGACTTTTAATATATAAACCCCCGTCAGTAAACAATTGTACAGCCTCACACCAACACGAACCACCAGCCTCCTATGAGAGGAGGCGCAGGATCAGCGGACCAATCAGTGGCTGAGCGGTCACGTCGCCAGGGCCACGTTGGTTTCTATTTGTGGCTGCGCTAGTCCTATTTGGGCTGACATGGTCCTTATAATCTGCTCCTTCTACTCCGTATACACAGCTCAGAAGAACTCTGGTGTTTGTACTCTATATACCATGTTCCTCAAAGCATAGCACGCATTGTCTCCTCAAAGCTACACATACTCTGTCAATGTACATACTGTGCACAATTCAACGTCATATCCTTCTGACCGCCCCAGGATCACCATTCTAGTGGCCAAAACAGGTGATTCTCCAATCCCGAGCTTCGTCATCCTCTCTACTCTGAACAGCCTTGTGGACCCATTTAAAATTTTCCCTCTCCGCCTCAATGCGTAAGCCCGGGCGTGGAGTACAGAAGCCAGGCTCCCCCATTTTTCTCTTGGCATTATCTCCCGCCCTTACAGATCGCATTCCACTCGGCTCCCCGCTGTCTCTGCAAAATTTACTGTGATGCCTTGTTCTATATTTATTCTCCTCAGATAAACGTTTCCGAATCTAGGATAATCCCGCGATGAACCTTTCGATTGCGCAACTCACCCTGTACAACATTCGGGGATCTTTTCTAGGAAAAACCATGCGCTGATCGACACCCGTCATATCGCCACTGATACATGAGCTGTGGTCATTAGAAATTTCAATCGTTTCATTTACTATCTTTTAGGCAAATGATACGGACACAAAAAAAAAATTCAGGATTTTCCAAAATTGCAGCAACCGAAGTTGATAACTCACATCCGACTATGTATAGTCACATTCACCTCAATTGACAGGATTTACTGCAAATATGGCTCAAGCGTCGACAACATACCAGTATAGGCCGGTCCAGTGGGAGGCTCGATACTGAACATGTAGTCAGCCCACCAAGGTCCCGCAGCCCACCACAATGCGCCGAGCCAGACGTCTGAGTTTTCACCCAGGAAATCAAGCATCCCAGTAACTGCCGCCTTGCAATCATCGTTCACACCACCGGCAAACTCGCCAATCACTCCAACCTTCTTGTTATCCTTCAGCCACTGTGTCGCGTCCGTCACGCGCTCTTTTCCAATCGTCGTCGACACACATGCCTCGTTCGTGCCCGATCCATCCGAATCAAGGTACTGGTGCATCTCGTAGACGATCTTGTCCTCAGGGTCGGTCAGGTCCTTCAGGTTATCGTTCACATCAACCCAGGTCCACGCGCCGGTCCAGGAGTTACCCTCGACGAAGATGTACTGGCTCTTCGCCCCCGATGCACGGATACCGTCAATGGCTGCTTGGTTGAGCTTCAGGACGAGGTCTTGGTCCATGTCGTGGTACTCGTTGTCTGCATGATTTGGTTAATCAGTGGGCTGGGATGCGACTGGAGATTGAGGGTACTGACTTGTGTCGAAAACGACTAGCTCATTCTCAACGAATTCACCTGCGACGTTCTTCCAGAATGTCTGGAAGTCGGCGGGGGTGGAAATAATCTCATCGTTGCTGTGGGCACTCATAAGCTTCGATTCATTTGTTTGTTCATTTGATAGAACACTTACTATCTTCCATAGTTATGAGGATCAAGCACGGCGTGGGATCCTCCATCAGTGATGGCTTTGACCGTCTGACACCAAATCAGTATCTGCTTGGCCTCATTCGCGCCAGTACGGAACAACATACCGCGGTCAGATTGCTCAAATAAGCAGCATCAAACCCTCCTGTCATGGTTCCCGGTACCAGCCGTTCCATCTTGAAGGCCACCCGGAAGATGTTCATGCCTTTCTCAGCCAATGTTTGGATTGCACTGGCATCCGGGAAGTAATAGTCTTTTCCCTGTTACGATCTCTATCAGTTCAGAATCTCTGAAGACACGTTTGTTCAGCCCACTCACGTAGACACCAGGAATGTTCTTCTCGCCGAATTCAGCTACAGATTCGCTTGTTCCGAACCCTATACAAGAAATTTGGTCAATGGATGATCAGAAAAATTTGTTAAATTGATGGTATCGAACATTTGAAGGGTGAAGCTCTCTTTGAATTCTTAGCAGGAGCTGCCGCTGCGGAACCAGCCACAGCGGCGAGGAGAGCAATGTGATCGAGTCTCATATTGACAAGTCAAACTCTTTGTTATATGAGATCAATGGTTGTTTTCACAAGAGAAAGGAAAAGAAAATGAGTGATGTGATAGCAATGCAGAATGATACCAACAACGATGCGAACTTGAGCTTTTATAGTTCTCTGGTCTGTAAATTAAGGTCCATACATCATTGAATAACTCGGGAAACATTCCAAATGCGTACAGCTCCACGGATATTAGATCTTGATGACAGAAAAGGACACGGGGATTCATAGGTCTTCAGTCCTTGGAAATATTGTACGTCTCTGACGACAGTGAGGCCCGATGTGCAGCAACTTCGGATATTGCAATGCCTCAGAACAATCCCCCACCAATAGGAATCCATAGAATCATAGAACATGGGGAGAGACACTTTTTCTTGGCTATCTCGTGCGAAACGGGGAAGCCAAGAAGGAGATGTTCCCGAAGATGCCGACTCGAAGGCACCTGATCCGTGTCCAAGAGGAATTATTCACTGTACTTCATACATACCCCGCTTCAATGAAGCTTTCTTCAGGCGCAAGTGGCTTGAATGTGCGTAGCTTTGTTTCGATGACTTTGATGTTTTGCAAGCCCGTGATGCTTCAAGTATTGATCGGCGTTTATAGTTTCTGACATGCAGGGGTAGGGGTAGTAAGACCACGCTACAATACAGGGGGCTGCCGAGTGTAACTGACATCCATGAATAGTCTGATGTAGGCAATACATTTGCCAAGTCAAGGAAAGGTTTACTGTCAACATCCTACGCTGTAATAGTTGATGGGAAGATAAAACAATTGCGTGGGCCAAGCAAGCGTGGCAGGTTGATTGCAAGCTGAAACCGGTACAAAAATAACTTGAAATTCGCTCGGTAAAAGGTAACTGCCCTAAGAAATAACAGGGCAGACTATACACAACTGTTTGAAACTTGACCCTTACTACTCTTCTGCGGATAATTTTCCACTGGACTATCCAAATCAGTCTACCAAGCACCGAGAGAGTGCATGTGCTCTTTCATATCAGCTGCCTGCAGCTTGTGGTAAGCATGACCTGGGTGGTAGGAATTCCACCAGACACATGAAGTACCGTCATCATTGACACAAGTAGCATCGGTGAATCCATATGTTGCAGGAGCGTCGAGGACTTTGTCCATGAAGGCGAATGTATCGTAGAGAACCGTTTTGGTCTGCAGCTAGATTAGTTTTGCAAGATCACACATAAAACTAGAGTCCACAACGTACGCCACTGTTGTCTGCAATGAATTCATTGACCATTGTTTTGAGAGCAGCATTGTAAGCCGCGAGCCACTTAGCGTGGTTGGTTGCAACGGCTGTCCCTTGATTGGCGATCTGGGGAGACCGACTCACAGGTGGAATATTAAGGAAGATGAACTTCCGTCCACCATTTGCGTAGATCTTTTCAGCTTGAGTTTTATACTGGGCCATGATCTTTGGGACCAGAACGCTGGCATCATTGCTTGAGGCAGCCCAACCAATGCTGCAAATCGAAGGATTAGTCAAATCGTTCATAGGCGCCCAAGGGAACATACTCATTAATCCCAATCCAGAACCCAAACACTGCATTGTCTGAGGTCCATGGTGCAGTAGCAGGCTTCTTACTGTATGCTGTCTCGAAGCTGGCGACTTGCGTTACCATATCTTCCGCGGTGTTGGTTTTAACAAGGGAATTGTCCAGGGACGCTCCTCCAACAGCGAAGTTATAGCTGAGGACCAGTGAAGCATTGTTCACAGTCGTCAGGTCTCCAACCCAGTTGATGCCGCCACCGGTTGTTCCGGTGCCTGTTGTTTTCTCATCAGCCAATCCTGCTTGCCAGGGGGCGAACAATACTCACCCAGAGTTGGGTTCCCCATCGGGTTACCAGGAGTTGGCTGCGTGCCACTGACATCGAAACTGGTCATAGAGTAGGAATCACCACTGGGGATACCTTTGAGCTCCTTTCCCGATAACATATAAGGAACAATCATCACTCACAATGTAAAGAAAAAGGTATTGGTAGCGCGAGCTTGCAAGGGAGCAGCAGTAGCCAGCCCAGCACCGGCGATCATACTAATGATATACTTCATTGTGAGGAGAATTTGCAATGTCTGTCGGAAGAATACTCACACATTGCAAGGTTTGTTCCTTCCCTTATATACATACACTCATCCCTTGTTTCACCCGTCTCGTCTCATACTCCGAGTAAACAAGCCCCAGAGCCGAGACTAATAAATTAAACAAAAAATCGAGACTATGTCATTTAATTAACCGCTGTTGTCAATCATTTCCTCAATGGGCTCGATCCGACTCATCGATATTAAGCTGGCTGTACACGGTGAACACCCCGAAACTGCGGGGTACGTATCGGAGTTCAAGTCATCAAGCTAATTTGGAAAAGCTGAGTAGTTCGTTAGAGTTGACGAATACCCCCCAGCATATTATGGAGTATATTGTCCACTGGGATGGGTTTCTGGGAATGGATCCGCTGCGCAGCTAGAACACATGCCTTGATTTGCCCTTGTGTTCCTCTTACCCGAGTAGCTCATTACTGTCTTCCCCTTGCCCGGTGAATTTACGATCGTCATCCTCTAAGCCAAATCTGTAGTCTCGCGTGGTGTGGTCTTGCATGATGTAGTCTTGCATGGTATCATCTATGTTCATATTGTTGCATTGAAGTCTTATCTACATCCGACATCGAATCGGCATCATGCAGGTAAGGCTTGATCCGATTTGGCAGCAAACATCTCCATGCCCACACCGCATACAACCAATCGCGACTGGTTCCTTTCCGATTCAGACACGTAGCTCTCTGCGGGGAGGCGATTTTCAGGTCCACGGACAAGCCCCAGTGATGATATATCAGCTATAGAGCTGTATGTATCCAGTAGAAATCTCACAATAATCCCCTGCGTGCCAGCTTGTGTAGGGTCCACAGCGATTGACCAGATTTTAACTCGGTGGTCATTGCCAGAGGATGCCACAGTAATTTGGATGGATTCTGTGTTTGATGTGACATCACGAGAGATTTGCTGATTGAGCACTTTAACCGTGGTGACTGCTGCAGCGTGAGCATCGGGGATAGAGACTGTAGCTACTTGTGCGTTTGTGCCGGTGCCGGATGGATGTGTTTGTAGGAGGGACACGGAGAGAGAGTTATCATCACCTCCAGCAACAACAACAGTGGTCGTGTCAGAGATAGGAACCAGTTCCATTCCCTTGATGCTGTTTGAATGAATTTGATATCGGCTTTCGCATGTGATGTTTTCTGGTGAAACAAAAGAGCTGTCGAAGGGGGCCTTGGCCTTCAATGTGGATTGTGTGATTGTGTAGAATGGTTCAAGTGTGCTTGTCAGATCCCAGAGTGTGAAATAGCCATCGGTTGCTGCAGTTATGAGGCTCACTGAAGAGCTCGTGACCAAGAAATGGGCTTGGGTTAAGCAATTGGTCATGTATTTCCCACGAGCCAAGAGAGTGAATTGTCCATTGGATGATGAAAAGTGGAAGATCTACAATGACGTTAGTATTGGCCGAGGTGTTCGAGGGAAAGAACGACTCTCACCTTGATAACAGAGTTGGAAAGAGCAAGGCATAGGAGGAAGCCCTGCTCCCCGTCAACTTCCTCCACTTCCAGCAAATCGAAACTAGGTATCCGGAGATCTGAATGCTCGTCATCCTTCGGACTGGCGGCCACCAATTTCGTAGCGACACCGAACACAGGAATAGTGCGGATTCTCCATACGAAAAACTCTTCATATGCAGCACTGGTGAATAGGTATTTTCCATCCTTGGACCAGGTCACCTGCTGAATTCCAGATTTGTGTGTGTCCAAGACGCGCAGACACTCAAAGCTACCCCACGGACTAGCAGCCAATGTTGAAGTCGGCGCAAAAATCCGAACAGTGGTGTCCTCGGCACCAGTCGCAAAAAGAGTGCGACCTCCACCGGTGGGGTTGAAAACATCCACCGCTTTGATTTCTCGTCCATGACCTCCAGCTCGAAGCACAGTACTAGCACCAGCTCGGATGCGAGTAGTCATCAAAGAAAATCCGTCTTTCCACGTGAAGAAAGCATTGTGGTCTTTGTCTCCTGGGATGAAGTCCCAGCCTCGGCGAAACCCGCCTGAAGCAATGGACACGATATCCGTCAGCTTCGATTCGTTCCTGAGAACGAAATCTTGGGATCTGAATCCGTACAACATGAAATCGCCAGTCGCTTTATCGAAATAAGCGCCTTCAATGTTCCCACCAGTTATGGATGCTGTACGGTGCACTGTCTGCATCGAAACAGCATCTGTACCGTTCCCACAAAGCTGTAACTCATGGAGGCAATAAGTTCCATCTCGCCCACAGGTCAATACAAAATCGGATTTTGTGGTGTCACTCATAGTAACAGATGTCACGACACTAATGTGATTGACAAAATCTCGGCCATGAACACGTCGGCTGACCAAGATGGGCTCAGTCTCGGAGGTGTTGTATATGGCAATGCCGCCTAATTTTGACCCTATGATGAAATATCGGCCCTCAAAGAGGAAAGACGCACTGCAGACCACAAAGGTGGATGGTAGGCTGAATGTGGTTATTTTGGCGTTTGGATGATCGCTGTCCCAATTGGACACAGTGACGAGTGTTATTTCTTCTCCGGTAGGATAACAGACAAGGAACGTTATGTTGCTAGAAGGGTTCAGGGTATCCATCTTGGAAGAGTGGGTCTGAAGGAAAAATGCTTGAAGGGGCCTGTTGCCCACGTCTGCAAGGTTGGTTACAGATTTTGTAGCGTGATTATAGAGTCGAAAGAACCCTTGGAAATTACCGATCAATGCTAGACCCATCTGCGGCAAAGCAGTCAGGACGGCAAAAGAGGCAAGCTCGGAGAATTCACGTATTGTCTCCCAAGTAATGACAGTCTCCCCTGCCTGATTGAGATATCCAGGCTGGATCTGACCTTGTGTAGAGACGCGAAGAAGGCAGTCCTGGGCAATAAATGCAAAGACTCTCGCTCCATCTGCTGTGGAATGCTTCTTCTTCGCCTTTGCCCGCAAGCCAGACGATTGCTGCAAAGAAGCATCCAGGCCACAGCTCAGATGGTCATCGTCATTTTCTTTGATGGGAAAACTTTTCAGTGCACCATCAGCGCCTCCAGTATAAACCAGAGTCTCAGAGCCAACTCTGCAAAGATCCAAAGACCAAATGTGCTTTCCAATATGTGTTTGTATTGAAGAAGTCTGTTTGAGCTGATAATCAGTCGTCCCTGCGGGTGATGAGTGCCAGCTTAGGTCCCACAAAGCGCATGTGCAATCTTCTCCGCGAGAAACCAATCCAATGTGAGTTTGCTTATTATTTTTGATGGCCCTGAAATAGACACTCCAAATGCGAGACGTGTGAGCAAATGCCTGGACGATACATGACTCAGATCCGACGCTCTCTTCGCCTGCCTCAACAGGACCAAAGCCTGTGCTTCGTAATTCAAACCCGTCCGTGGAGTATGCCGAATGATCCTGGGCTGTTTTGTGCTCACAATCTGATATATCCCAGATTCTCACAGTTCTATCGTCACTGCAGCTTGCCAGTACCCTGCCAGACTGGCCTCCATTCAAGGATGGGACCTGGGGAGAGATGCGCACACCAAAGATTGATCCATCATGTCCCGTGAAGAAATGGTGGATGGAGCCGACTGCGTTAGACTTGTGTGATCCATTTTCATTCAAGAAACACGACCACACGATGATCTCTCCGAAGACGGTACCAGCGGCAATGAGGACATGGGAGGAAGACAGCGCAATCACATCGGCGGAGTATAGAATAGACTTTACACTTGTCGCCAACTGATATATGGATATAGTTGTATGTCTCTCGGCCATCTCACTGTCCAGCACTTCGAGACTCAGAAGTGCGTTGTTCGCGGTGATAAAGAATGCCCCATAATGACCACCTGGAGCAGCTGCACACCCACTCATGATCCAATCTGGAGCAGTGAACTCGGCACTAGAGGCCGACAGCGTGACTTCATTGTCAGAACCCAGAACGAAGTTGACCGCTCGCACTGAGCGACCACCCCAAACGATTACTCGGACATGGCTCGAGTCATGATTTTGTGGTGGTTGATCCAAAGTAATGAAACCGTGAATATTGTTTCTCTTGAATATCTGTATTTGGGTAGCGACAACACCCGTGGATTCATCAACCACCCGGAAGTATGTGCCTTGACTTTGAAAGACGAAACGCCTATCACCCAATACAAACGTCTTCAACGCAGTTATGGGGAGAAAAGCATCAATATGCTGCAATTTGAGTTAGTGGGACAGCATTTTTACTACAGATACAGCAACACTAACCTCGAGAGAGAAAGACATTGTCAACTCCTACGCATATTAAGCAAAGAGGCGAATCACACGGAATGTCTCAATTGCCTTACATCCAAGTGTACATCCCACCAACCCCCAAAAAAAGCCCACTACTTTTTCGATGATTTCCCCGATGCGATTATGTAAGTTCACACTAGTCTACATACGGTAGTATTACTCACGTGATCTCGCGATCGAGGCGCGGAGAGTGGAATGCGGCGCTCGGTATCCACGTCATTGCCTAGTCCTGTTTCTCTAATTAGCCACCTGCGAGCACTTTTCTTGCTACATGTGGATTTTGTTAATATGCTAGACACTGATACAGACTCATGATCTGATCCCCTTTTGATTGACCATGGGTGTCACCGGCCTCTGGACGGTCGTTCAGCCTTGCGCTCGCCCCATCAAACTCGAAACGCTAAACAAGAAACGACTAGCTGTCGACGCGTCAATCTGGATATATCAATTTCTGAAAGCGGTGCGGGACAAGGAAGGTAATGCGCTCCGAAACTCTCACATCGTTGGATTCTTTCGCCGCATATGCAAGCTGCTATACTTCGGGATCCGTCCCGTCTTCGTCTTCGATGGGGGTGCTCCTGTCATGAAAAGGCAGACAATCGCCGGTCGGAAAAAGAAACGTGAAGGCCACAGGGAAGATGCTGCGAGGACGGCGGGAAAGTTGCTTGCCGTACAAATGCAACGCAGTGCGGAGGAGGAGGACACTCGTCGACGCAACAAGACCCAGGTACAAGAAGAGGAAGATGTGCCGGATGCACCAGTCTACGCAGAGGAGGCTTTTATGACAGAGACTGAAAAGCAACAGAGCCGCAAGTTCAAGAAAAAGGACGCGTACCACCTACCTAATCTAGACGTCTCACTTGAAGATATGGGGGCACCAAACGATCCACGCATCATGTCCCAAGAGGAGCTAGAGGAGTATGCGAGACACTTCCACCAGGGTCAAGATATCAACCTTTACGACTTTTCCAAAATCGACTTCGACAGCATGTTTTTCCTTAGTCTGCCCGCCACTGATCGCTACAATATCTTGAATGCAGCGAGGTTAAGAAGCCGACTTCGAATGGGATATTCAAAAGAGCAGCTAGATACCATGTTTCCTGACCGCATGGCATTCTCGAGGTTTCAAATCGACCGCGTTGCAGAACGTAATGACCTCACGCAACGATTAATGAATATCAACGGTATGAACGGAGAAGAAGCATTTTTCAACTCTGGAAAGCGGATTGCAGGAGAACGTGGCAGAGAATACGTGCTTGTCAAGGATCGCGAACATGAAGGTGGCTGGGTCCTAGGTGTTGTGGGAAACAAGGAAGGCCATGAAGAGAAGCCCATCGATATAGATCGACCTGAGATACAATCTGACGAGGATGAAGTGTCGGAAGAAGATGAGTTTGAGGACGTTCCAATCGAAGGTCTCAACCGACTGCCCAAACTTCCTTTCCTTCGAGAGGGTGTATTCGACCGGTCGCTTCAACTACAAACGGAGCAAAATATAGACATGAAAAGAGCTACACAAGAATCACGTCAGGTTGCACAGCGACAGTCAGTGAATCAACATCGTGCACAGGAGGTTGAAAACGACTCGCTTTTTGTTGAAGCCGAAGGAAATATTGGTGCTGAGCAGCAGAACAAGGACACTGACGAGTTTTTCGATGGCGACGACGATGACCTTGAACGAGCTATTGCGCTTTCATTACAACCAGAAGAAGTCGACGACGACGAGACACTTGGCATGTCTGATATGCCCATTCATCGACCGGTAAAATCCGTTCCGTCTTACGAGGCGGTGCCAGATATTGATTCCGAGAGCGATGATGGCATGGACTTTACTGCTGCCATAGCAAGAACAAAAGTCTCGAAGAAAGCCTCATATGCACCAAATCCATTTGGAGGTCCTCTCCCTTTTGAGTCCATCAAACTCACTAAAGTCGCTAAGAATGATGACAAAGCTGGTGCGGTTGATGAAAATGCAGGAGGTTTCGTGAAGGAGCCTACAAAGAAAACAAAAAGATAGACCCACTTCCTCCGTGGTTTGTTGGTGAGCCCTCGGATTCGGGATTCATTGTTGATCCCATGGAAGATCCTGAAAAGGATGAGGACCAAATTACGGCGCCAGATCATATGTTCCTGTCCAATCGTCGCTCACCGGACATTATCGATGTTGACGAAATTTCCGCCAATAATGAAGTGGTTAATCTAGAGGCGGAAGAGGAGGATGGAGATGAGAAGTCCGAACATCAAGACAACAAACCCGCACACGTCTTCCAAGTGGAGGATATCGAAAAGGTTTATAATGAACTGTCTACCACAAATCTTGATGAGAAGAAGCCTTTGAGCGAACCAGCTCCAGCTCAGATCAATATTGATGAGACGGTACCTGGGCGTCCTGAAACACAAGTTCAAGAATTAGTCCCCGCGCTTGATGATCGGTCTACTCGCAGCGAACATTCTCCTTCCCCGGAATTTGAAGATGTTGTTCCTCAGCAACCCACTCAAGGCCCTGAGATCACTGTTGTATCTCATCAGAAGGCCCAGCCCGAGCCTCAGCTCTTCGAAAACGTCGAGGAAGCTTTCGTGCAGGATCAAGCCGATTACAGTGACCCAGAGGATGAAGATTTGTTCAAACAGCTTGCAGCTGAGGGCGAAGAGCATGTTCGATTTGCGAATACTCTTAATTATGCTGCTCCCAACCAGGAAGCCTTCGATTACGAGCAGGAACTGAAGCAACTCCGATCTCAGCAGAGAAATGAGCGTCGCGATGCAGACGAGGTCACTACTATTATGATTAATGAGTGTCAACAGCTCTTAGCGCTCTTCGGGTTGCCCTATATCACCGCACCTATGGAAGCTGAAGCGCAGTGCGCCAAACTTGTATCGCTAGGCCTTGTAGACGGGATCGTCACGGATGACAGTGACATCTTCCTCTTTGGTGGAACGCGAGTCTACAAGAACATGTTTAATCAAAGTAAATTCGTCGAGTGCTACTTGACGTCCGATTTGGAGAAAGAGTATGCCCTCCATCGGCAGAAGCTTATTAGCTTTGCTCACCTCTTGGGCAGCGATTATACAGAAGGCGTCCCCGGAATTGGTCCTGTCACAGCTCTAGAGATACTCACCGAGTTTTCCAGCCTGGAAGAGTTCCGCAATTGGTGGGCCGACTTGCAAATGGGTACGCATAATGCAGAAGATCCCCACCTTGCCTTCCGGAAGAAATTCCGAAAGAAGGCATCCAAGATTTTCTTGCCGCCTTCATTCCCAGATCCCAAAGTTGACGAGGCATACCTGGAACCTGTGGTTGATAACGACCCTTCCCAATTCCAATGGGGTGTTCCTGATTTGAATGGGTTACGATCCTTCCTCATGACGACAATCGGCTGGAGCCAAGAGCGGACGGATGAAGTACTGGTACCGGTCATTCGCGACATGAACCGGCGAGAGCAGGAAGGTACACAGTCAAACATCACTCAATTCATGCAAGGTCCACAGGGCGCGGGTGCGTTTGCGCCTCGTGTTCGCACAGGTGGACCCAGCCGCATGGAAAAGGCATTTAGTCGACTACGTCAGGAAGCTCAGACAGGCGGAACTTCCGTGGATAACGAACCAGCTATCGGGGACAAAGAGACAGAAGAAGTCTCTGTTTCCCAAAACAAAGGCAAAAGAGGTACGTCAACTGGCAAGAAGGCTGGCACAAATAAGAAGCGAAAGACCCGTCGCGCCTCTCTTGAGCCATGATTGAGGGATTGGTGGATTGAGGTTGTCGCACCGGCAGTATATTAGTTATCACACGTTGTACCTAGCCCTGGAGGTAGGATATGACAGTACTCTGCTAGCAATGTTAAACAATCATTCCATTGTCGTAACTGGTCCTTGGACCCCCCAAAGGATGAACGATATGCTCCCTCTATTCTCCATCTGCTCCCACGAGATGACTCTAATAATACTTTCCATGCCCATACTTAGGATACCTAGAAGCTCCAGGGGTGTGGCATGATTCATCCGTATTAGGGCCTGGGCTTTGATTCAATTGGCGTCAATCAAGACCCCTACGTGTTCAACCGCTCCACATGCCTCTTGCCCTTCCCCGGTCCTTTCTTTTTGCCATGATACGAAGATCTATTGCTACAAGGCAGTGAGATATTGCAGTGGCGCGACGCACTCATCTTCCAGTGGAAATTCGCTCTGAGATCCTGGGACCAGGGCACAATGTCTCGAACCAAAATTTTTTTGATAAGTAGTCAACATTTCAGGGGCAAAGCATGTTTGTTGCTAAATCAAATCAACAGACTGAATCGTTTCTGAGAGTGAGTATCGAGACACGACCCATGGGGCAGGTTGTTGCCACCGTCGTTGTTCCTGGAGCGAGAGAATACAAGCATTTTACCTCAAACTCTAGGGGTAACCTCAAGATATTTTCTCCTTTCTCCTTCCAAGGTGATCCAGTTATTGGTTATGTTGATTTCATACCCTATTGGGTGGTATAAGCAGAAGTTCCATCCGGTGACCAGGCAACCGAGGTGACTCCATCCACATGTCCCCCAAGAATCGATGTACATGCGCTCCAATCGCTTTCCATTACTGGCCCCTTGAGAACCAGTCTGGCCTCACATTCTGATAATAGCATTCCTTGGTCATACTATGTGTTGGACTGAACATGAGCAGTGAGAAGTAGACCTGTAGGGGGCTGTTTTCGATTGCTAGCCTGTGGTATTGAATGAATTGAGAGCCATCGTGGACTCGCCTCACAAGGTCCTGTGATTTGCCGATCTTCTATTGCATCGGTTAAGGGCTGGAAAAAAAATACGACTAGGCCATAGGACCCATTACTGACCTGGAAAATGTTGTCAAGCTTGATCATTGCGGCGATACCTTCGGAGACACCTCTGAGGAGACTGATGGTCTCGATCCAGCAAAGGAAATTGTGTTTCAAACAATACTCGACTGATTCACCTTCCTGAGCTTCATCGAGCGCGTAATCGGTGACATGGGAGTCTTTGAAGTGATCAACCCAGTAAAGGCATGGATATTGTGCTCTTGCTAATGGGTCAGGGTCGATAGACACACCGGGCGACTTCAGTTTATAAATATCGCGTTTAAGTGTTTCACACTCTTGCAAGGAGCGCCAAAAAATGGTGCGGTGCATGGCCTCTTTTCCTTCTTGAAAAATCTCAACCGAAGCCTTTTCGAGTAGGAAATCTTTTGCGGTCTGGTCGACAAAGAAGATATCACATCCCCGGAGTGTTAGAAATGAACCATAAGTACGTATAATACTAGGCAGATACTTGTCGGGAATGTCATAGGACAGACTTGCCAAAGGTCTTAATTCGTCTAGCGTGGTAGGTCGATATACAGTTGAGACGACAGGTAGGATACGCTTGTAAAATCCTGCATCTTGTGAGTCACCGGTATGCTGGACCATTTGCATGTAGAAGGACTCGAGTTTCGGGAGAAACTCTGTCGACAACCATTCAGTGTCCCATTGTGATAAAGCGGCTAGTCTCTTACAGACCAAGGCCACCCAGAGAAAGGTACGCTCTGCATTTGATGACAAGTGATGCAAAACAGCATTAATTTTATCAACATTATACTCCTTCTCATTCGTCAGTTGCTGGACCTTGTACTTGATGTAAGAATCGACTGCCTCTTTGACGGGCTTTTCATTCAACTCCAGCCAAAGGCTTACTTTCTGCGGAGCAGTGTCGAGGCGCCTTTCGACAGTCGGCCAGTTACGGCTTGAGACAAGCCACTTGATGCGAGGATAAGCTGAGGACATCTGGACAATGAGATCAAGAAGTAGGTTCAGATCAAGAAGTAGGTTCAGATCAAGGATACATTCGTCGAGCGCATCGATGATCAAGGGGATTTTAATACTGGGTCTTCCATGATGTCGAGAAAGATGTTTGATAAAGCTTCTCATGCATTCACATCCTATGAATATAGAAGAAAGCGAATAGAAATGAATAGAGAGCGAACTAGCTAGGAAGCAAGAGCTCCTACATATAAGTGAGCGTTGAGTGCCGAGCAAGATAGCCAAGGGCAAACAGAAGTCGACTAATTTAAAGCTGACAGAACAAGGCTATGAGCAAGTACACACAGGCCCGGCAAGCCAGATATAAGAAGGGGAGTTAATGGGAATGTTCTGCGAGTGCCATAAAACAGAGATATGGAAACCCTAGTTGGGAATAGGAACTCGAGTACTGCGAGACCAAAATGGGATAACGGGTGCGAGCGATTCGACCGATCTGATGGGATCGTCGATCTTGACCTTATAGCCTGTATTAGTCTCTACCTTAAACCTCTACAACTAGGGTATTGTGCAAGGAGAATAAGTCAGACGTACAGTGTTATTGTCACGATCTGCAATTTCCATAAAAATTAGCTAAGCTTTTTCAGTGTGGATCACCGCCTTTCAAATAAAAGGTGGTCTTCATCCAATTTTCTTTTTTCTGGTGAATGGGCTTTCTTGCCCCCCCCCCGCGTGGGCTCAAAAGCAAAAGGGTTGACGAGACAGAAAATCTGATACTTACTCACTCTCAAATATCCAAACCTGTTCTACGCTTCTGGGTCGTATGAACCAGAGCTAGGGCATGTTGGGCTGCGGCAGTCATCTGTGACCCAGCACTGTCTATTTCCTTCTTCGTCTGTCACCGAGTCCCAGTCACAGTAATCAACCAATATGGTGGACACGGTCGATGCCATATTCTAGATGCTGTTGGAGTATTATATAGGATGAGGTCGCTTTGCCGTGACGGAAATCGATAGGGTTAAGAAGGTTCAAGGGAAGTTGAACGTATTGCGACAAATGAAGAAAGAGAATGGGCTCATCGAAGAGTATTTAAAGGAAACCGAGGTTCACGGGAATTTCACATTGGGGTATTCAACTCTCATGCTTCGTGTCGAATGCAATGCCACGTCAGCCCATCGCCCGGCTGTACGGGGTTAATACGATGTCGCATTTTGATTTTGTCCAAGATCTCTCATTGGTGTGGCTATTCATACTTTGTGTGTTGGACACAATGCCACGTCAGCCCATTGCCTAGGTCTTTCTTGATATTAACAATAATTGAACCCTGAAATGTTTCCCCCTACATTCTTGCACTAGCACGGTTTTCCAAGCCTGTCCTTTTGGCACTCTTACCAGCCATCGGCGCAGTCAACCTCGAGTAGCGATCAATGCGAACGGTGCGAGTCAAAGAGGCATGGAGCCAACGCTCACAGCCCTCAATCTCCGGCGATCTCCAGCCGTGGGAGAGGAAAGGCCGCAGGCTTACAGCTTACGATGGATACGAGGCTTACATTGGCTCCCTGCCACCGGAGGAAAGCAGAGATTGGAGGGTTGGGGTGTATGATGATCTGGCAGACGCCGAGTTTGAGCGCCTGCTGAGGTCCATGAGCCGCATCCCAGACCATGACATTTACCCTGTCTTCGAAGCGGGCATCACCCAGTTCGAGCCCCAGACCTCCACGCAGGACTACTTTCTAAAGCAGCCAAACATTAGCATCTACAGTGGAAAGGATGACGTCGCCCAGCTGATGCTGGCCGAGGCCTGGGCCAACCAGAGGTTTCTCGCGCACCCTCACATCAACCTAGGCAGCTATCTTGGTTGTGTGGTGCGCGGGGGGCGCATCGTCAGCCTCGCTTTTCCCAAGTACGTCGGGACCCTGGCGGATCGCGTCAGCAAGGCCCGGCAACTTGGGCCAGCCCACTTCCCGGCCGAGGAACGAGAACGCTGTATAAACAGCATTCAGTCTGCCGTCAGACATCTGCACTCTCTGGGCTACGCGCATAATGACATCTCCGCATGCAACATCATGTTTGACAGCAGCAGTAATGCTATGCTCATTGATCTGGACTCCTGCGCTCCCATTGGGGAGAACATTAAAAAAGGTGGTGTTGTGGGCGGATGGAGGGGCCCCTTCTTTTGGAAGCAAGAATTCAAACAGTCATCAATCGAGTGTGATGAACTGTCGCTTCAGTATGTGCAAAACTGGTTGAGCAGCGAGCTTTCAGGCTACCTGGCTTGAAAGAACTCTAAGGCTTTCTCTAGGCCTAGCATAGGGCCCAGTCCGCTTCTGCTGCTCTGGCCGGAGAGGGGACCAGGGAGCTGTCAGAGTGGATGAACGGGTCTAGCGGGCCCTACTGTTGCCGCCAGGCCAGGAAGACTTGTGCCGCTTTTGCTTTGCCCCCGTGATAAGCCGAATGTCCAGCTGACTAATGGTCTTCTCCCATGGGGCCGTCTGCAGCGAATCCAGCTGCTCGGCGTCCGGGAGCTCCCTGACATGTCGTATAAAGCGTGTATGTCTGCTGGAAAGGGCCTTTAGTTTTTAGGTGAACATGGTCGGAACCGGGCCGGGCCGGACCAATCTGTATGGCCCACCCTCAACTGTGGCCTATACTCCCTTCTGGCCTACCCTTCCAAATAGCCTACCCCTGCAGTGAAAAGAATACGTCCAGCAAGCGATTAAGCGCACAACTACAGTAAGTGTTGCATTTGGGGTACGGCGACCAAAACAGATGCGACGGCTACGACTTAACGGTCTAGCACTGCTGCGTGATGTGGTTAGCTCGTCGCTACTCCTTTCTCCACTTTGGAGCTGGACTCTCTCTGAACGGTCAGATGACTGTCGTCCTTCTTCCGCCCGGTCAAGGCTCGGGAATCCATCGAGTTGCCTGTCTTTGACAAGTCGGCCTTCGGCGATGACCTTTTGCTCTTCGTATTCACAGATCCTAAATATGGCATTTCTGCCTTCGTTGGTCGCTGCCTGATAACATTGGACAGGCCTGAGGTCTCGGATATGAAGATCATACAGTGAATAGTGCTTCCGAATATATTTATCCGCAAGTCGTTCCACCGACGAGGTGTCTGTTAGGTTGGCGAAGACACGGCCCGACCACCTCCACTACTCTCGCTCCAAATACCAGGATTGATCCTCAATGGCTTCTTGCTATGGTCGACGTTGCATTTGTCCCGTTCTCGGGGCACATGACCATGCTCCGGTGAAGCCTGACGGGGGCTGTCGCCGGCTGGTGTTAAAAGGTTGGGATTCTCGGAGGATCCCGACCGTCCCGCAGGAATGGAAGTCAGCTGCAGTCCTGAGGTGTCTGCAATAGCCGCTGGATGCTTCTTTGCACTGATTCCGCCGACTCATCAGTTGGCTCCTTCTCGGGCAGCGGCGATGAATTTTGCCTATTCTCGGATTGAGGCGACTGCTCAGGCTGCTTAAGAAGCAGGTGTCTTTCACTGGACAGTTGTAAACTCGTCAAGCCGCTCAGACTCTGACCCTACTTCCAATCGTTCCTCCTCGTCCTGTGCTTTCCTTAAATCAGCAATCATTATTTTGCCGCTCCCACAATTATCGGCATCATCCCACACGAATATCTACCTCATAAGACTCAACCAATGGCTATTCATGAAGATTGTCTATTTGGAGAAATACTTTCAATGATTTGCTCCTTCCTCTTCTCTCACCTCATCACTCCATCGGTTTTGTATTCCTATGTTGTCTTTTTACGGTACTCAAGGAAATTCAAGGTTGGAATCAGCTCGGAATCATGATATTTGTCTACGATCAGTCTGTGCGTCTTCGTGCTGAACGACTCTAGAGGTCCGCAGATTCTGCTGTCCCGTTTTGGAGTGGACCAAGGTGTTATCGAATTCGACACGGACAATCACCTCAACCTAGGCGTGATGCTTGAATGAATAGGGTGGAAGCAATAGCCGAGGCCACATGGTTCCCCACGAACAGGAGTTCTCCGCAATCTCAGCGATCAGTGGGACTGGACTGGTTCTTCATACCTGTGCACTGGTTCCTTGGGGGAATTCCAGGCACTTGATGGTTACTATAAGATGTAGCATATATAATGGATATCTTAGGATTCATAGCATATCATAGCATATATTGGTATACCTAGGTATCAATGCAACCTTAGTCATGACATCAGGAAATCGATGACGTGAAGATTCCAATGTCAGATCGACAAACTATTGGCTTAGAAGGAGCTAAGACCGATGCAGCGAGTGCCTGTCTTAGCCGTGTTTTTCTTTCAGGTCCGCCCAATCCCGATCTGATCAAGTCGATTTTCGAGTTTCCTGATAGTCGACGTCACTTCCCGAGAGCTTCCAGGAGAACTTCACTTTTGGACTGACATCTCATCCGCTTGCAGTCTCTTTTTTTTCCCCGTTACATCTCAAACTCAAGTACGTACTTCTAGGGGGAAAAAAAAAGACCCTCTTTAAACTCACGTCATTACTGCGCAAGGCACTGAAAGTCTTTTTTCTCTAATTACCTTTCTTGCAGGAACAAGAACCTCTCTTTACCATCTCCTTTCTTTCACTTTACATTGCGAACCCTGTTCCCATTGCAGACCGTCATGCATCGCACCTATTCCATGCGCCAATCGCGCGCCCCGACCGCTTCGCAGGTCGAGAGCCCACCGCCACCACTGTCCACAACTAAGACCGGGAGATGGCTAGGGAAAGGCGGAATCGGTGAGTACGAGATATCTCGGCGATTGGGTTCGACTGGAAATCTCCTGAGGATGTTTGTCGGGTCGGAGGCTGCCTAGTCGGGCCGCCACTCGCCTGTCCCCACTTCCGAGAGACACAACCGAATTGGAGACCAGTCGTCGAAACGATCACCCATGGTGGAAAGTGAGAAAGTGAGAAATTGAACTTGCTAACATTCTGTGATTAGGCCATGCTTTCCGCAAGAACGCCGCCGGTGCCTTTGGACCCGAACTCGCCAAGAAGCTGTCGCAGCTCGTCAAGATGGAGAAGAACGTTATGCGCAGCATGGAGCTCGTCGCTCGGGAGCGCATGGAAGTCGCTGTATGTGGATCGCCCTGAATTGCGAATAACCGTGGAACAAGTTAGAAGCTGACTCGGTCGCCATAGCAACAACTCTCCATCTGGGGTGAAGCATGCGATGAGGATGTGTCGGATGTGACGGATAAGCTCGGCGTGCTGATCTACGAGATCGGTGAGCTGGAGGATATGTTCGTTGACCGCTACGACCAGTACCGTGTCACTATTAAGAGCATCCGTAACATCGAGGCTTCCGTACAGCCTAGCCGAGACCGTAAGAATTCCCCCGGCTTGAACTTCTCAGCTTGGACTAACCAAATTGAATCTCCAGGCAAGCAGAAGATCACCGATGAGATCGCCAAGTTGAAGTATAAGGACCCCAACTCTCCTCGCATTGTCGTCCTGGAGCAGGAGCTCGTTCGTGCCGAAGCCGAGTCCTTAGTTGCTGAGGCCCAGCTGTCCAACATCACTCGCGAGAAGGTCAAGGCTGCCTTCCAGTACCAGTTCGATGCGCTCCGCGAGCACTGCGAGAAGGTCGCTATCGTTGCTGGATACGGAAAGCACCTCCTCGACCTGATCGACGACACCCCCGTCACTCCCGGCGAGACCCGTCATGCCTACGACGGTTACGATGCCTCCAAGGCCATCATCCAGGACTGCGAGGATGCCCTCACTAACTGGGTCTCCTCCAAGGCAGTCGTCAAGTCCAGCCTCTCCCAGCGCTCCCGCACTCTCTCCCAGCGCCACCGTACTAACCTCAACAAGAACCGTGAGGGCGTCGATTTGTCCTCACAGGACCAGCCCTTGGCTGGGGATCGTGACTCTTGGCTTCCAGCTGACCAGCACCCTAACTACGAGGACGGTGACGATGGCGTCAGCACCATTGAAGGCGAGCTGCGTGGCCGCGAAGAAGAGCGTGACCCCATTGCCGTATAAGGGTTGGGCGAGAATGATTACCTCTTTTTCACGAATCTGACGGTTTGAAATTCGGGCAGATGCATGGGATCTTTTCATCTGTCCAATAGATTTCATCTCCACGTTCCTTCTATCGAAAATTCCCCTTCTGGTCTTCCATATACTTTGATTTTTCCGGGCTGAGAGTCCGTGCTATGCTCAAAGAAGACGCACATCAATCACGCCATTCAACTTTGGATGTTTAACGCGCCTTTTTTTCCTCCCACATGAACGCCTCTCAATGTCGTAATCCAACGACTGTGAATCGTGCTTGGGGAATGTCCCACTTCTCCATGCTTAGATCGGGGGACGTGGGTCTCATTTTCTGCTCGTTTCTCCACGGAGTTGGAGATGTCTGAGATCGGTGCGATTGGGAATTGTCTGGGTTTTTTTCGATGTCTCGTTTTGTTCCCATTCCCTGTTTTTACTTAATTGATGTAATACCATTCTACGTTTGTTTTTGCTGTTTTGAGGCTTAGGTCCCGGGTAATTAAAAGGTGTTCAAATGGATTGTTTGCAGAAATTTATATACATTGTAGTATCTGCTAGAGAACAGTGGCGTAAGGCGACGGCTAGATAATGTGGAGACAGATCCTTACCCCAGAAAAGCGAAAGTCGTAACAGATCCAATGGCATTCAATCTCAGTGAGCAAATCACCCTGATATAGCACGCCAGATAGAGCACGTCACTCACCGCTGCTTTTACGTCTTTGTCATTACGTATCGCAAAGATCCTATAGAGAAGAACATGTAAGAGAACACGATAGTTCGCATAGCAATCAACCCCAGAGTTTATATTGCACGCACTCCAGTCCATAGATAGGCAGCAAAAGGACGGAGGAAAGACAGAAAAAGCAAGTCCCACAAAGATATCCAATATAAAACCAATACCATAAAGCAAAAAGACATAATTCAACTTCCCTAGACCACAACACCGCCAACTCATCTCCTTTCCCGCAAACCAGGGGAAAGGGAGGAAAATGAAATAGGCCTTCGCAGCACACGATCTGGAGGATAAGAAGGGTGGAGAGGATGTAGATGGGTAGAGAGCCGGGGCAGTAAAAGATAAAGCCCCGGTAGAGAGGAGAGATAGAGATTGAAACAGCAAGCGAAATTGCCAGATCTGAAGTGTAGAAGCAAAAACCATCCCTAGAAGTCGAAAAAGCCACGGTCGGGAGAGCCGGGCAGACGAGAAGAAGAGAAGGGTCGTGACATCGTCATTTGTCTGCACTCATCTAGCCCCATTTGCCATTCTGTCGTTTTGAATATGACAGGTAGAAAATGGGATGAGTGCGGACACCATAGCAAAGCGATGAGGGGAAAACAGAATGCTGATTCGATACGGACGCTTTATAGAGACCGTAGACTGGGGAGATGATACAAAAGAAACGGCAAACAACAACGCAAACAAAAACACACATTCTTCCATTTTGGCTCACTCCTCGGTGCCAACGCCCTTCTTTTTGGGCTGAATATGTTTTTGTCTGGTATTGCCGCCAGGACCTTTTAACTCGACCGAGCTATCCTTAGCCGGAGCAGGCAAACGAGGACCAGCATCGTGTTTCTCGGTGAGGAGATTCTTCAACCAGCGGTTCTCCATCTCGAGCTGTGCGACGCGAGCCTCGAGGGAAGCGTTCTTCTCGGTAGTTTCGCGAACCGTCCGTTCGAGGACCTGCTCGCGCTGCTTTTTCTTTTGACGGAAGCGGGCGCTGGCGGCTGTATTTCGGCGACGACGATCTTCCTCTGCGGCACCACGCACGCCCTCTTCTTGATCGAGGGCGGCGGCAATACGGTCGCCAGAGATCGAGGTACTGTACTTGGTGTTTCCCATCTGGCCGTTGGGCGGGGAGATGGATGAGGACACATCGGATGGCGTGAGAGCGCCCTGTGCGTGGCCGAGCTCGTCGGGCGCATAGGGGACTGGTGGGTAGATTGAGTGAGCTGAGTAGGGCATCATGTGCTCTGGAAGATTGTAGTTGATGGGCTTTTCGCCAGGAGGGCCTATGGATAGAGTAAGCGATGGTCGATATAACCGCTAGGGAATGAGCCCCAAGGGTCGGGAAGTGCAAATCATATCCGAAGGATATAAGCTCAAGAAGGGTCAAGGGGATGTGCAGTTTAGCGTCAGCAGGCAACCACTGGCGTTTGTCATTTCATTGCGGGATTGCGTGCTCGTTATTGCAGGAGCACCGACGGTGATCTCATCCATTGAGAATGGGAGATGCATGCCAGGGTTCATATCCTGGGCCTTTGCAGCCTCGAGCTTTTAAAGAACATTTGCACATTGTGTAGAGGGGGAAAGAAGAGGTTCAGCACCGGAGCTATCCGGTGCCTTTTCTTTTTTAAAAAAAAACAACAGGGAAGAAAGGCCAGGGGAAAAAAATGGAGAGATCGTAACTTCAATTTTCAGACATGGGAATTTCAAGCCCGGAACTAAAGCTCAGACGCAGAGGCGCGATGGCGTAACAAATGCAACATTGGGGCACAAGGTCTCAAAAGCTTGATACATACCATGATAGGGATAGCCTCGGAGATCGAGAGAGCTGCGGTCATCATCTATACTCTCATATGAACTGACAGAGAGACCGCCCATGCCTTCGGTCTGGTCGTAATCCATACTCACGTTGCCGAACGGGACCAGCCCGGTATCAGCGTCAAATGAGTACTGTCGAGTCTTGGCTGCGGGATCGTGGCGCGACATCAAGAAATTGAAGTTCTCAAGTTTGTCGAAGACTGGACCTGGAGCTGGTAAAGGTTGTTCTCCCATGGTGTGGAAGAGAGAAAGAAAAGAAGAGAAGTTCAGCCCCTTGACCTTTAGGGTTATGAGTGTAAGAGAGAAGAGGGGCTTAGGATGTTGGCAAACCCCAGATCAGGACGAGATTTTCTATGCAAATCAGATCACCAGTTAAAAGTGTTTTAATATAAAGGTGGACAAGGTCAAATAAAAAAATAAATCAATCAAGTAAGACAAGGTAGAGAGCAAAAAAAGACGTTCTCGGCCACGATCACCTCGAAAAAAAGGTCAGTATATCGTCGCATGCCGCGGGAGTTCCACCAGAACGAATCAAAAGGGGATTAATGGCGATGAATTAAAAAAAAGGGGGGGCAAAGAGGACGAGGAGGAAAAAGACGGCCCTAGTCGATGATCTGATAGAATGGAGAAATGTCGTGATCGCGCCTTCTGGTTCGTCGGTTGGGACATTCACCGCTTTTATATCACAGTATATAGAACTATAGATCACGTTGATCGGTATATATCGCTATATGTATAGAGATATATAGGTATCAAAATAAACAAGCTTCCCTGGAGAGCTTCTAAGCTCTTTCGATGAAAAACAGGGGCCATGACATATATTATCCACCCTCGGAACCAGTACCTGACAAAGGTACATGATTATATGGAGTATGCAGACTGGATACAAAACCATATTAGACAACAATCGACTCCGTACTAAACTGTAATTTATATGTATAATTCTACTTCATCGATTGTTGAGCGCAGATGACGCGGACTGGCCCCGATATTCTACCCAAAAGCTTGGCGGCAGGAAAATCTCCCCCCAATCTAGAAACATTCGATCGTCCATATGACATATGCTTTATACTAATGTTATTCACGGCTTACTGTGGACGCCTTTCAGCAATGATCTGAGCGGCATCTTCAACCGTCATACCTCGCACTCGATGCTCCACTCTCTCCTCGCCTAAAACGGTATCTTCCGCAATGGTCCGATAGATCTCAGCAAATCCTCCATAAACATCGGTTCCGACCCCATTCCACCCACCCTCGGCATCAAACGTCTCCCCAATTCCACGCATCTCATCCTCCCATCGATATGCCTTGGGACTCATACCAATCACCCCATGCGTCGCGAGCGCGGCAGTACGTGGGGAGTATTCCTCCAACAATGCCAACAACTCTGGCAACATCGACTCCTTCTGCGCAGTGGAGAAAGACAGAATAGACAGCGCGGTGAGACCTTTGGTCAGTGCAGCGAAGGATAGTTTGAGCGTGGATGCGGCGCCAATCCGAGGCGAGACAAGCTTGATATTCAGGACCTCCGCCAGCGTCGCAAACGCAGGGGCCAGATCCACCACCCCCGACAACACCACGCTAGGTCTTTTCCAGGTCGTGCGCCCGTCTTGCGTGCTTTGCCATGGCGGCGCCCCAATGATTCCGCCATCGAGGAAGTGGCACCTTGGGCCCGAATCCGTTGTTGTGGTTGGTTCGTCGAATTGCGCCGCCATCTCCGACGCCAGTCGGGCGGGTACCGCGTTGAGTTCGAGGTAGTATAGCTTGGACCGCTTGGGCTTGCTTTCTACATCTTCCAACGCCTCTCGGAGACTGCCGGTCGACGGCTGTGCGTATGCCTCTGCTATTCGTCCGGCTGTCGCCACTGCGTTCCGCGGAGGTACGATCGAAAGTACGTAGTCTGCTTGGATTACTAACGCTTGGTCTGAAGGAAGAATTTCGATTCCTGCGGAATGGATGCGCGCTAGTGTGTGTTCACTGGCGGCCGTTAGTGCGCGGCCGTGGTTTCCCTCTCTGCATTCGTACCTTCTTCCTTCTGCGACCGTGACAACTCGGTAGTCGTGGGCTTTTAAGAGCCTGGCCATGCCTAGGCCCATGTCTCCGATCGACACAATTCCAACTGTAACAGGTCTCATGGTGAAGGGATTGTCGATCTTGGAATGAATAGTATTTCAAAGTAAATCAGTAAAACACCGAGTACTTGTATCAACTTCTACTGCGGGGGTACCTAGGTAGGTACATTTTCTCCATTTGTCAGCGGGGACTGACTCCAGTCCTGGAGGGCTTCCAAGTTGGTTTATAAGTCTGTCCGACGTGGTCGTGTCCCGATCCCCGGAGTGACTGGGCCCCGAGGGTAATTAAACTTATCTTCACCTTTCCCGTGTTCTTCTAGAAAAGTCTTGGAATTATGTGTCCATTAACATGAGGCGGTTTCTCTCATTGTAGGAACGGTTCGAGATACCACATACTTGCATTTTCGGAACTGGCCAAATCCTTGAAGATACTTGGTATCAGGTACCTAACCACCCACAGATGCATACAAGAGCTTACAGCTGGATACACCTCATTGATATATATTGAGCCCATCTCGATTCTATCGGAATCGGGTGAGAATTACTACATCCGGCCCTACTATGGAGATGGTTGCACAAGCCCCAAATAGCCGGCACGATGTTCTTCAACATGTTGTTCAGCTAGTCAAGGACCGGGAAGCCCGCTTTCTCTCTGTCGATCTGCAAGCTCTTGGAATCCTAGCTTTCAGTAGCTGTTACAGATGGCGTTCTACAATTTCACCTATGTTCTCCCCTACCTTACCGGAGAGATTCCGCCAAAATATTCACTTGAATCGGGATCGATGGTCTTCCAAAGAACGATAATCGCCCAGAATTTGAAGTCTTCTCATAGGTCCTCCCACAAATGCAAGGGATACTTAGGACGAACCCATTATGGTGGCGGGGTCGGGTGACTGGGATCACCATGTCCTCGAAACAGAGCGCCATATCCACTATCAGAATGATGCTCCTCGAAAGGAACGAGTGGTAGCTTTTTCTCTAATTGACCTTATGCCTCTTGGAGTGTGCTGGTAAGTAAATAGTAAGGATGTTCAGGGGTTTGAGTATATTTGCTAAATATCAACCAAGACGTTAGAAAAGACAAACGACCCCCCGGTATTGCAGGCTGACTGTGGGTCACAGTGGCAGATAAAAGAACCATTAGAAGGCAGCCAGAAAGCTCTCCTGTACCACATGCAATGATAACAACCGTTGCACACGTCCGCGCAAATCATGCGGACCAGAACCTCACTTTTCACGAGATAAGAGCTTTCCTCCTGTGTGGGTGAGCAGCACGGAATAATCATATTCGCTCCAATATTAAAGTTAGCCAGTTTGGCTAGAGAGCTTGGACATTCGTGTTCGATCACTTGCGGAGTCGGTTACACTAACCTATAGATATCTAATACTAATGGCCTAGCTTAGTTCCTTCGGCCCATTTATGGGGCATGTCGACCACAAAACGATGATAAAGAAACAGGATATCGAATCTGCTCGTCCAAAGCACAGAAGACAAAAAGGGTTAACGAACGTACCTCTGTGTCCTGGACGGGGCCGGGCTTGAAGGATGGCACCCTCTCATTGGACAGCGTGGCGGCCCGTCAGGACCCGAGTGACTTTATCCTATTGGATGATGCTTCGGTCTTTCACGAGTCCGGCCCCGATGCGATGTGAAGTACGGCTCAGTGATTGGCTAGGCGATAGGTGCTGTGAGCTGTTTCTGAAGTATATCATTACTGTGATGGATGGTTGGTAGCATGATATCAAGAAACTGCGCTCTTCTTGATATATCTGATACCAATCCTAAGATGGGCAATGCAAGGCCAAGCACCTCCAACGAATACTGCTATGACACAAAAGACCTCGAAGCGTCCAAGCCCGCAACCATTGTTGAGCCCTCTCTCGATGCAGATGCCAATACAGACCCGGATCTCATCACACGGAGCAGACCAGACGATCCGGAGAACCCAAATTACTGGCCTAAGAGATCAAAGTGGAAGAACACCTGGGTCATCTCCCTTTTCGTCTTCATCTCGCCAGTCTCGTTATCCATGATTGCTGCCATGCGAAATCTTGGCAAGGCCCTGGTCATGCTCCGATGTTGAAATATACCTATTAATGGCCATCTTCATACTCGCCTACTCCGTTGGCCCCATTTTCTTCGGTTCAGCCTCGGAGCTTTATGGCCGCGTGCGTCTGCTCCAGGTTAGCAATATGTAGTATTTAGCTTAGAATATGGGATGTGGCTTCGTCCAAATAAAGTCTCAACTCCTTGCTTTTCGTTTTCTCGCAGGCATCGGTGGCAGTGCGCCACTCGCCATCGGAGGAGGTGCTATTAGTTTGGGCAGATCTCTGGATTGCCTGAGATCTCGGGGACACAGAAGCCGCCCATTCAGCCCAGGCTGGTATCTCGACATAGCTGATCCCAGAAGCCCCAATCCAAAGGGTCAAACCCACCATTTGAATCTAGGCCTATCCCATCAATTTTGCCAAAGCTTTCATCAAACCCACATACACCGTCCGCAATCATGGTGGTTTTTTTTCTTCCAGCCATGCTCTTCTGTTGCCTACTCGCTTTCGGTTCATGTTAGGCACGCACCGTGGTTACGAAATTTGGTTCCGGGGACGAATGACTTGGGAGGGGTTGCAAACCATGCCTGACATGCAGGGTTCCGATCACTACTCGCCCACCATATTTCTCCAAAGCACTCTCATCCTAACGCCAGCGACTATCGCCCTAATCATTCCAATTGGTAAGGGGTAGTCAGCTTGAGATGTTCGATATATGAATGATACGAACTCCAGGTAGTGTCATAATCCATTTCGACCAATAGGTTGGATGATGGCATGACGTGCAGGGTAACCATGCTAACAAGCACTTATCGATGTCCGATGATCTAGCGGTATCAGGATGAGATACATCCTCGGGAATACCTAATCCTGCTGTGGTGCTGTGGTTATGAGATTCTGCCACCCGTGGACGAATTCAACCTGAATTGGTCATACGATATCACATGCCTGGACCCACGACCCACGGGTTTCGTTAGAGGCGAAAATTTCAGCTCGAGCTCTTTGGATCTTGATCTTGATATATGAATTGAGCTCATAATGAATGCCTTACCAGTAGTCAGGCGGTCGATCTAGAAATAAGAATGATAGAGTCAACATGAGGTATCAAGTACAGATCGATTGTTCTACAGCATCTACCATATACACTGCTCCCGAGGGCGGGAGATCCGAGCTGACTAAAAGACTTGTTCATTTCCCGATTGGCACAGTTTCACCCGGGCAGTCCTAGGGATAGCCTTCCGAGGTTTCTTCGACTCTAATTTATTCTAATCTATCGGCCTATGTGGGTCACGATGATATCAGGGCGCTATTAGTATATAAGATCCCAGCCTTTGGAGGTTTCCGATGTTTTCAATGTCTCGTTCTAGGAATAATCACATATAATATAAGCTGGGGTTTCCTGGATATATCCCCTATAAGTACTGCGTACTCCGTATAAATGTGCAAGGATAAGCCTGGGCACACCTGACCCCGCCCAAAAGTACCCCGGAAGAGCACACGGGATCCGTGAATCCCGATATCCGAGTGTGCTTTGATTATTCATCTTTTTTTCTCCTTGGAAGCTTTTCGTTCCCTGCAGATTATGAACATCCCATCAGAGATCGAAATAAGAATCGGTGATTTTCCGCTAGTCTTGGCCATTTCCGCTGGGGTGACTTTTTCACAAAGTCTTGGCACATTCATGACCCCGAGGCAACCCACAACCTTCGGTCAAGGCAATGAACCAGTCATTTTCGCATAGCACTTTGTCAATGGACACTGCCCCATGGAGAGCTCAACACTTGAGGGTGGGTTTAACTCGTCGTTCGGGAGTCCGCCATCCCGGTGGCCTCCGGTTTAGGGGGATCCAGCATTGCTAACGGGGATTACACGCCTATCTAGGCTTGCGAGAGGTGCCATCGAAAAAAGATCAAGTGTGAGATTGAGGGGTCTAATTTAGCTTGTGTGCAATGCATCCGCCGTAATACACAATGTGTGTTTCCGGTCCAGCATGAGAAGCGGGATGATCAGCAAAGGTACCGCGATATCCATTGTCATTTCAATCAACTTTTGATCACTCCCGATTTACTTTTCTTTCGTCGTAACTAATAATATCACAGTAGCGACGAGTACATCAAGTCTTTGAAAGACCGGCTCGTCAGGGTTGAGTCGCTGTTGAGAACGGCAGGCATTTTGCAAGAGGGCGACATGAGCCATGATGAGTTCTCCGATGAAGATGATGATGGACCAGCTAGTCCGGACATCTCATCTCTTTCCAGTCCAAAGTCAAATTTTGGGGTATGTCTTCGCTCAAGTTTTGGGGACATCGAGGGTACGCCCATCTTCCGGGCGGACGAAAGAGATGATTCTCGGTATTTCGGTAAGATAAAGGGGAACAGCCAATGTGATATAGAACCGCCGAGGCTAATTCGGCGGACAGGAAAATCCTGCTCATTATCAATTCTTTCACGAACAGGTATAGAATGGATCAAGAGCAAAACAGGCGATATCAGTTTCTTGCGAATTGTATCTCCTGAGTCCATCCATGAAAACCCCTGGAATCAATGGCGTCCAGATGTATTCCAAGATCTTTTTGCCTCGCATGTGTTCAAGCCTTTGCCCTCAAGGTCGGAGGTGTTCTCTCTTATGAAAGATTTCTTCCGGACGGCCAACCGTCTGTTTCCTATCTATCTTGAGTCGTCCTTTATGAAAATGGTCGAATGGCAATATACGCAGCAAACATGTGATGACGCTGCTCGTTGGGCCAATATCAACATGGTCATCTGCCTGGCATACGAATATCGATTCTCAAATGGCTCCAAGTCAGAGAAGGACAAAGAGAAGTCCCAGTTATACTTCAAAAACGCCATGTCTGTCTTCACCGAATTAGCCTTGAAACGCACCGACCTACTGAGTATACAAGCTTTGCTTAGCATGGTACGTCTCCTACGCCTTTGGCCCTTATATAAACATCTAACAGTTTGGCAAGTCGTTCTTCCTTCGGGGGAATTCTGGAACTCAATCAGCTTTACCTCTTATCACTGCGGCTATGCGATCTGGTCACCGAATGGGACTTCATCGAGATATCGCAAGGCCAGAACTCAGTCCGGCCGAACAAGAGGAGAGACGGCGAGTCTTTTGGGTTGCATTTGTCATTGATCAAAGGTGAGAAAGGTCCATCCAAATATCGATCTCTCATACTAAAGCAATGGTCCAGTACATGCCTAAGACTTGGGAACGCCCCATCACAACACCAAGATGATTTCGATGTCCCTCTTCCGGAAGAACTGGAGAGCGATAAGCATGGTGAAACTGCAAGCAACATTCCATTCTTCCGCCAGCTCTGCCGGATGGCGCTCATCAAGAGCCACATTTACAGTCGATTATACTCTGCTACGGCGTTAACGAAACCTCCCGTTGAAATATATAGGACGGTTAAAGAACTGGACGCAGAGCTTGAAGAATGGAAAGGGGAAAATCCAAGTCTCACTGAACCGGATATGAAACATACTGAACGCGACTTTCTGTTTGACTTTGCCTCCATTGGTCTCCATTTCGTCTATCAGAATGCCCTGATCATGATTCACCGGGTACCTATCTTTCTTAACTACATGATAACAGCCAGCAAGGAATCAGAAAAGGTCGTGGCGATCAGCAAAGCACATGCCTCAAAATCATCAGCCATTAGTTCACAGGCTGCGCGAGATACATTGAAGGTCGTCAATAACATGCCATGGGGAGATATCGCATGGACTTGGTGAGTGCAATGGTCTTCTCTTGATCTATATGGGTACCAATTCTCACACTTAAACCTCAGGTCATTACTATACTATGTCTTCCTGGCGGCATCAACATTGTTCTCAGGTATCCTGCGGAATACTCGACATTCAAAAGCCCGAGCCGACCTTCAATCCCTCAACATGGCCTCGCAATTCTTTGCAACTCTTGTCCCTGGCGATGGTCCAAATAATTACGCCGGTTTCATGACCCGCATGAGCGCAACCCTCGAACGCATTGCCAGGGTCGCCATCGAAAAAGATGAGAAAAGACCCCGCGCCCCAGACGATGAAGACCAAGAATATAAACCACCGGGAGCAAAGAGGCGCACCTCTCGGGCACAACCAGCACAGCCAGCACACCACCAAAGGCAGCACCGCCGACCCACAAACCTCCGCACAACAATGACCCCCGCCACAGCTCCGGGATATCCAACGTCAAGCACCGCCAACCCCAACAGAACGGACTTCAGTATCCCCGATACCCTAGAAGGCCTCCCTCCAGTCAATTCATTGGGCTACGTCGTTCCCATGAGCCCAGTGCCAGGCCCAGGCGACAATATCCAAATTGAGTCCCCATATCTCGCCAACCTACCCGGCACATACCCACCTCCAAACACAAACCTAGATGGCACATATCTCCACAATACAAGCGACAACACCTTCAACACACCACAAATCCCATCCTGGCAATTATCCAAAGACTATTCTACAACTACGGCTCAGGCCCAGGCCCAGGCCCCAGGACCGTCAGTCCTGACTCCCAACCCCATCACTTCGATCAACTCCCCAGACTCCTTCAGCAGCACCGCAAACTCAATCCCCGATTTCTTCCAGAACCCAATGAGTGGCGACTGGGGCCACGGTGGAAATATCTTCGCCGGACTCTTTCCAACGGAATACAGTTTACCGCCCCCAGCTCCAGCGGGCACTCAGCCTGCCGATGCATATCCCTCCATCCCGAACCTATCGGCTGATTCGTATATCCATGGTGCGCCTGGTATTGACAGTCATACCGCTCAAGCTGGTGGGTTCGATCCTCAGGCTCTGGGGTATGGCTATGCGCCGCAGGGTCAAGAAGATCCGAATCAGGGGGCAGATCCGGTCTGGCCTAATGGGTTTTTAGGGTTATTTTAGGGATAAAATGATGGGGGTCTCTTTTTCGGGTTTTATTGATCTTGTTAGCGTTGTCTTTACCCATGGTTTCCGAAATTACGCCGTCTCTGCTCTCTTCTTTGTATATGTTTTAGACTGGACTTACGAGTGTTAATGTAACCACATACTGGTGTATAATAGAAACAAGTCAGTCAGTGAATGTCAAAATAAAAACTAGGTATAGAAAGAACGCCCAGCCAGATCCCAAACTTGAGATATCCCATTGCCCTGCGCCATTGAACCCAAAGGCATGCAAAAGATTCCCCCTGCGCCTCTCTTCCCAAATCCCAGACCTAACCCATCCCCGTCCAATAGACAAATCATAAAAGAATAAATATTCGAAAACTAGAACACAGATCCCGTGAGCGTGCGCACTGCCTTGCACCACTTGCCATTCCCTAGCTGAAGATCTTCTTCCTTTCCCCGATCAAGGCATTTGCCAAGGATGCCTTGCAGCTCCTTATCTGAAAGACCGGACTTGTTGCCTGTACCGAAACCATAGACCTTCGTCGCCAAGACGTCAATATCAAAGTCTAAGAAACCGACAGTATTCTCTGCCCTGGTTTTATGAATACGGGTACAGACAGTGAAGTCAACGTCAATTCTCTTGGCAATGGTGTCCTTTGAATCAGCACCCTTGTGGCCAGGTGTAGAGGCGGTTCCATTGCCAAGAAGCGTGCAGCGTGTGCGTAGAGAAAGAGAGCCGTTGTCAGGCTTAGATAGGGTGAGGCGGGTAACACCACAGAATTCCAGCATGCGCGCTTCGTTCTCTAGCCCGACTGTGCGGTCCCATGCACTAGAGATGAAGTGCAAGAGCTGCTTAGGTGCGACAGTGGATTGCTGGATGGTAGTCAGGTGGTGCTGTAGCGAGTGGAGGACTAAAGATGCAATTGGAGAGATGTTGGCATTCTTTCGGGAAGCCAGTTCCATCGGGTAGTTCTTCCCATCGCTTCTACCGCCGTTTTTGGAGGCAAAAGCTCCAGGAAAGAAATCTAGTTCGAGTTGGTCCCGGTAACCCATCTTCAATAAAGGCCCCTTCGCGGCATCCGAAGGAGTCGAGGCTGAAACAATCGACCAGCCGGTTTCTTGCTGAATCCGGTGGACAGAGGCTATTTTTTCTGGTCAGTATCACACCCACGAAAGACTCCATAAGGGAGGAACAAATATCTCACCCTTCAATTCATTGATCTCTCGGGCACTCCACCCACGGCACTCTTCCTTCACACGCTCTGCCTCCTGGATTTGAGCCAGAAATTCATCCCGCATTTCGGCACCCGCCTCGATGAAAGTCGTCTTCTCATGAACTTCTTTCTGCAACTGCTCAAGTTCCTGTCTTTTGGCTGCAATTTCGGAGTCCACCTCAGATAGCTTGCCGCGCGTGCTACGTAGCTCATCCTGATCACAATTTTCCATCTCATGCATCAACTTTTGTAGGTCAGTTGCCTCCTCCGCGAGAGAGGCGTGCTTCTCCACGAGTAGCGGCACGCTTCTGTTGAGCAACTCTTCTCGCTCAGATAGCAAATCGTCGTCTGCTTTCATTTCATCCACGTGACGAATGAGCCCTTCTTTCAGACCCTCCAGCAACTTCATCCGCCATTCGTACCATGTAGCCTTACTCAACAGGCGGGCATGAGTCTTAACGTTTCGGAATTGATTATCCATGATCACTCGGATATCTGGCGGCGCGGTGGCATACTCCTTGAAGAGAGCTGGATTCTCGGCATATGTTTCTGCCTCTATAGAGCGAATCACTTGCCGACCTTCGGAAATATAAGATTTCAACTCCCGACATGACTAGAGACAGTGTGAGCAGCAATTAAGGTATGCGGATATGGTAAATCTTACATGCTGGTAGAGTTCAAGCATTGGCACTGTACAAAAGCCAGCTGCCACGCAATCATCAAATGTTATGGACCCCGGTTTAGGCATGTTCTCACCAGATGGTCGTGTCAGTTTCTTGGCGGCACTGCCAGGGGCAGTCGTGTGTCGTCTCTTTGTTGTAGTTAGTTCCATGAAATGAATATTGGTCATTTTCAGGAAGTCCTGCAACTGAATAGGCTCAATTTCCACGGATGGTTCTTCGACGGGGGGGTTCTCGTCTTCTACTTCTTTTTCTTCTTCTGGTTGCTGAGAATCAGAAGCAATATGGAGAGCATCAATCCCATGCTTGAGAGGAGTTGTCGAGGGATGAGAAGCCCTCGACGGTTGCTGGGAAGGCGTGGTGCTACCCCTAGGAGGCGATGAGCTAGCAGCTCTACGGACGGGCGAAAGCATCGACCGCCCGACATTGCCCTCTTTGAACATCGGTGCCGGCAACTTCACACCTTTGACAGGGCTGACATTGTGGCCGCGCAGTCGCTTGGGTGAATTCTCGAATTCATCTTCATCAAGATCCAGCTCGACTGGGCGTTTTCCTAGAACTCCACGAGCAGCCCCAACATGAAGACTCTTGCGACTGCCAATCCTACTCTTCTTAGGGCTCAGATTTGAGATCATGTCCTTCAAGTTTGAGGTTACACCCCGATCTGACTGCGATCCCGCGATATTACCATCTTCTCGAAGTTCCTCTTGTTCGCGATCACGTTCTTCCTCGGCCTGCATTTGCAGGGGATCCTCAAAACATACACCAGATTGGGGCCGTTCTTGTGGAACGAACTGGGGCGTACTATCTCCAAGCGACTGGCGCGTATCAAGTAAGGCGGCCACTCGAGGAGATCCAAGACCTTCTTTGTCGATCCCTAAACCAGAAGAGCGGCGTCTCTCGCGTGGTTGTAATTTGAAGAGCGGGGTCGACTCTCCGGTTGCTATGTTATGTTCGAACAGGCTTTGGCGTAGAGACTTCCGCTTATCTGTTGATTGCTGGAGTTCAGGCTGGAAGAGCTTCTTCGGCGAAGCACTCCTGAAAGTAACATTGCTAGATGGGGGTGTCTTGCTTGGGGTGGTAGGTTTCGCTTTAGGTGTGGACTGTTTGGGCGGAGTCAATGGCTTGGTGTTGGGTGATCGTTGCCGACGGGCTGACCTAGGCATTTCCAACGATCCTAGGTTGGAGCTACGCCGGGAAGACCTAGCCCGCACGGCTGCTAGACTGGGGCTCCCAGTTTCGGATGCAACAGCAGCAATTTGATAGGCCAAGGGTGATTTAGCAGGGGACTTGTTGGGAGACTGCCGAACATTGTCTTGGAAAGGCGAGCTAGCAAGCTGACCCGAGTCTGTTTCAAGCTCCATCATCATTTTCGCGTGCACTTTGTCATTGGCTTCGATCCCTGACTGTAAGATACCACCAATAGCACCAGTTATCTCCATGTCCATACCATCGTCAGACTCATTGTCTTGGCCGGAGTTCATGTGGTCAGCGTTTGAGGCATAAATAGGTTGTTGGTTACCCAAGATTTTGCCAACAGCCGAAGTGAATTCCATTGTCATTCCTTCGTCCTCATTGCCAATTTCAGAGAACTTTGATGGCGAATCATTATGCGCGATGCCACCGACGACAGTGGTCATCTCCATGGTTTGATCTCCGTAATTAGATTCTTCTGCCATGGACTGGCGACGAGCTGTGCTCTGGCGACGGCCGGGAGACTTGCCAAGAATGCGTCCTACGGCATTCGTCACGTCCATGCTGAGGTCTTCGTCCTCGTCAATATCATCTGATTCTGGCAACCCTTGCGTAGTGGCATTATTGGATGGGTCGATGTTCTCCTCATCATGTCGTGCGCTGATATCTCCCCAGTCAAAGCTTTGTCTTTGGCCCTTTTTGATCCAGGGTTGGAAGGCACCAGTTATTTCTTGATCCGCAATTTCCATTGACATCTCTCCGTCCTCATCGATCTCAGTTCCTGCTTCCTTTGCGGCCTGGCGCAGTGCTTCGTTGAGTCTAGCACTAGAGCTTGAGCTAGAAGTTACATCTGATTGAACACTGACGCCTGAGCGCGCGGTCATGTCATCCATGCTCATTGCAGTGCTCTCAGCATCGAATCCATCGTCGGACCCAGAAGAATCGCCATCGTCCTCGTCTTCTCCAGCCATGCTTTGGGCACCGGTGTCTTCGCTTCCTACCGAGCTTCCGCTAAAAGGACTTGAAGATAAATCCGGGAGGCCATCATCGCCACCGGTTGATGATGAGCGACTTCTTATCTGGTCCAGGTCCTGTGTGCGGACAGGGGAGAATCCGAATTCGGACTCCGCTGGTGAAGATGGGACATCTTTGGTGGGCGAGGGAGGGGCGGGTTGGTTCTGGGAGTTTGTAGCAGCAGATGCGCGTCTCGTTGAGTTCGCAGCAGAGGAAGAGGTCGAGTCGTCCGGAATCTCCACCACGTTCCAGGTGTGTAGGGTTGCCTCGGGGGCAAAGGATACTCGGCGATTTGCTGTATGTATGTGTCAATATTCGTTTCCATGGTCAAGTTGAACACACGAACCCATTGATTTCCTCCGCGCCGCTCGTTTCTCTAGAATATTCTGTCGTTCTCGATCTTTGCGCTCCTGTTCATCTCGCTCCTTGGTGGCGGCCATCTCCTCACGAATGGCAGAAGTCGCATTGAATGTGTCAAACGGATTCGCCGTGTCGTCATTGTCATGATTTGACATGGGAGGTCCTGGTGTTGCTTTGAAGTCGATCAGGAGACCCTCTTTGGCTTGATTCATCTGGCTCTGTACATCCATCGTGCCGTCATGAGTCGGTTGTTCACTACGAGCGGGTGTGCGTCGGCGCGTTTCTTCGAATGTAGGGATGGTTCGCACTGGAGAAACAGGAACCGTAGGTTTGAGAATGGACTTTAATGGGAAAGAGGCTGTAGACTATAGATATTTGAGTCAGAATTGTTTGCATATGCGCACGTGGTATTCGATTGGTAGCTACCTGGCGACGATTGCCGTTAGAATTCTGGAGCGCATCAAGTCCACCAGGCCCCAAACTCTTGCTCCGAGACTTCTTGTTTCTCATGGCGGGCTTTGCATTATTAGAAAATGGCTGAGTTGTATCAATATCAGTTGTCGCATTCTCCTTGTCCAAACCAGACGTCATCCTAGACCGCGGGACATGAGCGATGGACCGACGAGTTCGTGGCGGTCGCAAAGCCGCTGAGTCTGGTCGAGTGGACATTGTCGGCGATTGAATCGGCGCATTTACAGATCCATTCAAGATTGCATGTTTCTCAGTTCCGAACGTTGAGATATCTAAATCAAACAGGGCTCAGACCTGTAATCTGCTCCTATCGCACCTACCCAAAGCGCGTTGCCTCCGCAATCACGTGATGTAAACAAAAGCGCAGAGCCCTAACCCCAATTAGCCTAGTCCCGATCGGGACTAGTGTCGCACACTACGAATTACCAAAGATTCTGACGGACAACCAATCTTCCTCATCTTCGACAGCCGCCAACCCGACATTTCTTCGACACCGCTTCCTCGTCGAACAACACCGCAAAAATGGCCACCGAGTTGACCGTCCAGTCGGAGCGCGCTTTCCAGAAGCAGCCTCACATCTTCCTTAACACCAAGGCCAAGGCTTCATCCAAGAAGACTGCCCAGGGCCGCCGCTGGTACAAGGAGGTCGGTCTCGGTTTCCGTACCCCCAAGACCGCCATTGAGGGAACCTACATCGGTATGCACGACCTTCGTTGAGATTTTATTCGAAATATGGTGGCGGAATATATGGGTGGGTGGTCTTTTCACGGGTACAAACAGCGAATGGAGGATCGCATGGAGCAGCTGAAGGGCCTGGGATCTCCGTCGTTTTCCTCTCGCCAAAATTCGCATTCAATACTCGAACTTTTTAACCTCGGAAAGACCACTCATGCCGAAGAAATATCCGCATTCACCAACTATGTCAGATCAGATTACTTATTTTTGAACCTTTACAGACAAGAAGTGCCCCTTCACTTCCCAGGTCTCCATCCGCGGCCGTGTCCTCGTCGGCAAAGTCGGTGAGTTGAATCAGAACACTCTCTACATGACAAGCAGATTCACTAACGAATTAACCACAGTCTCCACCAAGATGCACCGTACCCTCGTCATCCGCCGCGAATACCTGCACTACGTCCCCAAGTACAACCGTTACGAGCGTCGCCACAAGAACCTGTCTGCCCACGTCTCCCCCGCTTTCCGTGTTGAGGAGGGTGACATGGTTACCGTCGGCCAGTGCCGTCCTCTCTCCAAGACTGTACGTTCATTTTTGATCCTTGTCAATGTTCGCATGGTTGTCTGCAAATGCACGCACTATCGATCTACTATCACACCGAATTTGACATTCCATATTTTCTTGCTATTAACTTGATAACTGACTGGAAATTTTACTACAGGTCCGCTTCAACGTGTTGAAGGTTCACGCCAAGACCTCCCGCGCTGTCAAGTCTTTCTCCAAGTTCTAGGTTAATCAACCGGGTGTTTTGAAGGCGAAGGAAGCGGTATGGACTGGATATACGGGAAGTTCTTGGATGGGGGTCGGGATAGTTTATGAGTTTCCATGTCCCAGATACCTCGCTGATGAATGTGTATCCACGCAAAAATCAAAATGATTTGTTCGGCTCTCCTGCGATGGAAATTGTACAACAACTATGGTACAAGGCAAGATTTGACCAGGAATGGCAATCTGCACAGAGCAGCCTCTCAATGCGCATCTCGAGTTTATCTCCTGCTCTTCCTAAGTCTTACATTGATACAGTAGGGCCCCAGTATGTGTCCTGGTAGTGCTAAATCACATATCCAAGGGTTTGGTTGCGCTGTCAGTAGGCGTGGTTTTATATCAAGTCGAGTGTTTACTGGTACTTTATATTTAGTTGGTTTGCATAAAACATACTTGTCTACGTAGATAGATAGAATGTTAAATAGCCCGCTTTATTCACTTCATTCGAGGATGCATGTACTATGTAGGTGTCTAGAGGTGTAGATGAAATGCTTACAGTCCTGACATTTGCCAGGAAGTCTTCATTCAAATAATATTGCAAAGGCATACTGGCATCTGAATTGGGAATTCTGGTCTTCACACGGCTGCGAGGAATAACGTTGTTCAACGTTCTCTTCCACACCAAGCACGGGATATCTGTCCATGACTTTTCACATATCATTCCCAATTCCCGCACTAAGGCCAGTGTCGGAACTTTTCAAAGAAGTCCATATCCGTCTGGCCATTGAGTAGAAGATGGTGGGTAGCTCTGTTCTCATGAGAAGATTGCGGCGGACGGGTCTTCGTAGGTGTGTCAGGATACATGTATGGATCGTCATCCGATGGCCAGTCCCGCTGCAATGCACACTGTGAACTAGTCTCTTCGTTATCAGAGGTGAGATCAATCACCTCTTGACCTTGTGTCTGCTTTGGGGGGTCTTCAACGCCATAATCCTCGGGGAAAATCCCACTCGACAACGTCTCATGCGTCGAGAACTTTCCCTCGTCGTCAGTCTCTGGATCATCACACATCGACATGGATCGAGACTTGGTCATGCCTTCTGACTCAGAGGTACTTTCTGAGTCTTCATCAGTCTCAGGCGGCTCGTAGTCTATATCGGAGTCCCTATTAGACGAGAAATGCATCTTTTGGGGGGTCTTTTGGGGTGTGGGCCATGGAGCCTCGCTTTCAGAATCCGACAACTCCTCGGGAAGATAGGGGGAGGGCTTCGAATTCCATTGAGTAAAAGAGCGATCTCTTTCTTATGTCTCCAACCCCATGCCTTGGCAAACTCATATGCTAGGTTCTCCCAGTGGATCACTGGGACTTGGAGTAGAGTCAGTAGTTTTGCAAGCGTTCGACCAGATGGAAAAGGCAACTTTCTTCTCAGTGCCAGCATCTCACGCAGCATAGCATTACAGCGTGGGACGCTGTGGATCAGTGGAAGCTGTATCAGACGATTGATGTCGCGGTGGGACTGTGTGATTTGTTGGAGACTAGCAATCTCCACGGTGTAAGCAATTGCCTCCGTTGGGATACTACCCCATATGAGAAATTCCCCAAACCCCTTCCACCCGTTTATCACTAAAGTCTTCATACGAACTGCCAGTGGATAAGCGTTGAATACTTTGGTCTCCAGCTTTGACGTGTCGATAACGGTCAATATCGCGCCCTTTTGGCCAGCAATTGCGCGGTGTAGAGGCGACAGTGGAGACTGGGAGGTGGAGATAAATGGTGTCTTGACCTCCTGCTTAGTGACATGGCTCTCAAAGAGGCTTTCAAATCGGCTCTGGGGAATATCTTCTGGATTGAACCATTCAGAATCGCAGAAAATTCCGGCCAGGAAGTGTGTTCTCGAGTTGACCCCTTGGGAGTCACAGTTTGACCAGCGAAACAGTAATGGTGGCAACTTATCTCGGGGAACGCCCTGCATGGCCATGTCGTGGTCATGGTGGTGGCCTTGGTGGTGATGCTGCTGGTCCCAATCTTGGTGCCCTGCGTGCTGGTACTGAGGCTGTTGGCTTTGGTCGGGGTTGTTGTTTTCCTTGGGGTTATTGCTCATTCTGCTCTGGTCATCAATACCATCCACCTCGTCAATTGTCACACCATGGCTACACCACAGACAAGCCTTCCCATGGCTTGTGACCACCGACACGTCGTTTTCCACGAAGTCGATATCCTCCAGAGAGTCGGTCCGTTCTCGGCTGTGGCCGACAGTCATCGTGATACTGCCACTGCTTTGGTCATCACTTCCGGCAAAAGGATGACTCGTCTCCTCTTCTCTTTGCTGGCGCAATGGAGATGGCATGTGATAGGGTGTCTCGTGGGGGTACTCAGTTCTTGGTCCCACGACCACTGTCACTCGCGTCCGCCATTGAGTTGTGTCAATGTCGTCTTCTATCTTGTCAAGAAGGGGAAGGCGTAAATCGATTGCCGTAGACTTGATCTGCTGGATTATGCTCTTCCATTCTCTGTTCATATTGAACTCTGTATCTCGATGGACATGAGACCAAACAAGGTCACCAGTGTTTCTCATCCAGATCCACTGGGCGTGGAGTGTCCTTTCTGGAATAGATCGATTAATCCCACGTTTTTTCAGATTGTCTCGAAACATTGAGAAGAAGATCTCCTCTTTCGCTTTCTTGCCACATCGGAAGAATCGGTAAATACAACAAAGAGCTTGGCGCATTGGGATGTCCCATCGAAGCTTCAGCTTTTGGGGAGGACGGCTTTCCATTTTCAACAAAATGAGGAGAGCAGAGAGACAGGGTCTCAGGGTAGGAAGCTATAAGAGGTCAAATATTGGAGAAATGAAAGCTGGTTCTGATGGCCGGGGACTTGGTCATGTAGAAGGTGAGGGCTGGGGGTGATTGAAGAAGGATGAGAGTCAAAAGAGTCGAAAGAAGAAAAGTGAGAGAGATTTGAGGCAAACAAGAAAAAAGTTATATCATTTCTGAGGCTCGGGCTTAGAAGAGAAAGGGGAGAGATCTGTAACTCATCCCTCGAATAGTGTGGGAATATATTCGGTCTCATTGTATGCGAGTATTCTTTTCTTCCAAGGAGCTAGAAAATAGCGAAGCTGATTTACTATCTTTAGCATGGCAATAGGTCTGATCATATTGCCTCTTTCCCAAAGCTCTCTCTTGTATTGAGGTAACTTGGAAGGTGAAGATTTCACTATACCAGGTACGCTTTTGCCTGCCTCTGGCGGATGATGCAGTACCAGATGCTCGCTTTTCGGCTAAAGGGTGATGAATACATAAGTATATAAGCTACCGATATTTATCATATCTCTGAAAATTAAAATTGTGTAGACCTTTCTTGTAACTTAAAGCTGACTTGGTTTTAGCATAATCACCTAACGAGTATATATATACACTTGCATCTATCTACACTTTGTCCTTAGTCTTCCATTTGCCTAGTTGACCTGAAGAATGAGAATAATGTCTTTATATTTCCCTTTTCATAATTAAGTACCTTGGAAAATTAAAAGCATGTTACTTTGTAGTGTTTCTCTTGCAAATGCAATGCAGGTTCCCTATGTATGACTACTTCCCAGCTTACTTCTGGCCACTGAATATCTACATTGTATTTTATTGGGAAAGGTATTCTAGATACTTAACACGTAGGTAAGGCCTCATTCTTCAAAGTTCAAATATTATGATTCCATGAAAACAGGCAAGTCTTGCTGCTATACCTAGATGGATAGAAATAAGATTACAAAGATTTAGCTCCCATTGCCAATAACCGATATATTTGAGATATTTTCATCTAATTCTAGTCTATATATCTCATTGTCTTTCATATACAATCCAATACATCCAAGTTCGATAGTATATAGTCCTACATATGTATACTACTCCGTGCACACGCGGAACTGCCAACATACGCTAGTCCCAATTTGGGTTGCCTTTAGGAACACTCCGCCCCAGACTCCCTTTACCCTCTTGAGACTATCGCCTCTTACTATCCTTACCCCCTCCGTTTGCTTCTGAGCTCATTTTAACTCTGTGATTTGCATTTTTTGCCAATCCCCATCCCGACAATTCCGATCGGACTTTGAAGCCCTCCCCTAGAAACTGCCCACTTTCCTCAGGCTTACAGCATGGCTCAATGAGCCACGTCATGAGCGATACGGATGATTGAAGAATTTCCCAGACACTACAAGGGCATTGATTCTTGGAGCAGGCTCTCCAGTCCTTCCCCGCTGTCTTTTGACAGGTCTACATTCTCCTGAGCCATCGAGAAGCTGGGCACCGATTCGCGACTTTTTGAACCATGCCTGGAGGATTTGAGAAGTCAGTAAAAGGGGCTACAAAGCTCAAGGTCAGTCTAAAATGCTACGTGAATTTCTCTCTAAATATGACAATTATTAACTATCTGGCATGCACAGCTCGCGGCCCCTAAATCCAAATACATAGAGAATATTCTTGTGGCAACTCACACCGGCGAGGCAGGAGTCGCAGAGGTATTCCGAACCCTCCAGATACGACTCCGAGACTCGGCATGGACCATTGTCTTCAAGGCGCTCATCGTCCTGCATCTCATGATCCGAGAGGGTCAGCTGGACGCGGCGTTGGGATACTTGTCCGATAATCCAAAGAAAATTGCGCCCAGCAATTTCTCTGAAGGTTAGACCGATACTTTCCCTATGTGGTCATGAGCGCAATTTACTAATTGTTTTTGCAGCCCAATCGCAGGGTCATAACATCCGACGGTACGCCGAATACCTTATCACACGCGCCAAGGCGTTCGAAGCCTGCAAGACGGATCATGTACGAAGCGGACCGGGACGGCTGAAGAGAATAGGCGTGGACAAAGGTCTATTGAGGGAGACTGAAATTGTACAGAAGCAAATTCGTGCGTTACTGCGGTGTGATGTGGGTGAATTCAAAGTTTCTTGTCTTGTTATTTGTGACTAACGTCGTATAGCTATTGACGGATGAGCCTGAAAACGAGATCAGTTTGACCGCATTCCGTCTGCTCACACTTGATCTATTGACTTTATATTCAGTCATGAATGAGGGCACAATCAATGTTTTGGGTAAGTCAGCAGCCACTCCACAGATCGGCATTAGTCTAACTTTATACCCCAATAGAACACTACTTTGAGATGTCACGGCCGGATAGTGTACGTGCTCTGGCAATCTACAAGACGTTCACAAAACAAACGGAAGAAGTGGTTCAGTTCTTGGGAGTGGCAAGACATTTCCAGTCTGCCACACGCCTGGAAATCCCAAAGCTCAAGCATGCATCCACAGACTTGGCGCGCCTTCTTGAGGATGATCTGAACGATCCTGATTTTGATCTTCGCCGACGGGAGTACTTGGCCAAGAAGGGTGTTCGCGCTCCACCGAGCATGGAAGCCAGTGCGACGTCAGATGCATCAAAGCCAATGCACACCCCACCCATGTCAAACCCGGCGTCAAACCCACCCAAGCAGCCTGAACAATCGAAGCCACCCCCTGTGGATCTAATCGACTTCTTTGATTCAATTGAACAGAATCAGCAGCCAATGGGGCAACAGAACACAATGCAGTACCAACAAACAGGGTTCCAGCAGCAATCCCAGCAGCCATTCTATCCCCAGCAGACTGACTTCCAACAACAACCTCAGACGATTCAGCAGCAGCCTTTGGCAACTGGATATGGCCAGCCGACCCAATATGGAGCGCCCTATCAGGCACAGGGCCCAAACAATCCATTTGGGCAGCATCAGCAGCAACAACAACCACAACAACCGCAGCCGCTTCAGGCTATGCCAACTGGCGCTGGATTTGGAGGGTACTCTCCACAGCCGCAACAGTATGGTTTCCAGTCGCAACTGGCTCCTATTCCTCAACAAGGCATCGCCTCATTCCCTCAACAACAACAGCAGCAGCAGCAACAACAAGCACCTCAGGCTTTGCAGCCATTGCAGCCCCAGCACACCAATCCGTTCCGCCAGTCAATGATGCTCAACTCTTCCACCGGCGCTCAGCCACCCGCCGCCCCGCTATCGCGACAGAATACGAACCCATTCGCGAGACGACTTTCCACTGCAACCCCGCAATATAATCCTCCAAATGATCAATTCCAGCCTGCGCAATCCCCACAAGTGCAGCAGCTTCCTCAGCCTCAAGCGCAGCCGATCCAGCCACAGCGGACGGGAACCAACCCTTTTGCACGGGCCTCTCCTGCTCCGCAGCAAGCTCTTCACCCCCCAGCGGCCACTCCCTTGCGGCCTAATCCAACTGGCAGCACCAACCCTTTCCGACAGAGTCAGTTTATCAATCAGCAGACCGGACAGGGTTGGCAAAACAGTGGGCAGAGTGGTACACTAGGTGGATTAGAACAGCTGGACACGGTGCCGATCTTCCCGCGCCCCGGCATGACCTAAAGTCCAACACTATTTGCATGGCCTCGGAATGAAACCGACGGCCGTTAGATTATCTTCCCTTAACTATCTCATTTCTATCTCACTTGTTCCCCAACCCCTCCCCATCGAGTAGTTGTTTCCGTGTATAGGTCTCTGATAGAACCTTGCTTACATCGTAGGTCGTATATTGTATCTCAAATCATGTCGGTCATTACCATGGCAACTTCGAATTCAATATCGAAGGCAATTGTCCAATAAAGAATGAAGGTCAAGAACTTACAAACTCTCGGCATGCGATAGCTGGGAATCTTCAGTTGCGCCAGTCTCGGGGCTATATGTCTTTAACACATTTAAGGCTAGTGCTGACAGGGGTGGAAAATCTTGACTTGACGTCTAGGGCTGTTGGGAAATATTCAACGATCTTATAGGGGCCAAAATGTCGATCATTTATTATATCGAGCTATCTCTGGATACTCCGTACGGAGGACTCCGTACATTGTGGAGTGTTTCAGGTTTTTTTGCGATGATCATACACCAAGTCCAGATGTCTAATACACACATGTCTTTTTGTTCCAACACATGATAGAATAGAACTCTCGGTGAATAATCCCCTATATGTACGGAGTATACCTGTATATGAATTTTTTTTTTTATTCAAGGTCAAGTGGAGGGAATTGTTGAGTCAGACCGTTTTAGAAAGGGGGAAGATTGACCAAATGGAAAAAATCGATCAATAAAAAAAGAGTGAAACTCCACAAATCCTCTTGACACTTCTTATCCTTGACAAGCCCCTTAAATCCTCACCAGTTCCACTAGAGCTCTCCAAGCGGAGCCATGTGAAGAAGCCCCAAATATTTCTACCCCGCCGGTCCCGAAAGGCAGTTTGTCCTTTTTCTAAACCTCCTACCATATAAACTCGATGAACCCCAACTTGCCTTACGAGCAGACCTTGCCCGTGCTGTCTCGGCCTACGTGGGATCCGACCTCTCCCTATACTACTTTCGATCCTATTGTACCCGTGACCTCACAGACACCTCTAGCTCCTGCCCCTCCTAGTCGCAAAACAACGAGGGTACGCAAACCCCGTAAAAACGGCAATGTATCTACAGGCAAATCAACGTTATTTTGGGTCAACAGTGATCAACAAACTGCAGCGGCAGGCACGACGGACGAGACCCTAAAGCGAATTCGGTCCCATGTGATGTCCGAGCATAATCGCAAGAAGCGGATGGAGAGCACGGAACAGTACAATAAGAGCAAATGGAAACACGCACCTTATCAGCCACCGACGAATGCTGGGGCACTCATAACTGCTGAGCCTGTCCGTCCGTCTATTAGCTCGTCCGCCAGCTTGTCCGGTAGTCAAGTCGCAGACGAACAAGAGTTAGAACAGGTCGAGGGGCTTGTTGCTTCAACAACTGTTGGATACCCTGCCACACAGGCGGCAATATGGGACGACGGTGACTCTCGTGGGACGGTGGCCTACCCTGCTAGCCCGTCTGCATGGTCTTACGTGGGACAAGGAGCTAATGATCCTTTCCATACTGGACATACACAGCTCACAGATAGAATGATGCGACACCTGCGAGTCTGTGAGTGTCAAGCCCGATCATGATATGGTAGAAAGTTTGTATACTGACACAGGTATAGTCCTCTGGGATCTAACACAAGAAGCACACCCATTACAAACGCGATACAAGCCTAAACTGCAGGCGCATTGGGCGTCCCTGATTCAGCGGGATCCAGCCATTCTGCACGCAACGATTTGTATGGCTAGTTCCAATGATGCTATGCGTGCAGGCGAGCTACCCATTCGAGATCCAAATCAAAAGCGGAGCCAGTTGGTGATCGACACGTTCCACCATCGTGGTGAGACTATTCGATTGGTTAACGAGGGCCTCTCAGACCCGGTCAAGGCTTCCAGTGATGTTTTGATTGCTGCGGTTTCTACGTTACTGACAATCGAAGTGAGTACATCCTACGAATCAGGATTGTGATTCCTAGAGCTAATACACGATTGTAGATTGCGTCGGGAAACCCCGATTATCTCAAAATCCATCTGGCAGGTTTACGACAGATGATCGCACTGCGAAAGAACTTTGACGACGTTCCTTCAGACGTCCGGTTCCAAATCTCATGGTCAGTATACCCCTTCTGTGCACAATTAGAGACAAAGCTTGCTAACTTCGCGATTAGGACTGATATCCGAGTTGCTTGTATGGCCCACGCCAGACCTATATTCCCCTTTATCCGCTACACCCGCCCAGCGCGATTCTCTCTCATCCCACCCAATGACGACGTAGCATTACTCTCCACCCGCCTCTTCCCTCTACTCAAAATCCCCGGCATTTTCGGCGAAGCCATGCCACAAATCGTATATGATCTCCTCGAGCTATCCTGGTATGCTGAATGGATCAAAGGCAACACTGGGTACAAAGAGTTCAACGAGGAGACCGAGGACTACTTCAACACGGAAGTGCTGCACGTAGAATATCAACTGCACACAGACCGATATACAGCAACAGGTCAAGTAAAGGGCGACAACTCCATCGAGGGCTGCACCCGTCTCGCTTTACTGCTGTTCCACAACAGCGCCATCTGGAATTTCTATCCAATGATCGGCCAGTTACTGCCTAAGCCGATCCAGGCTCTGCGCATTGCCCTTGAGGCGACCATCCCCTCGGGGTTATTCGCGCTCTGTCGCGACCTGCTCCTCTGGCAGCTTTTCATGGGTGCAGCTTGCAGTCTCACCCTGCCGTCAGAGCGGGCCTTCTTTGTATCTGAACTGGCCAATGCTGCGCGGCTGCAGGGGATCCGGTCGTGGCAGGAGGCCCGTGCTATCTTGCTCGGCTTTTTCTATGTCGATCGCATTCACCTGCCTATGCTTCGTCAGATATGGGATGAGGGTCATTTGCAGGTAGAACCCCCGGCAGTATGAACTTGGCTACTTGGCTCTGCCGTAATTGGTCCATTTTGGTGAAAGCTGGTTATATACAGTCTTTTCCTCTCGGTATATTCTCAGGGTTCGGACTAGCCATCTTGCTGTCTAGCCTAGTGAAGATACAATGTACACATAGTGTTATTTCCAATGATTGATGACTACTCTCCGAAATAGTTACCTAGGTACATCCTATCTACCTAATTGGTTACTTGAAGCCAAATACACTTATCACTCCGTATTACTACCTAGGTACTCAGTCACTTAGACAAAAAGTATAACGCCATCTCGACCTCAAACAGCCAAGATACCAAGCCCCCTGACAAGAACCCCTCAAGCACACAATTATTCCGACCAAACCCGATGCATACTTCGTCCATTCTCGGCAGTGGGCGATTATCATTTCATAGAGATAAGCACGGCATCCCGATATCCGAACATTCTCCGTTCATCCCTGCATGCAACGCTGATACGTCGCAAAAGCCCCCGCCGAGCGCGCACCGAGTTTCCACCGAAAAATGGACGGCGTTCACTCGGCGATGCGTGGCGATTTTGGATAGAAGCTGCAGGTGCTTCCTAGCTTGCTTGGCTTATTCGGTTGCCTGGTTTGATTTTTCGACCTCATCTCAGCCCTCTTCGTTTTTCTCATCGTTGGATTGGAGATACACGTTCTAATTGAGAGGAAATTATATTCGAAAGTGTCATCAACATGTACAACATTGTGTTTGAGAATCAAATCCTTGCCTTTTCATCGTATCTCTGTTGTATGTCCAACCTGCAGACCGAGAAAAGACCGGAATGAGATCAGACATCCAACTCCACTCTCGGGTGGCTTTGGTCCCGGACTCGGAGGGCTACGTAGCCAATGGTCTAGGTATAATAGACCCTGCTGTTCTGAGAAAAAGGCGCATTTCGGGATATATACATACTGCCATATCCCCCTTCTCCCTTCCTAAGAGTCACACCATTTTTGCTAATATTCATTCGCACTTTGTTTTTGCTTTTCTCTTCACTGGATCTCTCTTCCTAAATCACATACCAGGCTATCCATGTCTTGTCGGCCTTCAGGCGTCCCAAGATTCAAAGCCTTGACTGCATAGACATGGATATGCTTAGATGATGACAGGCGTTGACAGTGCATCTGGACAGAGATTTTGCTTACTATGTGATGGATGCATTGCGCCTGACTCGAATGACTTTTCCCAGCTCGCAACTTGATTGACTCGCATGGTTACACAAGACTGAGTTGGACTTGCAATATCTCAGGGGGGCAACACTCCTGCAACACACCCTGAATGACAGCAAGCACATGGCGAGAATTTGACCTGAGCCCCAGAGTTCGACAGTCTACAAGATGAAGCAAAAGAAGGTTGGAAGGACATACTGTGAAGAATGTTGGATGAATTAATTATCCGAGTTACACCAGAAACTCGCAGGTAAAGAGACTAAATACAACAAGGAAAAACCAGAGCTCAAGGAATCACCCGAGTGCTCACCGAAAAATTACAACCTGCAAACAGGGTGACGACTCGCAGATATTTGCAACTGCGCTGAGCATGATCATCCATGCAAAAAGCAGTCACAGGCGAACAGATGGACTTCCAAACCACAACACAATCGAACACAATCGACGACGAGCAAACGTGTCGATGAGCACAGAGCGGCGAACAGGAACCCCGTCTATCTGAAGCCTATACATACAACACTGGGTATCGAAAACATTACAAGCACCAAGCGGATACTCCGCATCCCGGTCTCTTTTCTAATAAGAAAAAGGAGAGAACAAATTGCTTATGCAAGCTCACGTTCAGTCTTGCCACGGCGAACACGACCAGTGGGGGACCAAGGGAAGTGGGCGACGGGAATGATGAAGAAGCTGTTGCTAGTGTCGGCAATACCAGCGAGGGCATTGTACCAAGCAGAGAAAGCGGCCAGGAAACCAAAGAATCCACCGGCTTTCTGGATGGGGACGTTGGGCTTGCCATCATCACCGCGGTGCAGGTAGCAGATACCAAGGAGGAGGAAGGTCAGGTCCAGTGTGAAGAACAGCAGGAAGAAAGCGACGGTAGACTTGAGGGTGCAGAACAGCATGATGGTGGTGAAGATGAACCAACCCTGTTATCACATGGTCAGCGGGAAGTGATCTCGCAATGTTGTGGAGAGGCAGGAAGAACTTACCATCAGGAAAAGACCCATGGAGTCATAGAATTTCGGGCCTCCTCCGCCGAGCGCAGCCTCGATCTCGAACCCACCAGGGGTCAAAACCATAGCGAACGCGATCCAGAAACCACCGTAGGAGGAGAGAGCAGTAGCACCAAAAGTGTTACCAACAGCCATTTCCCTAGAGAAAAGAAAGCGCGTATTAGCCGCGGAACATGGCTGTGAAACCCCAAGGGCTCGGAAGTTACAGTTACATACCACATGCCGGAAAGCAGCTGGACGAGACCACCGTAGCCAAAAGCGAGGCCGACAACAATATTGGGGCTGCCGATATCCAGGGTACCCATGTTGATGGCGCTCAGGACGAAAGTGGTGAGGGCGAAAGCACACAGGCCGAGGGGAGCCGGATTGGCGAACTTGCGGCCCTCGACGGACTTGTACAGACCGGGCTGGAATTCACCACCGAAAGGAGGTAGGGATGCCTCATTCTGGTTGACGTGGGCGAGAGGTCCGTAGCCGAAGCGCGCGGCGGCGCGTGCTACCTGGTGCTCTTCGGCGGACATCTGGGGTTGCATTGGCACGCCGCCGTTCCCCAGAGCATTCTGGGGAGAGTGAGAGGGGCCCACGTCCTTCTCCAGCTCTTGCTGGTTGGTTGCTGCAGTTGCAGACATGATGCAAGATTTCGTATCTGATAGTCGTTAAAAAAAAAAAAGTGTCAAACAGAGAACAAAGAAGTATATAAAGCCGTACAACACAGTTGTAGGTATAGGAAAGGATGCGAATCAACACGGCTCTGCAGAGGAAGGGGAAGGAAAGTATTATACTCGTGAGCCCCCGAGGCCACAAAGGCGGCTTTGGAAATTCGGCGAGAAAAAAAGTGTGGAACCAAACTTACGTATTTGCTTTTCGGTTATATTACATATAAAAAATGATGATGTGCAGCCGCCAGGACCCGTTCCCACTATGGAGAAGTCAATAAATAATATGAAGTGGAGAGAAAAAGGGAAAAAAAGATAACAAACGGGAATGCCCATAATTATACCAAAAAAATGAAGACCCTTGAAGCTCCAAATTGATTTTGTTTTGATTGAATTGTTTCACGAGTCCATCTAGAACAATGTCAAATTAGCCATGCAGGGACGGCACGGAGCAATGGGGATTAGTTACCGTTCACTGGAGGTAATTTTGACAGGCAAGGATGAAAGGAAGGGACATGGGGAAAGTGGAGAGACCGAAAGGATCCGGGCGATGATCTGATTGGACGAGATTCATCTTCGATCCTCAACTTCAGTGCATAATTCTATGAAGTTTGGCCACGTCAAGGGCTTTTATCGCACGTGTACGGACTACTCCGTACTAAATACCTACAACCTTGGAACTATGTATATTATATAAGCTTACTGTAGCCCCGGGGGCCCGGGGTTTCGGCATCTATGGGTCTTGGTCCCATGGGCAGCTCGTAAAATTTGGGGGAGCTTAGGGCTTAAGATTTCCATGATCTTCGAGAGTCCACTTTCGCTGTACGGAGTACATAAAATTAAACTACTCCGTACATGTACGGTAATTGCAATGGGGAGCTGAAAGTAGAAGATACTTGGTAAGATCCGCTTGTTCGGTGGTCAACTCCGGTACCGAGTACTCAGCCGAGACTGCGTCACCTCGGTCCCATTGTGGAAGGGACTTTGCCTCTCTTTTCTGACATACCAATTGTTACCCACGTAACGGACCATGAACCTGATCCTACTCCGTCCAGACTGTCAGAGAAAAAAAAAAGTACTGTACATAAGGTTGTCGACTTTTTAGGCTGATATGTCCGGATTTACGTACCAATCAATCCCGAGTGAAATCAATATTCGATATGTGCATGTTTCTACGGAGTACGGAGTACTCCGTACAGAGTCCGAGTTGATTATTTGATGGTGTAATCTATATTGTATTCATTGTATTTCGTTTTTTTTTCCTCGCCCATATTACCCCCCCCACATAGCGCGTCCACCAGTTGCCCCTTTTTTCAGACACAAAGCACGGATGCACCACTAACAAAGCACCTAACACAATCCAGACCCGCTAGTTACGGATGGTGCACCAGAAACCGCATAGAGCCCGTTCAAGTCAAAATTACGTTTCAAATCTCGGGGAAACGGGACGAAATACCAAAGGTGAAAACGGTGCGCAGCGACCCAATTCGACGATATATGTCTGTGTTCTCTCGAATGGGCCATCAGTCCGGGGGGGAACCTAGATCGGCGCACGAGGCTCAGACCCATTCCTATTCCTTTACCTTTTTGTTTATTTTTGTTTTTTTTTCCTTCTCTCAGCCCGTGTGATCTGGAAGCTACATGCAAGCCTGTCAAGCTTCATCTCCACATGTAGCTCTACTATAGGATTTACGGCTTAATGTTGAAAGATATGGTGGATCCGTGGATGTCTGTGGGCGTCTCAGTACCAGTCATATTTGTCCCTCCATACGGAGCTCCGTGGTTGACTTGAGATTTGGTCCAGATCAGAGATTTCCCCAGTCAAGGTTGGACCATACACAATCTAGCCCGGGCTCCTATGTTCTCCTTTTTTGAGGTGCTTTTTTATGTTGATGTCGTGGCAACAGGGTAGCGTTGCAGGTAGAAACGGTGACAAGGTTCATTACACGGGATAATATGCAAGGTTCTTCTAAGAATGGTCCGTATACTCCGTACGAAGTACAATTGCATAATAATAGGTCTCGGACGCGAGAATCCCGCGATTGCTAAGCACTATGGTTTTGATGGACTGCAATTGGTCCAACGTTATTAGCCCTTAAAACTGGAGCTGAAAGTATTTCTCTGTGTAAGCATCCACCAAAAATACCTGGGCAATAGCTTGGATTTGTGGCGCACGCCAAGTAGCAACAATAAACACACGCCACAGCTTTTAACTATTCGGGTGTTACACATGTCTTCTGTGACCCTTTAACTTCGTAAAGAGGGTATCTTTATTTTACAGGTCAATTGAGATAGAAACCATCGACAATCTAACAGAAACCTCGGAAATGTTTTGTGCGATCCAGACCTGATCCGAGCGCACACTCCGCAAAGGTGGCACCATACGCCCGTGACCTTTCAGATGGGGCCAATTGTATCTAACCCTAACCTTCAAGGCCACATGGTGCAAACCAATTGCTGGATCAGGCTCAACTCTTGCCGAGATGTCATACTCCGTTCTAATAATATATGGTCTACATCCTACTTGGCGTTGCTCCCTACTGAATAGGACATGCGGGGATAGCAAACTTACACGTAGTGCGGGATCCCCGGAAGTCTTGGAGTGTGTATCGTGTACTCCGTATGGTGATTACACTTGGCGAATTGGTCCTCTCCACATTTTGCTCATCTGATCTTTGATCCCCGCAAAACTACTCCAATCTGTACTCTCTCTTATCCAGGGTTCTACGATTTCATCCTCGGTTGAGTAGATTTTCGGCTCGGCGGAGCGGAACTTTCTCTCTTCGGCTGCCAAGTCGGACGAACCGTGTTTGGACCAGAATCGTGGGGAAATCCCAGGTTTGGCTTTCTGCTTACAATTCTTCGGCAGTTGAACTGCGATGTTGGGACTTGATAGGCTCCTGTTCCCTGTGGGTGGAAGAGCACTTACATCATTCATGATCTCTCCAGGGATGAGCAGGAACCTCCTCAAACCCCCCTATCGTTCCTTTGGAACCAAAAACGGTATGCTTCACTCCTGGTAAAAAGAAAGCCCCTTTACATGAAACTGCTATAAGACGGCAATGAGCACCAGATTCTGAGCTTGCAAGAATTGTCTGAATAATGTTCAAGGGTCGTCTCCACATCGCGATTATATATATATATAGGGGAGCACCATCCTCTTTTTTGGTGGCCGCCATCTCCCTAGGCATCTTGCTGACATTCCACATATCCACAGATCCACAGGCCCATGGATTATGGATACCATTAAGCCAATCCATGTCAAGTCCAAAGAATAGGAATTTAGTATCGACATCGGCATAGGTTCAAGCACCAAAGTATATATTCATTCATATGTTAGGTTACATTATCCCTCTAACTTTATATACGTTCAATAATATATACAAATTACCGCTATGCAATCACGACATCAAAACAAATCCCAGATCAAGCCGCAGCTTCAATAGTCTTCTGGAACTCAGGACTGAACTCATAGTCCGTGTATCCCTTGGGGTCCTTGGGAACATAGAAAGTGTCCCGATCATAAGGCACGAATGGAATGCCCTTCTGAATACGGAACGGCAAGTCAGGGTTCGAGATAAACGGACGCCCAATACCAATGACAGTATCATAGTCCGCATACCTGACATCAGCCGCATGAGCCGCCGAATCAGCCTTATATCCACCAGCAATGATAATAGGCGAAGCCTTCCCATAAGCCTGCAGGAAGAAATCCAACTGATCGGTCGACTCAACATCGGCATTACCCGCAATGCGCGACTCAACCAAGTGCGCATACGCCAGTCCGAGCTTTGCTGTCTGCGTCGCCAGATACTCAAACTGCGGCTTGGGATCCTCCATCCGCATTCCCTGGAACGTACTCCAAGGACTGAATCGAATACCAGTGCGGTCTGCACCAACAGCCTCAATGACAGCGCGTGAAACCTCAAGCGCAAACTTCGCCCGACCCTCCACACTACCTCCCCACGCATCGGTACGCTTATTGCACGTATCCTGCGTAAACTGATCAATCAGATACCCATTCGCAGCATGGATCTCAACACCGTCGAAGCCAGCTGCAACGGCATTGCGAGCCGCCTGCGCATAGTCTGCGATCCATTCGTGGATCTCAGTCTCGGACAGCGCGCGCGGCGTAGGCGCGTCGGCACTCGCCGGCGTCGCACTGCTTGACACGAGATCGAACCCGCCCTCGGATTTAAGGAGGTCCGGGCTTGCAACTCGGCCTAGCGCCCACAGCTGCACGTAGATATAGCTGCCCTTTGCATGTACCGCGTCGGTCACTTCTTTCCATGCGGCGATCTGGGCGTCGTTGTAGATGCCGGGGACGTTGGGGTAGCCACCGGCACGGGCGGAGATAAATGTTGCTTCGGTTATAAGGAGGGTGCCTGGTACTGTGGCTCGCTGGGCGTAGTAGTCTTTCACGAAGGGGAGGGGGATGTGGTCGTCGTCGGCGCGGAAGCGAGTCATGGGGGCCATGGCGATGCGGTTGGAGAGCTCAACGCGGCCAACGCGGATGGGGGTGAAGAGTTTGGTCATTTTACTTTTATTTGAGATGTATATATTGTAGATGTTTCAAGTAGGATTCAAAATGCATTTGGAGTGAATGACTATGGCTTTATATCTATTCGATGGCATCCATTTGCTTCGTAAAGTTTCCCAGGATCGTTGGATTAACAAGCAATGTGGAGCCAAGGCAGTTCATATGAGCCTAATGGGGCCATTAGATCTTTTAAGTCTCCAAAAGGATCAAGACTTGATTCTGATTTGCCACTGTTGTTCCACTTTAGTCCTGGGATTCGGGATCGGGAGGATTAATAATACATAAAAGATCCCGAGGGTCATGTCATGGCCCACCGTTGGAACCGTTGGATACCAAGCGTTATTATTGAATACTTGTAGGACACTCAATTGGAGATTCTTTGTTTAACATTCAATGGTAGCTGAAAGTAACATGTAGAAGCTACCTATGTACTCGAGCACATCAGTACTTGTACGGGTGTGAACATCGCCAAACGCCATCCTCTGGCCCAGCCATGGACTATAGTTATTGCGCAAACACTGGTTCCTGGTATCATAACGGACTGTAAAGTAAAGCAGAACAAAAAAAAAAAAAAAAAGAAAAAGAACTTAAGACATCATCGCTCCAGGCGACCAACCGTAGCCTCAAGCTGTGCATTGAACGCCCGGATTTGGTTCAAGAGACCGCCTTGTGCTCCAGGGGCTCGGGAACTCACGTCAGCAACGGTGCGAAGCATGTACTCCAGATCCGCGGGAGAATCTGCAACGGAAGCAGAACGTTGCTTATTACGATCGAGGGCCAATTCAAGGCTGTGGAGAGAATTGCTGATCGTGGATCGTGACTAGGGACCATTGTTAGTTATGTTCTCGCCAGTGTTTGGATAGAAATATCTCACCGATTTGGCCTTCTCCTCTTCAATGTGTCTGCTGCGCACCGAATCCATCTGCAAAGCTATGTTCTCGCGTTCCCGGCGGACCCGGTACAGATGATTCCGTAGATCCATCATTTCCCGCTTGGTCTTCTTCAATTGTACGCCAAGGACAAAGTTGCTATCTAGTATCCCGCTTAGGTCCATGAGGCGACTTTCAAGCTCGGAGCCAAATACTTCGACGGCCTTTCTCTTGCGAGACCACTCTGCACGTCGCGTAGCGTTCGCCTCGTTGGCAATCCCATCCTTGAGTGTATTGAGTGTCTTCTCCAGAGTCTCGCGGCAGATCTGACTCAATACATCAGCCGGGTTGACACCCCCACGGTTGGGTATTTTGGCCTTCTGGTGCGTGGTGAGTTCATCGGCAGATTCTTCGTCTTCGGATCCGTCGGCCGTAGATGTTATACCACCTAAAGAATTGACATTGGCGAGACGATAGACAGTGACCGGGACTGTTTCTCCACGAGGCTCTCGAGCCTTGCGACGAGGCTGTTCTTGTACCGGCTCAGCCTCGGGTTGGTATTCTGTCTCAGGTTCAGGCTCGGGCTCCGCTGCGCGCTTCACCTTCTTCCCTGGTCTGCCGCGCTGTGACTTGGGCGCTGCAGATACTGCTCCGTGTTCCGGCTGATCTTTTGTGACATTCTCGGGTTCGGGTTCGGGCTCCACCGCGCGATTGGCCTTCTTTCCGCGCATACCACGCTGGGAGCTGGATACTGTAGTTTCCACTTCAGGCTCCAGTTGAACCTCCGTCTCATGTTCGGCTGCTTCTCGCGTCTTTTTCCTGGGTCTGCCACGAGACTTCGACATTACAGGTTCTGGTTGTGGCTCGTCTGCTGTGGCAGGTTCCGGCTCGGGTTCGAGGTCAGTCTCTGCTGCGCGTTTGGCTTTCTTCCCAGACCGGCCTCGTTTTGGCTCGGGCAGAGCAGACTCCATCTCTGGCTCCGCCTGATCCGCTGTCACAGGCTCAGCTTCGGATCCAAGCTCCACTACGTGGTTTGCTTTCTTCACAGGTCTACCCCGGCGTGGCTTGGGTACTGAAGATTCCACCAGAGATTCCGGCTGATCATCCTTTTGTGATGTTGGCTCACGACCCCGGCGTGGCCCCGAAGAAGACTCTGCAACATCTGGGATAGGTTCGGGTGAAGTATTCTCAGTCTCAATAGCTTCGATGGTCTTCTTGTGAAGCGAGGGTCTTCCACGAGGCCGTTTGGTCTTTGAAACTCCCTCAACTTGGGCTGCCATGGTCTTATCTTGCACCCGGGTTGTAGGTTCTTGTATTGCATCTTGAACCTGCAGTTCCGTAGCGTTCTCCGCGGTGGGTTGATGGTGTGGGCGACCCTGGGGCGTTTCCGACGTTGTAGAGGGCCCTTGGGATGTTTGGTTGGCTTGTTCTGGTTGCTCATCATTGGATGATAGAACATCTTCAGTCATCTCGACATCATCATCAGCAGTCAGCACATGGCCAACTTTAACAACCTCCGCAGAGCTACCACGTGGTGATAAAGACTCTGGGACAGAATTATCTGCCTGCACAATTGAAGAAGTGATTGCCGAGGTAGCCAGTTCGGAGACGTTGTTTCCTTGAATGCGCTCCTCGGACCGTGGTGGTGACCGAGTGTTTTGTCGTTTCTCATATAGTTGTTCTATGTTCTTAGGCTGTTCGACCCCGGCCTGAGCCTCAGGTGATGAAAGAGGCACTTGTAGTTCTTCAGCTACTTCGGGCGCCGTAAGATCAGACACGGGAGATGTGTCTTGGGCTATTTTCTCTCCAGTGGCTGATGTTGTTGGTCCAACGTCATTGGTCCTCTCTTCTATCGGATGCTGATCTTGGACCGAGGTCTCCGCAATGGGTGGGATGTGAGGCTGTGTGGATTGATTGTTCGTTATTTCCGACGGAGAATGTGCTGTATTAGGAAATTCCTGGGCGTGACTTGTTTGCGACTCTGTGCTACCTGCACTGTTATCAACAGGGTGTGGATCGGCATTCTCAATTCGCCCAGTATTACGACGAGAAGGAGTATCCTCTGTTCCATTAGTAGGGTCTGGAGAGGAATTAGCACACAACTCTAGCATACCACACCAGCCTGGTCCATGACATACTGGTCTTTCTCCTCTTATTACTTCGTGTTTGTTCAGATCTATCATCGGAGGAGGGTATTTCGTATGTCGAGGGTCTTTCTGGGAGCTTGTTACGCGCACTCCCCGGTGTGCGTTCAACCCCCGGACTTGCGATCCTGGTTGCGATACCTTCAACGGCCGTGGTGTTGTGTTTAGCGTGGTCTGTGTTCGCAGTTGACTCTGAGCTTCAGGGACAGTCGCAATTGGTGCGGGCGCTGGGAACCCAAGGCCTGGGCTACCAAATGAGAACCCAAAATTGACTTCTCTTGCTTTGCGCGTCCTATACCAGCAAGTTAGTCTATATGTTATGATTTCGCGGGGTATGGGTAAGGCGCGTACGCAGCTCCACGCTGCCGCATTTGTTGCCGCTCCTCTCGCGCTGCCAATTGTTAGCATTTCCACGCATAGATAGACACAGCCCATGACACATACAGGCTTCCATTTTAGAGGAACAGCGTCAAAAAAGACGCGTCGTGTTGATGGTTGAGGAGTAAAGACAAGCGGTCGGAGCCCAGGCAAATCGGAGCCGATCCATTTTTGTGCCGATTTCTCCGCGCTCTCAATCTTCAACAATCCAGCTGTTGCACATTCTTGTTTATTCTTGACTATAATTTCCAAATGGGTTGGTTCTGGGGTGACAAAAATGATACTGTCCAAAAGCTCGACCCGGGGCTTCGTGACTATCTCGAACAGGAGAAGCCCGACAAATATGTGCCTGGTCCCAATGTGAAGCCCACTCCGACGCCCGCGCAATCGGCTGAACCGTCTGATTCCTCGAAACCGAAAGTCCCTGCAGCATCACTCTACCAAGATGGCCGCTATGCTCATCTATGGAAGACTTACAAGCCTCCGATGGAGCTTGAGGAACAATCCGGAGTCCGCGGGGCGTCCAGAGTGATTGAAAAGTACAAGGAGCGCGGTGACACGGTGCAGCGAGCAGCAATGGAGAATTGTGCCTTGGAGCATGAAGCCTTGACATACTGTTTCCAGACCGGAAATTGGCGCAAGCAAATTGAAGCCCGACTAACTATGTGCTCGGCGGAGAATGCCACATTTTCACGATGCTTTATGACACAGACTGTGGGTTGGCGCCACAACTTATGGGTTTCTCGATATCGATTCTAACATGTTTTTGGTAAATAGAAATTCCTCCAAGCGCTCGGCTACGCAGCTAGCTTCGAATACGACGCCGAAAAAGAGGAGCGCATTCAGATGCATGCCGACAAACTCTACCACCAAATGTTAGACTACGAAAAGCGAGTTGAGGATGCAAAGGCTGCTGGAATTGAGCCACCACCTCTTACATCGCTTTTCAACCCAGACAAACCATCGCAAGCCCCGGAGGTCGGCCTTGAAATTCCTGGAGGGGAGACGATCCCGGCAGAACTCAAACCGTCGAAGCCCTTACAGAAGCTCACGCCACACGAGCGAGAGTTAGAGATTCGGGCACATAACGCGCAACGCGAGCAGCACAAGATGTACGCGCAGGAGGCTGCGCCCTTCATGAAGACTCAAGATGATGCTCGGCAGAAGCGACAGGAGAAAGCTGTAAGCTGGTTTGGAGAAACTCTCGGCAAGTGGATGTCGTAGAGGAACCTGAACTCTTGTATTTACTATCTTGCTTTGAAAAATGGCGATTGGAGAGGCGTTGGGGTTTGAAGTTCCTTTGTTACATTTTTATAGCGCTACTCCATACTCCGTACTCTGTAGAGAGTGATAGCTACACTTGAGTGTACTCTTTGAAGTCTTTCAACTTGCTTTTAATGTCCCTCCCTGTGTCTCTCCATAATTTTCCCCCCAAATCTGCTTCTTTATTTACTCTAGGGCTTGTTATGTCCACACTAGTAGGTAACGGGTAGTATCCGAGGACACCAGATGAATTTGAATCTTTACATGTACATTTCCAGTATACGCAAGCTAGTGATGTATAATCGAGATGTCATTTTAGTTGAGATATAACATATAACATATAACATTCATATATAATATAGGAGAATGTCTTGGCCCTATCTAATCGCCGGTCGCGTTCTCCCGCGCAAACAACTCGAAGCATCATCGTAGAATCACGACTCTCTTCCTTAAACTCCCAGCTTACTCCTTGTCGCATCCTTTTATCTTCTATTCCCTAATCGCACTTGCTCCCCATCTCCTTAGTTGACCGGAATACTTGAATCCTCTCCAATTCAACAACTACCTTAGATATCACCTGCCGAAAAGATACCAGGTTGATCATTAGACTCGGAAATTCTCTCTTCTCTCTTCAGACCATATTTTCTACTCGCAACCAGTGGTGCTCAATAAGCTGAGCTGCGGCGCTCGCCATGAAGGCCACCCCGTTGCTCATCTCATGGCATAATGACAATGCCCCTATCTACTCGGTGCATTTTGATCCCAATGGCAAGGGTCGGCTAGCTACTGCTGGAAAGTAGGTTCTACCTGTCCTCTCGGAATGTTGAAGCCATTTTACTGACTGCTTTCTCTTTAGTGACAATAACGTCCGAGTATGAACCCGCCCTCCGTCGCCCTTCGCACACCTTGATCTGACATGTTCTGCAGCTCTGGAAAGTCGAATCTACCGGGGAGGAAAGAAGAGTCTCCTATCTGAGCACCCTGATTAAGCATACGCAGGCTGTCAATGTGGTTCGCTTCAGCCCCAAAGGTATGTTGCCCCCCGGAATAGCATATGACTACAAGTCTGACAGAGGCAGGTGAGATGCTGGCATCTGCCGGAGATGATGGAAATGTCTTACTCTGGGTACCGTCGGAACTACAAACACAAGCCGGGCTGGGCGAAGATCGTTCAGACGACAAAGAGACATGGCGAGTAAAGCATATGTGCCGCTCGTCCGGCGCCGAGATCTACGACCTGGCTTGGTCTCCCGATGGTGTTTTTATCATTACAGGCAGCATGGACAACATCGCGCGGATTTACAATGCCCAAACTGGTTAGTTAGACTCGAGCAATCCTCAAACAGCTCGATAAGCTAACACTCGATCTCTATAGGGCAAATGGTACGACAGATTGCCGAGCACTCTCACTATGTTCAAGGTGTAGCATGGGATCCGCTCAACGAATTTGTCGCTACTCAATCGTCCGATCGATCCGTTCATATTTATACATTGAAGACCAAAGATGGACAATTCACGTTGACACCACACGGGAAGGTTCTCAAGATGGATCTCCCTGCCAAGCGTATCGCATCCAGCAGTCCTGCACCTCCAGATGCGTCTAGCCGGTCTCAACAAAGCACTGGAAATTCATTTGCTATTGCCTCGCCTGTTCCCTCGACCCCGGGGACCCCAATGGCTTCTAACCTACCCATGGATCCTCCTCCAGTCTCACACAGTCGGCGTTCTTCGTTCGGCTCGTCTCCTTCGATACGGCGATCTGCGTCTCCTGCTCCATCTCTCCCGTTGCCAGCCGTCAAGCCATTAGAGGTCTCCTCTCCGAGTTTTGGTGGCTTAGGGGTCAAGAACGCCAGCATCTACGCCAACGAGACATTTACTTCTTTCTTCAGGCGACTGACTTTTGCCCCTGACGGAAGTCTGCTGTTCACCCCAGCTGGTCAATTTAAAACCAGTCATGCATCAGCCACCGATTCTACAAAGACGACAGATGAGGTCATCAACACAGTCTACGTCTACACACGGGCTGGTTTCAACAAGCCCCCAATCTCTCATCTTCCAGGACACAAGAAGCCATCTGTAGCCGTCAAATGCTCACCCGTATTTTATACGCTGAAGCAAGGCACCCAGCCTGCGAAAAACATTATCCTTGATACGTCTTCGGGTGAGGAGGTGTTCCCATCTCTCCCAGACCCTGTTGTATCCGGAACTTCATCTTTCACCAGCCAAACCCACATGGTCCCTCCATCCTCAACGACGGCCGAGCCATCGAAGCTTCAGCCATCACCGAAAGCTGGGGAAGACGGCAGCACCGAAGCAAGCCAGAACTCAGCGCCCGTTTTTGCACTTCCTTATCGTATTGTATATGCTGTTGCCACTCAGGATGCTGTTTTGGTATATGATACGCAACAACAAACCCCGCTATGCATTGTGAGCAATCTGCATTTTGCCACTTTCACGGACTTGACGTGGTAAGTACTGGCTCTATTCATGATACCCACGTATTCCTTTCTAACACAAAATAGGTCCGCTGATGGGTTAACCTTGATCATGAGTTCCTCTGATGGCTTCTGCTCTACGCTTGCATTCGCACCTGGAGAGTTGGGCCAAACATACACAGGACCAAGCTCTGTGACTCACAACACTGCAACTCCAACCACCCCTGCGACAAATATCACACCTCTGCTGACCCCAACGCATGCGGCGTCTCCCCATGTGCCATCTCCAATCAAGACGAACCATTCATCCTCAAATAGCACAGGTCCCGCACCGCCAGCTAGCCCCGCACGGTCCAACTCAACTTGCTCAGTCGCGACACAGTCTTCCTCTCAGCCAACCCCTGCAGGAGTCGTGAATAATCCTACCCCCACACTCGGCACAGTTCCGTCGGTGACTGCAACGCACTCTGCGCAGCCACCGACACTTCCACTGACAACCCCACCACAAACGCCTATCTCAGGCGCTCCACAAAATGCAAATACTACGACTGGTGGTAGTATCCTGGGCAAGCGCGACATAAGGCCGGCAAGCGAGGCCGAAAGAGAAGAAGGCAAGGAGGACCCAAACAATGCATTACAGCAGCCGCCGAAGAGGCGCCGTGTGGCGCCAACTCTGATCTCGGCAGGTACTGATGGGGCATCATCCTCGAAGGACAACAAATCCTAAGTTGAGATTGTGTGTAGCCCATTCTCAGCCTCGGTATGCAAGGCTTGAAATGACCAATTTGCTTTGCTATCTACCGCTTCTTATGATTCATGTTTTTCCCCCTACTCGTTGCTCATGCTATATCCTCCTAGTCTCATATGTTATGTACTTGCAATATCTTTGATACTGATACTTTTTACAATTGGGCCCACGGTGCGCGGAGTTGTGAAAGCCATCTATGTTCTCGCTCATGTTTACTTATCCTTTGATCTATGCATGAAGTGTGGCATGGGAATAAAGAATGAAAATGTATGATCTTTATTTCCTACGTAGACCATCAAGGAGATCCTACTGGACACCGCCTTTGGAATACAACAGCCATTCACAGTAGGGTAATGCCAAAGATTTAACCGTTTAGAATATGTCGTCTCACCATTGAAGCTATGTATAATGTATGTCTGTGTGTCCCTCACTCCCTTGGAAACTCAAAGCTATGCCCTAAGTCATATCCCTCCGTGGTCCATCTTCTAATTTATGAGTGACAACAGCCCGCATGATAACAATATTGACAGTCAATCGCAACAAACCCTGGGCGCGAAAAGTCATTTAGTCTCCTCCTCAGTAGACGTGAAACTCGCCAATTCATCCAGAATATCCAAAAGCAAGCAGCCAGGCGGCAGGACTGACACTGCCTCAGTAGCACGTGTGCTGGTTGTTACGGTGGTGACATGGAGCCTTTCCTCAAGCCCAGACTTACCAGACTGAGAATCAATAGGAGCAGCACCCAACTCATTTGCCCAGCGAAATAGCGCCTCACCACTACGAGAACCACCAGCTGCAAATAGAAAATCAGGATATCGGATTTTGGGAAGATGGTCCAGAACATAGGTAGCAGCTCTCCCATTTCCAAGAGAAGCATGCGGTGGTTCAACCTTCACAGATGATACCTCGCGGACGACATGGAAATCTGCACGCCCACGGGCACCGTTGATTTGATCAGCTAGGTCCGAGGCCTGGCGAGCGGCCACTTCCTGGTCGAAAGCATCGCCGTAATGAAATGTTAAGGAGCAGCGGCGTTCCTCAATTTGGCTGCCTTCTGTTCGCTCAAGGAAATACTCCATCATCTTTCTGATGCCGGGACGCCATTTCATGGCGCTTTCGGGCACAAATGGAATCCATGTATCTGATCCGGGTTCTTGTAGGAAGCATCCATTCTCAGTGATGAAACCGAGCTCGCAGGGAAGTTTTTTGAGTACTTCTCGGAGCTGCTCAGTGCTCCGGTTGCTGATCATGTACAAGATGTTCTTGCGGTCGTTTATAAGTGCTTGTAGAGTTGTACGGGCTTTGTTCGAGGGGAGAGACTTCTCTATGTCGAAAGCTGGACCGAAGATTGCGCCTTCTTCCAAGAAGAAGATACGTGCTGTTGCGGCGACGTATGACTTTTTTAAGCCTTGGAGTGAAAGCGGAGATAGGTGGATAGTCTGACGGATTTGTTGACTTTCGTGGGCTTTTGTGAGAGCATCTTGAAGTCCCATATGCCATTTGAGAGCAGTGAAGTGAGATTTGCAATCGAGCAGGAAATTCCAGTTGAGCTTCCGCTCCACTGGCGACATCTCAAGTGCGGATTTGATCGCATCCGCACATTGTTTGTAGTCCCAGGGATTGACGAGAAGTCTATGACCACGAAAGATGGAGGCACTACCCACGAACTCGCTGAGAATTAGTGACCCATGTTGATGGAAGCTAAGCTGTCCATCTTGGCAGTGGATAAAATCATGGCTAGTCAAGTTCATTCCCTCACGCAGATTAGTGGCCATGAAGATATCTGCAACACTCAAGAGGGCGATGAATTGGAAGTGGCTGATGTCTTGCCGGACTAGCACCAATGGCTGGTGGGTAATGGTTGAATAACTTGCGTTGATCCTCATTGCGATTTGAGAGATATGTGTCTCCAGCTCTGGGATCTCAGATGCAGATGACATTACTTGAACTAGAACCACCTACACACAACAGATCAGTAGCGGCAACACGCTTCAAGACTTGTTAGTCAACTTACTTTCTCTCTCCATGCTGGATATGTCTCGAGAAAAAGCTCGTATGCAAGAAGCTTCTGCTTAATTCCTCCAGGTGCATCCAATCGATCCCGCGCTACAATAAGATATTGCCCTTCGTATTTATGGCTGATGCTGTGTATCCAACCTTTGACCTCGGTGGATTGGCGTAATTGAAAAAGCGACGAAGGGTCAATCCCCATTGGAGAACTCACAACGCTAACATACCGATGATTGAGGTGAACTTTGTTGGCAGAGACCTCCAGCCTCCGCAGTCGGCTACAGGAGTGCAGAAAGTGACTGCAATATTCCTCTGTCTGGAATCCAATCAAATCGGCGCCCAGAAGCCCATCCAAAAGTTGTTCGCGTGGAGTCAAACAGCGGAAGATTTCGGAGGAAGGAAAGGGAGTATGCAAGAAAAAACCAATCTCGGCCTGGGGTAGTCTTTCCCTCAGAAGGCCAGGAAGGACCAGAAGGTGATAGTCATGAACCCAGATTTTGTCACCTGGCTTCCAGTGCTTGATGATTGTTTCTGCAAATGCCATGTTGAGCTTGAGGTATTGGACCCAAGAATAATCATCATACTCAGTGTGCTGAGGGCTTTCTTGCATCTGATAATGGAGAGCTGGCCAAAGTACCGCACGACAGAAATGAGTGTAATGACCCTCAAACTCGTTATCACTCACAAACACAGTCAATGAATCATACACATCCTGGAGCGTCTCACCAATTTCCGCCCTGGTAGGATCTGTCAATGAGTCGGTAGGCATGCCTAGAGTCCCCACCCACATCTTATCATTAAGCAAGCTCGACTTTTCAGCAGCGTGGATGGCATTTTGCAGACCCCCATGGCCTTGTTCGGCGGCCTTGACGACCCAGTCAGCATTGGATAGCGAGACTCGTGTGGTACCGTAGTATTTCATGCCCCATCGATCTTGCGATCCATCCAAAGACAAGTCCCTTCTCGATCCCTGTTTTGGGCATTGACTACTCAAAATAGAGGGTGTTGGGGGATCGATCGCCTTGGATCTGGGCTGATTAAATCTCCGGCTGTGTCCCCAAGAAATAGCACGGGGCTCGCTGGGGCCATGACACAATCTATCATTGGCAATCGGAATCTCATCTGTCAATCGCCAAGTGTATCCTTTGAAGACCGTCTCATCTTCTGTCGTGGCTCCGGGTGTCAGTGTGAGATATTCCAAGAGACGATTTTGATGGCAGGTATCTGGCAGGTGTCCAACAATAGACCCAGGACCGTCGACATTCGCGTGGCTAGACAAGGACCCGTTCTGTCCATGCCTGGGCTCTGTCACTTGAAAATCGATGGTATATGGTAGGAACCTGGTATGTAATCAGATCTGTGAAGCTTTACAGGCGTGGAAGGCACTCACAAAGACGCGATGAAGACCGTCATTGGACTGAATTGTAACCCAATGCAGTACCTAGGTACATACTATGTTGCAGGTGGTAGGTTGAATTCAAGGTACAGGTCAATCAACAATAAGTCGAGCACCGGGGATGGAGAGACTCGGGTTTTTGAAAAGGAAGGGATATTCAGCTCATCGCTACTGCCATCTATGTCTCGCTCTCTTGTCTGTACTGGGCCTAGTAACTTTGTAGTGGGATCAATTTATACAATTGTTGTATATGATCTTTTAATCGGTCAATTAAGTTCATATTTTAGTATTCATTCAAATATTTACAATGCTCTAGCTATGTATCAAGAATAGGGCTGTCTACATCTCTACTGGGCATCTAGCCTCCTCGCAAATTCATGACCATGAACTCCAACGAGCTAATTAAGCAAATATAAAGGGTGTAGTTAGTGTAATACCTAGCCATACTTCTTATAGATGAGCTGTCCGCACAAGGCACAAGGCACAAAAAAAATGAACACAACGACTGTTCGTGGTTTCTGAAAGCATGTGACACTATCTGTAGATAGTTTCGTTCCTCTTCACGCATCTACAGATTTTCAGAGTGCATTCTTGCTAGCAGTTTCTCTGGGTCTCCTTTTCGTGAATTCAAATGTCCATGGCAAGAGACCGTATATTTAGCAAATCACTCGAGGTTTAAATCTGAATAGGAAATTTGACGATGTGAGCCATCATATTCAATGAATCAGCTGACAAGCAGAAGTATTCGCAAGACCTAAGAGCTTGCGACAACAAGGCTAGAGTGGATCAGCGCATGACGCTTTGGCCCACCCAAGCCAACGTTATTATCCCACATATCCGTCGGTGGTCACTTCCGAGTTAAACAAACACCGCATGGAGTAAAACGTCGATCCATGTCAACGTAAGGCCATGTTCAATAAGTCAGCTGCATGGCGAGCCACCCATGCCGCGTGTTTGCCCTCTCTTTTCCTGGCTGGGGAGAAACGCCCACCGCGTCAGTTTGACGATACGGTGGTGTCACAGGATTGACAGATCTTCGTAAGATGTGGAGAGACGCGTAGGTAGAATAATGGGCGTCGACGCGTGGAAACTAGATGCTTGGGCTGGAAAAGGGCTCATGCACTCACGGGCATAGAGGATAGTGTAGGTAGTCTTGGCACGTTGTAAACGGCAGAGCCAAGCTCAGAGGATACACCAGCAGTCTCGTAGGATAAGCTGTGTCTTAGTTTAATTTATCATTCAAGCAATAAACTCAAGAGACTCAGGAGAGAAATGAGGTCTTGGCACTTGGCGTCTGGGGATCATTGGCTCGCTCGGCTCGTCGAGCCTGAATTGCTTTGGCTTCTCTGCACTTCTCCCTTTGCTGGTGGCACTGAACAAATTCCATGACAATAATCAGTGCCAGTGTGGGTGCCTTGCGTGTTGCGTACGAATCGCCTTTGGCTTGTCTAGGTAGCACTACCGATTGTTATCATTCTCGTCAATACCGCCAATGAGATAAAAAAAACACAAGAAACCCCCCAAAATCCAAAGATCAAATCTGAGCGATCATCGCAAAAATACCAATTATTAGTACACCTCGTAAATGACCCGGTTTTTGCCAAATTTGTGGCGCCATCCGAGCTAAGAATCAAAGGACCTTTTCTCGGCATCGGGACTTTGGAGTATAGGGAACATTGTTAGTATGTAGGAAAAACCGTCTTGAAAACTTTTGTTACCTTCGATGGACTGTTCAGCTACTGACGCGATTGAACCAGAGCCAGTTCGATCGCACAGCCACCTAGCATGGCCTTGGAATTTTACTAGGCTCAAACGCGGCTCAGAAGATGAAACGACGGCTCATCGGTTTCCCCAGATACTAGACCGTCTGGACAGTACTGAGTAATTCCCCGAGTCATGCGATGTAATAGATTTCAGGGCCGAAACTCAGAGCTTGTTAGTCGAAAAACTAACATGGATATGATTATTATCTGCCATACTACAGCCAACGTAACCCTAACTATATCCTCATGTTGTACTCCATATGTCTAGTCACAGCGGACCCGGGCGAACATGGTTCTTTATTAATCCAATTGCCCCTCCAAGGTTGCTTAATTGGGTATATTTGGAGAGCCTACTTAAGGGAGTATAGAAAGTGTTCCAACCCCTGATTCATATGCAGGTCAGCTCGTTGGGTACAATGTATACAATCTCCAGAGCACAGGTTTTGGAGACGAGTTGTACAATGTTGATCGACATGACCCAATCCTTTGCCTAACCGAAAAGGGAAAAAGACATTTCCGCAACTGGACCCTCACTGTTTTCTAGGGTTTTCACGTGGGTGATTCAAACGGGTTATTGTGATTGGCGATAGAGGGCGAGTTCCTGCGGGTTGTGGTGTCTACACGGATTATGTGTACAGTGATCTATCAACAGCCTGGTCAATTTAACAAATAATGGGTTGTTAGATGAGATCGATGTAGGAATCTCATACTCATAATCCTTTGGAAGATGGAAGCAAGAATTAGGATCTCACGTTGCAGACATTCATACCAGAAAAGAATATGTCGAAGCCCCTTATAGACGCTAAACCTCATCTGGCGGTCAGCACCGCCTCAAGCGGCTTAGGCGGAGGCTCTAGCCCCCGATCGTGCGAAATGCCAAGACGGACGCTTGCGCGTCTCCAGCCTTTCAGTGGAAAAGCGGACAGAAAAGTTGAGCTTTCGTACCTTGGCCGCGCGTTGGCCTTATGCTTCTTCATATTCTTTTTTTTTTTTTTTTTTTTTTTACTTTAGCTTGATGGTGATTTGATACGGAGGGTAAGGCGTACATCGATGTATAGTTATATATACTCTTTCTTCGGAGTATACCAACCGAAGAGACTGGGCACGAGCTTTGATCGTCCTTATACCATCAAGGGTATTGATCATCGCGGTTGTACCCAACGCTGACTATTTAAGAACGAGATTACAACATAACAGCACAGAAAGACTTTGCTTACATATGCCACGTTAGCATTTGAACTCATGGGTACTCCGTACATGAGTATGAATATATCTACACGTCAAGATTGAATCCAGTGAGGTGTCAAGAAATAAAAAGACTATAAAAGCCTTCAAGCCATCGAAGTATAGACACTGCCAAGGAAGTTAACGATCCATGAAAATCTGGATGTGGACGTTACGTGTTCACGGGAGCCAAAATTACACAAATTGTGAAAATTACCAGAATTATGGAAATTACGGGGAAACAGGGTCTTTTCTTGGCTTTTTTTTTTTTTTTCGCACACGCGGCTTGGCCGCGGGGCCCGTGATTGGGGCCAGATGCTGACGACGCTCGTAATACTGCGTACACCTCCGTACTTTGTAATCTCCCTCTCTTTCTCTAAGGGCCCATCTTTCTTCTCCCTTCTTGACTCTCCAATAAGAGTGTGATTCGAAAGTGCTACGTCAACTCGAGCGAGGTAGTCCCTTCGTTTACTACTCGTCTCTGACATCCCTTTCTTATCCATCTTTCTCCCAGCTTGGGTCAAATTGACCTCTTCCGCCCAAACTTGAGATCGTTCGCCCATAGTCATCCTGGATCTCAACACTCATAGTCTCTGAAGTCTGCCGTGACTTCCTCATCGACTATGGCGGACGGCAGACACCGGGCTACCCAGCCTGCCCCAAGCGGCTACGACGCCTCCTCTCTAACTCACGAATTCGAGCAACTGATGCGCACCAAACGGCTCAACCGACTTCATGAACCTTCTCGCTCGCGTACTCACTCTACATCACCATCTCCGATGTCCAGTTCGTCAATCCCTCCACCACCCTCACGAGCTCCGCCACCACCTCCCTCTTTAGGCACTCCTGCCGTCGCTCCTTCCCCAAAGCCGCCCACCCCATCAGCACTACGTGGTCTTCCTATCATGCCCTCGCCACCCCAGGATGCAGCTTCTCTTAAATTTTTCAATTTATTGAAGGGTTTATCAGTTACACCTACGAAGTACGAAAATCCGGGTCTATTGGATGAGGCCCTGTGCGTCATTCCACTCGATCGCCTCTATTCCGAGGCCGAAGAGGAATCCCAAATTATGCAGGCCCAGGCTGCCAGCGTGGCAGGGAAGCCGGAATGGGGCTACCAAGATTGTGTGATCCGAGCATTGTTAAGGTATGCTGGAATCCCTTGATGGTCTAGACTCAATGCGCCCTTGCTAACATATCGTCACTCAGGTGGTTCAAGGGGTCGTTTTTCCAATTTGTCAATAATCCTCCATGCTCAAAATGTCACATGCCCACGATCGCCCAAGGCATGACCCCCCAACCCCCGATGAGACCGCCCGGGGCGCATCCCGGGTCGAGCTGTACCGTTGTTCCGATACTAGTTGTGCCGCCCATGAGCGATTCCCGCGGTATTCCGATGTTTGGCAATTGCTACAATCTCGACGAGGCAGAGTTGGCGAATGGGCTAATTGCTTCAGCATGTTCTGCCGCGCAGTCGGGGCACGAGTCCGTTGGGTTTGGAACTCTGAGGATTATGTCTGGACCGAAGTGTACTCAGAACATCAGCGGCGGTGGGTCCACGTTGATTCCTGCGAGGGTGCCTGGGATCAGCCACGCCTGTATACCGAAGGATGGCAGCGCAAGATCTCTTACTGTGTTGCCTTCTCTATCGACGGTGCGACCGATGTTACCCGCCGCTACGTTCGCAACTTCTCTCGACATGGAAGCCCTCGCAACCGCGCTCCCGAAGAAGTCGTTCTGTGGACGATTCACGAAATTCGACGCAAGCGTCGCGAAAACATGTCGAAGACCGAACAACGTCGCCTGATCAAGGAGGATGAACGCGAAGAAAAGGAACTCCGGTGCTACATGGCATCTGCTCTGGCAGCAGAAATTAACAACATGCTCCCACAAGGCCTTACCGGTCGCCCTGAGGACCAGAAGCACCCAGGTGCTCGCCAGGAGGCCTCGACCGAGTGGCTCGCCGCACGAGGCCATGGAAACTCAGGACCCGATCGTTCCCCCGAAGGACGATAAAATGTAATGCTGGCAAATGGCATCACATCCACCGTTTGGCTTCTGAAATTCATATCAGCCACACCACTCATCGAACGATTCCCGCGACCTGGATACTCAATTCACCACAGCCTCCTTTTTTCTCATCGGAGGCTGGCCGGGCGCAGCGACGTTCGAGAAATCCTTGGGTGACATTGGTTCCGACTTTTGACCAAAGCCACTGCGGTCGCGCGGGGAAACTTCACGTCGCTGGCACCCATCTGGGCGTCAGCAGTGCAAGGACCCTCGTGCTATCTTGACAAAGATTCAAGCATATGCGACCGCAGAATTAGCCGAGCAGGCTCGGGCCTACCGGTCTACAATGGCTGGCGATTGTCGACCACCCGTTCCCTTGATCATCGATCATCCAATTCTTGTCCTACGTCTAAATCACGACATATCTCCACACGATATTTTCCATTTCCTTACTCTCTGAGATACCACATCCGGAGCCTGGTTTTTCCCAACCCTCTTGCACTTAATATGGGTCACAATCGGGGTTTCGCTTAGGCTTTGTACGGCGCCCATGGTGACGATTCTATCTTTCCCTTTTCTCAATCTTCATTTCTAATATCTTTGGGGACTGCCCGATGGCACATGTTGTACGAGTCACGGATGCAGCTTTTTTTTTCTCTATGATGTTCACTTTTTGCATGTCCTGGCAGGATCGCCACGATCTTTTTCTTATATACCTGACCACCTTTTAAGGGTCGATCTTTTTTTTAGTTTCTACCAGTGGGCTTGCACCACCTGTTCAATACCATTTCATTTTCTCATGAAATACTCGTACACCAGTTTAATTATGATGTGCAATCTTCCCCGCGCTCTCCCTAGCGTACTCAGTGGAGCCGTGTTCAGGTTTTTTTTTTTTTTTTTTTATTTTTTTTGCCCCTGGCGACATCACACATACATAATCCTGTCAACCCTAGATGTACAACATACAATGTAGCTGGTACTCCGTACAATGTCATAATTTGTACCTGGAATGGAGGAATCAAGACTTGGTATCCCGTTTCTACGTATAAGACGCGACACGTGTGTTATTTATAGGTTGACTCCTCTCAGTGGGTCGGTCTCACTTGAATACCCAGAGTATAGGGGGAGATAAGAAAAAGCTAAGAATTTCGATAGCATACAACATACCTGGAACAGAAGTAAATGCCCGATAACAGGGCAATACTCCGATCCTAATATGTAGATCTGCAACATCTTGCATACGAAGACTGAAAAACAAGAACGTGATGACCCTTGCACTCCGTACAACATACAAGATCAGACGATCATTGCAACATCATGCATAAGAACAGATCATACCATTGCGGATCTTGAAGCATACCTCACACCGCTGAAATCCAGCAGTCTATGCCCCTCCGTCGAAGATCCACCCCTATGCGGTCCAATTCATGCAAATAATAAGACTGACCCTGAAGCCTCAGTTCCCAGCTACCGTGAGACCCCGAAACCGTAGTCGAATCCCCCGAAAATGAAGCAGAATCAGACCCCGAACTTTTACATGAGTCCTCGTCGGAACTAAATCCATCGCCGAACCCAAGATCCCTCACCCGAAACCGATCCCCACAATTGCGATCATCAAGCTCCACATCCTTCCTCCCAAAATTCCAATCCCAACCCCGTCTTGACACAGGTCGGACAACCAATCCCCTCAATGGCTCCAAAAACCCAGCCAATTTCTCAGCAGGCTCGCTGAACCAATTGCTCTCTAGAATGAGCACAAATGACCGCAGTGATTCTAGCTGCGATACAGCGCGACACGTCTCTACCCACTGCGTCCGTCCGGCGGACACGTACACGGCACGTACGGAGTCTTTGGTTGGGAGCCAGTGGCCCGGGAAGGACCAGCGGAGCTCGATGTTGCGTATGCGGTCCCGGTGTTCTGGTGGGATTGTTGGGAGGAGGTATGGGAGAGTCCAGGGGTTACTGAATTCGAGGGTTGGGAGGGTGTAGAGGAGAGGGATTGATTCGTGGTATCTGGGGGGGATTGATTAGTATTGGGGGGGAATGGGGAGTGTAAATGTATGTCACTCTGGGGGAGATGTAGATGTAGGCTATAGGGTGTATGCATGGCACAATTGTATACTGTACAGAAGGGGTCGGGATAAGGTAAGGGTAGGAGAAAGGGACATGAGATATGGGATAAAAGTTCAACCATACATCTGTCGACAAGTCAACGCCAGACCCAGTAGCTTAACCTTATTCCAGCGCACGAGATCAGCCTCTTTTGTCGGCTGGGAGATGCCGGTGCCATGACAAATCTCACAGAATTGGCTGCTTTGACGTGTGTGGCGCTTTGGGAGTGAAGACCTCTCACATGGACATACCACGTGCCCGAGTCGTTGCTTGCATTGAATGATGTGGATTCGTTGATCTAGGACGAATCCCCAAATCATTAGCCGAAGCTCCGAGGATAGCCGGAGGAGACGACTTTGTTGGGGCGAGGAGAAGGCGATTGTGTGAACGCGGGGAAGTGGAGGAGGTTTGTTGCCTAATGTTTGAGGTCAGTATATTGGTCTCCGTATATACTTGAAGAAGTGAAATGAGTAGTTGCTTACTCTGATATCGCTGAACTAGCACATCCTCCCATGAAAAGACTCCCTGTTTCATACGGGCCATTGTGAATAGCTCTATTCCCCGTAGTCAAAGTTCAAAGAGACATTGACAGCGAGGTCGGTTCATAAATAGTGTCAGACCGTCACCTGCTGACCCCTATCGGGCACAACAGCGTTCCCGTCAATCCGGACGCCAAGTAGCCCGGTTGAGGAGTTGGGCAAAGAGTCGGTGAAAAGATAAAGGAGTATAGGGATGAGGTATTTATGTCGGTGTATATATATACCCACGGCTATTTACATAGCTAATCTGAGTCTAGAAAAGATAAGGAAACGCGGAAGAAAATAATTCGGGCTATTTGTAGATCCTTTGGGCTTGGCCCTACCTGGATCTATAGCTAGCCTTACTCGACAGGTGCTCTCCATACTGAGCAGGCAGCTCTAGACTGAATCCATTGAGCAGGGGTTACTGGATTATCAACATTCATGGATCTAGTCCTATCTCAAGCTGACAGTTTGCTTATATGCCTCTATGGAGTAAACATTGGGTTTCCGTGCCAGCTAAGGTTGTCACCTTTGGGACAGCGCTCGAGGTCAATCATCGAATACATTGTAAAAGCATGGGAGAAATCCACAAAGTGCACGCTTTACTTTATGCGAGCAGCAGCAAGACGGACGGAGAGATCTGAGCTCGTGCTCGGCTGGTCTGCTTTGCAACTATAATCAGCATCGTCGGGGTTTGATTCAGAACTTTCTTCGTCAATGACCCTGATATCAGACTTGACAGAGCCCGGCTTAGGAGTTAACTCCTGCGATGGGGCTCCATCTGATTGTCGACGTGAGTCTTTTTCGTTGGAGTCGGACTTGGGGACTTGAAAGGCATAGCAGAAGGTGGTAGCACGACGGTATTGGTCTTCAAGCAGACTTTCTCCTCATACGATGGCTTCTCGACTTTAGCTAATTGAACCCACTTATTGAGAATCCTGAACAGCGTTGCTCTGTTGACTTGGAGCCACTCCTAATAACTCTTATCGCATCGATTGCATTTCTCTTCAAGCCGGTAATGCTTCAGGGAAAACTGCGCGATGCTAAGTTGCTCAATCGACGGACATAGGGTATAAAATCACTCTTCACTTTGGTGCACTCTTCATATCACCATTCGTGGGCGTTGAATCGTCGCTCGCAATTTGTGGTATATCCAACCTTGAACATGTTTGGTTCTCGAGGGAGAGAGATGAGGTAAATATACCCATATTTTCGATCGATATTGTCAAGAGGCTTGAGCAAATTACTCGTCACCTTTGGTTGCCCGCTGGTACTGTCGTTCGGTGACGCTTTGAATTTGCGGAGTTCGAACTCTGCTGCTGGCGGTGGAATAGCAATAGAAATGATCGATACTTCCTAGGCCCTTACTTCTAGCCCAACTAGTCAGACTAGCTCAAGTCCTGGGTCTATCTCTCATAATACACGAGATAACGTGCGAATTCGCGTAAATCATATTGATTTGTTGTTAGTGACCTTCCTATCTTGGTCATTTGTCAACAGGGGCTATTCGGTCGTGTCTGAGAAAGTCTTACACCAACTGAAATGATTGGAGAATTCCGCGCGGGGTTTGAAGCTCGTGAGATTAACAGGAATGCGTCGGAGAACCTGGTGCATTAGTGTAGTGCGTTGACAAGGATCATCAGCCGTACTATCGAAGCTCCGTTTCCGAGGTCAACCATTAGGCTGTCCCGAGACGTATTCTGATGGCGCGGTCACTTCAAATGTATATGATGTATGATAAATGTAGTTCTCAAGAATAGAAGAAAGTTGATACCTGACAAGGTGAATGAGAGGCAGACATTGTGTGCGCTAGGCACCAACGTTAGATGAAACCCATTTTGGGGGCTAAAAGCCAAGTCACGCTTTTGAGATAGAACGAGCATTGGAAAATTGAGAAAGAGAGTGTAAATTACGTCTAAAAGACCTCCTACTTCATAGGGTGATGTGATTGTCACTGTCTAGCAGCAATGTCCATTTTCAAACATTCCAAGGTTGCTCTGTACCTCACTGGCCTATCTCCGGTATCTTGGCGTAATCAGATGATGGTAATTCAGAGAGAAGGCACATGGCGTTTGCTAGCTTATTGTATCTTAATGGACAACTCTCACCCTTCTACCAAGTGGGCAAACCAGGCCGCCCACTTTACTCAAGATACTCCGTACATAGGTCTCGGACCTCAAACTATAGATACACCAATCCCAGTACCAGTCATGCTAGCACCAACAATATCTCTTACCTCGGAGCATTAACCCAGAGTGTTGATCGGGGGCGTCACCTGCAACCCCTGGGACAGCATAGTCAAACCATCCGGCTGCAGCCGGTCAACACTGGACTCTGCCGGCAGAGTGCCCACATAAGCATTGAAGTTGTAGATGCCGCAGTCACATCTGTCGACAACATCCCTCAAGCTTGTCCCCGACAAAGCCTGAATAGTCCGGAAGGCGCGAGAGACTTTGAAACTCTGCGCGCCCACACCCATCGGCACCGAGTGTGACCATATCCCTGGGGGCGCGATGAACGTCTCAGTCTTATCGCCAGACTTCACCCGCACAGTTGCGGGCAACTTCAGCATCGTGACGATGAAAATCTCATCTTTCATCGAGTCGACGCCGTCAGGCCGGCCACAGGTGAAGTTGCCGCCGACGTCGTTAGGGTTAACTTGCATTGTTGTGTCGGTTGCGTCGCAGTTGACGTCCTTTGGGGTTGGCCGGTACCAATAAACCAGCCTTTCTTCCTCTATGAATCGGATGGGGAGTCTTGACTCTGCTTTGTAGGCAGCGATGAAAGGTTTTGCCATGTCAAGCCATCCATTATGGGGCCTGTTTCCTTGTCAGTTGATGTGTCCGTTATTTTCCAGGCTGGGATACCGCTACTTACATGTCCATCACCCATTTCGAAGCACCGTCGTCTGTGTGTGGTGACGATAGCGGGCCGATATAGTGCGACTCACCATAGTCATTCCAAGTAAGGATCTCCACAAAACGAGGACTGAGACGTAGGATCTCTCTCCACCGGTCATACCAGAGGAGGTCGGAGGGGAACACCCAGTTCTTGGGGTAAGAGACCTCGCTGCCGAAATGGGTCGAGAACCAAGGCGAGATGGCTATTTATCAATCAGCAACTATACGCAGACCAACCAGCTTACTCAAGTACTCACGCGCAATATATGCTTTCCCCTGGAGAGCATCCTCATAAGCCTGATCACCATCTGAAACAGATACCTCCTGTCCGTCACTCGGAGCTCTGTTGTTTCCATTACTATCCCAGCCCATCCAATTCAGAGCGCCATCAATATTTTCGAAATCACCGTGACCGGGGTGGAAATTCGGCGCGAAGAAGATCTCACTGCCAGCAGCGGATCTGATCGCACCGACATCGACACCATCGCCCACAAATGACGATACAAAGACTTTTCCATCAACCAGGAGCTGCCCGGGATGACCTGCATACTGCGCAATCTTGGCGCCGACTTCGCTGCTCTGGCTGACCTGCCACCAGTGGAAGTCGAAGGATATAAACACTTTCATGTTATTGTTGGCAGCAGACTCATAGGCATAGTCCAGCTGGACGTCGTTGTAAGAGTCAGTGCCAATGTTCAATGCAAAGGCATCGATACCCGCGTCTCTGGCACGTTTCATATCGTCGTCATAGTCGCCAGCACTTTGACGATTGCTGACGATGCCCATCTGGATCATATTAGTATTTCTAAGGTAAGGATTTTGAAGGTACAAATGTGTCACTTGCCATAAAATGACAGAAAACTAATTTATTCCCCATGTTTTGATCATTGGCTGCAGCCATGATGTTGGTGGTGTAGTCGATTAGAGTCGGGAAAGCGAAGGTGAAGGGAAATAGGCCAACCAGGGCCACGAATAGGTAGAACATGTCTTTTTAAGCGGTGAAGAAATACCAAGGACCAGCCAAGGAATATCTCCACTATGTGAAGCTCTAAATGTTGAAAATAAAAGAAATGAAGGAATGGAAGAATGAAAGATGTATCTAGCTTAATGAGCGACTAGAGTGAGAAATGCAAGTAAGAAGAGCAAGGACTTGAGGCAAGATAGTCTTATATGCATTTGGCGCTTAGTCTTACAATGCCACATTGTCTACAGTCAGATCCACTCTTTGTATGCGTTGCTGGACAATAGATCAATGAGACAATGAAGCCCTAAAGTGGAGGCTGCCTTCAAAGAAAATCAAAACCTGTTTAAAGACCTCTCTTGTCGCAGAGCTTGTCAAAGGGCCCTCAGCGCTAAGATTCCGACAGGACGATGAAGCCGAAAGATCCGTTTCTGCGATCTAGTTAGTTGAAATAGAATAGAAGGGGTAGAGGCTGACAGTTACAGATACTCCAGGGCTGCCGGATTGGCTGAAGAACGCCTCCGACAGCCCAGCGGCTAAATCAAGGGACTGAGGCGTTCCACGTCGGAACTTTCTCGATGAAAGCGAACCGAGACTCCATACCTTGATTAAAACTCTGACGTATTTCCAGTAGATCTCATCTCGAAACATCTTACATCTAAGATATGAAAGATCACTTCACAGGGTACAAGGCGCACGGTGTACCAAGTGCAACCATCGACTGTGGGGTGACTCGGCGCTAATATGTTTCACGATATGCCTTGGAATTTTGTGATGAGTCTGTCGGGTCATTGAGTGTTAACCTAAGACCTACTTGTTCTCCACTGGTGAATGCAAGGACGATAGTCTCCGAGTTCCCTGCCATAGATTTCTCACAGACATTTACCCAATGTTAGCTGATGGCAATCAGGGGAAGCTGAGGATATGAACCTGATTACGGGTATCTACTATATACCATGTCATGTGTCTAGAGTGGTGATTTAAGTGAGTGCTACAGTCCAGCACACGAAAGGAATATGCGTGGCTCCAGATGGACATGCGATCTTGATATCTCTATTGAAAAGGTTGAGCCTAGCTCCTTTCTGATTCTGATACTCATGGCTCATTAAACCTAGCCTTACTTTCGTGATCATCTCTAGAGCCAACGCCCATCATCCGAGC